CCATGCCACGGACACAACCTTTAAAAAAAACTCACCATATTAATCACATATCAACAATACGTTTTGCGTCTTCTGACCAAATTTCAGCTGAAATGTGATCAATCTGCTAGGAGTAGAACATTAAAGTATAAAAATCAACATTTCCTGTTGCCAGTAGGGGGCACTATGAGTATGACTGAATATTGTCAAGTGGATGTGTTCAGGGCGGGACTCTTTTCAGACAAGTGCATTATGGTGCAGATTGGACAAAGTACACTGAAATTGTGACAACTTCCTGTTTCATGGCGAAATGTCAAATCTTCGCGCCATGCCAGAGACTGTTAGGTTTGGGATATGGCTCCAACAGGATTTTTTGTACATCAGGACATGATGTATATGTGTACCACTTTTCACACTCATAGGTGAAATGTGCTATTGGGGCTGCTCAATATGGGGGCACTGTTGAGCCATTTTCGCGCTCACATGTCAGAGACCCATAAAACACGTAATTTTTCACCATGACTGATATGTGCACAGAGTTTATTGAGTTTTTGTATATGATAAGGCCTCCAAAAAGGCAATTAATTTCAGAGAAAAATAATAATTATTTCAATTTAAATCGGGCCTTCACACTGTCAGTGCTCGGACCCATATTATTATTTTTAAAGTTTAGAATATTATTATTATTATTACAAGATATAAAGTAAATTCTACACAAACTGCAGTTATTGTGTTCACTATTTGGGTTTATCTACTGTTATTGTCATACATTGAATATAATATGACATATTCATAAATATATTATATAGTCAGTTTACTCAATGATAGAAAAGGGCTCATTTGAGTTAAAAGGTTCTAGCCGTGTGTGTGTGTGTGTGTGTGTGTGTGCGTGTGTGTGTGTGTGTGTGTGTGTGTGTGTGCGTAGGTCAAGCAGTAGGAGGAATCATAAAGCAGGATACAAACTGTGGTTTCACTGACTGAATGTACCGCAATTTCCTACTTCCTGTGCAGATGATCACCACAGTTACTTGCAAAGCATGTTTGTCACTCTTTTTATTAGATGGAAATACACAGATAATCATGTTCATTTAGCTTCTTGTTCTAAAAAGGCAGGTTCATCCTGGTGATGGAAGGCTCCAACAGTTTCTGTGTCAGACCTAATTCACAGTTTTTATGGTATCACTTTTTTTAACTGTTCTCTAAAATATGTACAAAACAGCAAAAGTATGCTCAGTATGTTGTGTTCTTTAAGCTCTTTATACAGTCAGCAAGATCTCATAAAGAAAATATGTTATCAAGAAACAAGACAGCAAAAACAACCTTGTTTTTCATCACATGGAAACAAGTTCACACCTTCCCTTGAATATGTATAGTAAATATAGTAAAAATAGTGAATGTCATTTTCATGGCTTAAAATCATGACCAATTATTAGCCGAGTGCAACTACATCTTCTTTCTGACAAAATCTAATTTATGACATTAAAACTAATTCATTACATTAAATCTGTATTTCTTTATTACTACTTTATTATTTAGTTTCATGTGTAAATGGTTAAATAAATGAGTAATTCAGAATTTAAGTATTATATTGTTAGCACTGTACACTGTCCTGTGAAGCGAGCTAGTAGTAGCACATTGGGCTCAGAGGTAGAGCGTCGTCCACTAATCACAAGGTTGTTGGTTTGATCCTGGCTCCTCCCTGAATGTGTATGAATGACCCAGTTTCTCTTCAATGGGCTTTTCCATCGCTGTGTGAATGTGTGTGAAACGGCGAATGGGGCAAATAAAAAGCGCTTTGAGTGGTTGGAAGAACATTTCCCATTTACATTAACTTCTTGTCCTGTCTAGCTAGCACTAGCTACCATAGTAATTTAAACTATCATTACTATCTGCTACAATGGGCTCAGCGAATAATACACAGATGAAGTCAGTAACAGTGGAGAACATGAATTCAATTTTTTTTTTTCAATTCAATTTTATTTGTATAGCGCCAATTCATAACAGAAGTTATCTCAGGACACTTTTCGAATAGAGCAGGTCTAGACCGAACTCTTTAACGTTTTTAACATGAAGATTCCCTTTGTTTTTATTCCTACATTGTCCTGAAATTGTCTAGAATACATTGTACACTACAAGTAAACCTCTGTGTTTCTAGGAAGAAAGTATGACACCTGGAAAGCTGAAACCATTTTATAGATTTTCTCATCTGATCACACACACCACCTCTCATTCCAGTGAAATGACATACATTACATGGTTCACTGAGTTTATTTGTAAAGCGCCTTTTTTCTAGAGCAGCATCAGACATAATGCTATTCCAGTGGTGTGAATTAAAATGTACATTTACTTATAGTTGTAATTACTAGTGAAATTGTGGATTAGGATTTAGTCTCAAATGGAGAATACAGAGCTGGGAATGAGCAGAATAGGTAAACTTTAACTGCCACACTACTTGTATTGGTGAGGTTTATCCCTTTAAATGTGACTTCATACTTGTTACTGTGTCAAAAGTTTGCTTCTGCATATTGCAACACAGTGGATGAGGTGTCAGAAAAACATTTCTCATCACTTAGACCATTCTGCTAGAGACCGTCTGCTGGAATTTGCAGTAGTTTTTTTGTTCCTCGAACTGTGTTTTCTGTGTAAAGAGCCCCTGAAACTCGAAATAAAGTTTTATTAATGCATTTGACATTTTGATCGCTGCACTGTCACAATCTACAGCAGTGCATCTGAACAATAATGAAAACCTCCAGCAGGACATGATACGATGCTTAGATGTAAGTTTCTTTCTTAGTATGATGCCCCCAGAGAGGTTGTGAATATGCATGTCAGTGACATTTGATGATTTAGCAATTTAACAATAAAAAAAGAGTTGTTTTATTTTGACATTGTCCCACATAGTGGTTTATTGTGCCAGTGTGGGTAGATCTATTAAATATAGAGTGCTAGAGAACTTTGAAAGGAAATGGGCTGTTTAACACCTTTTTTTTTATATCTGCAAGTTCCAGGAAAGATTTAAAACACCATATGTAAATATTTTTGTCTTCATGAACTGATTTTTCAGGAGGGGCTTTCAGTCTTTTCAGTTTTGTTTGTTCTGTTCTATTTAAGTCAAGTAAAACTAAACCTTAAGTCTTGTTTTCATCAGTGACATTTTTTAATTTTTATGTCAGCTGTGACTTTCTTTGTTGTGTATAGCTACCATGGTTACAGGTCTCCTCTATCGTGAGGTTAGTGGAAAAGACACAGTAATGCAACAGAATGACTCATGCTCAGTGAAACAGGCTGTCTCCCTGTTCCTGCTTACCTAGCAATACCACAGCTAGCTGAGATCCCCACTGCAGAGCCTTTCAGCAGCTGGATTCACTAAGTCAGTAGTTACTGTGTCTGTGAAGGGGCAAAAACATCAGATACATTTCTGATATTTCTTGGTCTTAGTGACAGCTGAAGATAGACAGGAAAGGAGGGTGGACAGAGTGTGGATGACACGCAGCAAAGGGCTGCAGGTCGGATTCAAACCCTGGGCCGCTCAGCCTCAGTACATGGGTCGCCAGCTCTACCAACTGAGCTAACTGGGCGCTCAAAATTAGTGATATTTCTTTAGAGTACACTTGGAGCAGGGATTGGCAACCTTTTTTAAATGATGTGCCATTTTTAAATGTACTTTTAATCAGTGTTACACATATTATAGGGGGGGCCGGAGTAACCAGATTTTTTTCACTGATTATGTGTCTCATGTATTACTGTCAGGATATAAGATAAGATATGTACTTTATTAATTCCCTATTGGGGAAATTGTTTTTTCATTCTTTTTTATTTTTATTCTCACACACACACACACAGGCTGAAATACACACTTCATGCACTTGTGGACTTGGGGTTAGGTTGCCTTGTTCAAGGGCTCCTCGGCAGTGCAAAGGAGGTGAAACTGGCACCTCTCCAGTTACCAGTCTACACTCCATATTGTGGTCTGTGGGACTTGAAATGGCGGCCCTCCGGTTCCCAAGCCAAGTCCCTACACACTGAGCTACTGCCGCCCCATATATACCAGTAATATAGTGAAAGTTTCAGCAAATATGACAAAAGGTTATTTTAATAAAAGTTACCTACAGCAGCTTTAATGTTAGTTTCTTCCATAGTTTACAACAATAAAATATTGTGGTTTGATAGTACTTGATAGTTTTACATTAGCAGGAAAGAGAACTGAGAGCCAAAGATGTGGGCAAAGAGGAAGAGCAAACAAAACAGTCAGATAAGATCATTTATACCCAGAAGCATTGCACCTCCTCCTTAAACTACAGTACTACATATTTTATTAACTTAATTCTGTGGAAGTGTCTGGAAGGGTAGAATTGTGCAATATGCATGCAATCTATTTCAATTTCACACTGGTGGTAACTATCTAATGTAGGGCTGCAGCCAGTCTCTCCTGAAGACTTCAGTGAGCAGCAAATATTTAATGTTTAAATTATCAAATAAGAAGGCAACAAACTGTACATCACATTAAGGCTTAACTCTGATCTACACCAAAACAAATCTGAAAGGACATCATATCCTTTGGCAGCAAATGTCAACTCAGCTTGATAAATGCTGAGTAGCAACAAAAGGGTGTCTCAGCTGGTACAGTTATAGTTTGTCTATGTCATGTCTCTGCCAGCTCAGCTGTCAATCACACTGGCACTCAGAGGCTTGGACGTCAAAGGGGAATTTCAGATATATCACAAGATATCTGGCCCCTCACGATCCTGAAAGTGGTCCTAGCTTGTTCGAGGCTAGGCAACGGGCTTTACGATAACAGTAACTGCTGGTAGAAAACTCCTTATTTAAAGAAGCAGTAGGTCAATGTTATTAAAAAAAATTATTTTTTCATTTTTGTGGAAACTTCACTGTATCCTGACAGTTGTACATGAGACAGATAATCTGTGGCTAGTGCTCCTAATGGTATTTGCAATAATCCACCAAGCCTGAGCGACAGCAGTTATGTATGTGCAGAATTTAAATATGGTAAATAGTAAATAGACCTGTACTTATATAGCGCCTTTCTAGTCTTCCGACCACTCAAAGCACTTTTACACTACGTGCCACATTCACCCTTTCACACACATTCACTCAGTGATGGCAAAGTCCATCGAACAGAAATATGGAAACATCTTAAGTAGTAAAGAAGGAAATTCAATATTTTCTTACAGTGTTACCACACATTTAAGTATTTTTTCAAGCATCTGTGCTTTAGCCTACTTCTTTTTTGTTTAGTTTTACCCCCTACATTTTTACACAAATATCTTCTTCGTACTTGTACCAGTCTTTTTTTACACAGGGAATCACATATGTAATAGCTAAAGCCTGAATTACTGTTGAGTGGCCACACAAACCACACACAGCACATTATCTGTTTTAGGACAGCCCCTTTAGCAGATACTGGAGAAGTATGAAACTCTTTAGTGCTTCCTTGTGCTCTTCACTGTCGTCCTTCCACTGCACACCCATAAAGCTGCACTGGTAAGTTCAATCAGCATTAAGACAGTGACATCAGAGTCACTCAAGAGAGATTTTTATTTTTTACAGTAATATTCATGTAACCCTTTTTATGAAATGTACATATGCATATTTTGTTTAATTGATCCTGCTTTAAAAATAGGGTATTTATTATTTATTATAAGAGTCCCTTTAAATCAGCTAAGATAGAGCACTATGGTAGCAAGATGAATGTTCAGTTTCATGCAAAATACTGAAATGACTCAGGCACTTCTTATTTTTTATTTCCATGGAAATTAATCCGTAACATTTTGCTGCGATGACAAATCAGTAACCTGATTCAAACTAACATTACATAATTAATTAATGTTAAGCTGCAGAAATGTATGTTTGTACCTTGATGTGAAAAGTAACATTGTGATTGCATCTGTGACTCATTTCAAATGATTAGAAAGAATTATGACCACTCTTTAATGTAAAATAGACAAAACTGCTGAGTAGCTTATAAGTCTCAAACCCAACAAGACAGTTTTTCCACATTAATGGATGGTGTAACGTTACAAAAACTATATTTATTAGATATTATATTTAAAATAATTTCTTCTAAATGTGTGCATCTTTGCTACTGGCTGGTCAAAAATAATTAAGCATCTACATTTTTAATATAGTAAAAAAAATCCTGTTGATGCAACAAATCATGGGTCAGAAAATGAGTCATCGGATTGATGAGTTTCACAGTGACACAGGGCAGATGAATCTGAGTGAATCTGTAAAATACATACAGTAAAACTCACAGTTGTATGTCCAATTGACAATTAAAAAAATTAATATCAATGTCAGACAGATGTACAGGCAATGTTAGCTCACAGCCTTCTGAGGGCTACACCTAAAGTGAAAGGACATCTGACCCCTATGCAAGCTTGGCCTCAAATTAAGCTAAAGAGGAAGTAACAAAAACTGCAGTTCCTCTAACGGCCACCCCAAGCTGGTTACAGCAGTGAGTCAATCTCCATATGGCGCCATATTAAAATGCCAAACTTTACAGAGTTGGGTGAGTACTCGGCTAAAACGGGTGTGTGGTACAGATAATATTCTTTTTTACAAGTATCAGTACTCCCAAATTCCACCTGAAGTGCAGCGGTGCGTCTCATAGTGGTGGTCTATTTTTCCCGGAAGCCGGAAGCTGAGAGCCACTCACATCAAGCAGCACAGAGCAGATCTCACAGACATAGAGGGTAAAATCTTAATATTCGTATATGGCTATTTTAAAAAAATAGTATCTTACTCAAAAATCAAAAACAATGCTCTGAAGATAAAATATGAAGTCAAAGCTATTCTGGCAACTTCGGTTCAACCCATATACATTTTAGGCTTAAATGAACTCCCAGTTGGTCCTGTCAACTTCCTGTTTAAACATCACCTACATCCAGTTTAAGCCCCGCCCATTCCGATTACAGATACGAATGATACAAATACAGATAATACAGATATTGTACCCGCTCATCCCTAATTTTCAGTCTCCTGGCCTTCATCAGTGTGTGCTAACCAATGTACTCATTCTCTAAAACATAAAGTTGAGTTTCCTTGGCAGGGGCTAATACAGATCGAACATGAGAAAAGAGGTTTGTCAATGTGTGTGACAAAATGTTTTACTGGGTGAGTTCACTAACTTTAGTTAACTAACATGCCACCAAGCAAGCACTTAGATTTTCCCACCCATCTTTGTGAGATTATTGTCGTATGAGGGTTTAGCTAAAGTTTGTGAGATTAAGGCCAGTTGTGTTTAATAAGCAATTTCTTCAACTACCAGCAAAGATTAACATATCTTTAATTTATCTGTGCCACAGGACAAATCGCAGCCATGAGTGAATTGGAAGAGTTCATGACATTTTTCGGTCAATATGATAACACCACTGATGGGAATTATGTGGTCAGTGAAACTGTCCGGCTCTGTTCAAAGAGGGATGTCAATGAGTTTGGCGCGAGATTCATCCCAATTTTCTACTATACCAACTTCATCCTGAGTTACATCGGCAACGGTCTTGTCCTCTTCATCATCTACAAGTATGAGAAGCTGAACACGGTGACAAACGTCTTCCTCCTGAATTTGGTCCTCTCCAACATTCTCTTTGCCTCCAGTCTGCCCTTCTTGGCGATTTACCATCAGTCTGAGTGGATTTTTGGCTTGGTTCTGTGTAAGATAGTCAGCAGCGCTTACTTCATTGGCTTCTACAGCTCCATCCTCTTTCTCACACTTATGACATTTGACCGATACCTTGTAGTGGTGCATGCAGTGGCAGCTGCCAAGAGCAGGAGAAGGTCATACGCCATCATTGCATCTGTGGTGGTTTGGTGCATCAGTATTCTAGCAAGTGTGAAAGAGCTCATTCTCCAAAATGTGTGGACGAGCCCGTCCAGCGGAATCATGTGTGAGGAGCTAGGATACCCTGAGGAGACCATGGACCGCTGGCGTCTGGTCACTTACTACCAACAGTTCCTGCTCTTCTTCCTCCTCCCTCTGTTCATGGTGATGTACTGCTACATCTCCATCACCGTCCGCATCCTGTCCACCCGCATGAAGGAGAAGTGCCGCTCCATCAAGCTCATCTTTGTCATCATCTTCACCTTCTTCGCCTGCTGGACACCCTACAACATCGTCATCCTTCTTCAAGCCATTCAGATCTCCAGCACCAGCGAGGATGAAGACTCATGTTCCTCTAGCTTGGACTATGCACTGTATGTGACCCGGAACATAGCCTATTTGTATTGCTGCATCAGTCCCGTGTTTTACACGTTCGTGGGAAAGAAGTTCCAGAGCCACTTCAGAAGGCTGGTGGCAAAGAACATCCCCTGTCTGAAGAGACACATTAGTATCAGCAGCCAGAGCACCAAAACCACATCACAGAGGACACCACACTCTGACTACTAGACACACACACACACACACACACACACACACACACACACACACATACAAACACCAGACGATACTGTAAAAAATGCCAATTTATATTCTTTCGTATATATAATTACAAGTTACAGTATATATTACAACAAAAAACCAACCAACACATTATTTTCACTTTAACAAAAGTTAGTCCTGATAACAAAACATCTGCTTCTCACATTCAGACTGTTACTGTTATAAGATGAAGGCTTGTTGTGTGTCTTTTCGTACATGTCCTCTGAGAAACAAATACTACCAAAGTGAAATCTGTCTGCTTCAAAATATGATGCTTTGCTAGAGTTATCCCTGTAGTGTAATTTCTCAGCTCTCATTGGTTGTTTTCATTGAGGCCTGGTGGCTTCTTGCAAATGCCATTAGGAGCACTAGGAGGAGCCGGATTTTTTCACAGATTATATGTATCTATGTACTACTGTCAGGATAATGAAAGTTTCAGCAAATATGACAAAGTTATTTTTATAAAAGTTATCTACTGCAGCTTTAAGGCTAGGACTAGTGTTATTCTATAGGTTGGGTATATACTTTTCATGTTGTCAATGAATCCCATGAAAAGACCAAAACCAACAATGTGTTAGTCTGTCTCTCAGTAATTTCTGGCTCAGTACCTGAAGAGTGGCCCTCAGTCCCAAGCCCACTGGTTCCTACCAACAGCTCACAAATAAATAGTTTAATTTCCAAAAGACTTAAAAGGGCATTAAGTGGCATCTAGCAGTGTAGTTGCAGATTGCAGTGAAGGACACAGAGGTTTATGTAATCTTAAAGGTTGCTTTTCTTGAGGAACTTTAAGTGGTCTGTGGTAATATGTGGAGCTAAATGATTATTTACTTGTTGATTCAATGTTGAATGTAACGTGCATGTTTATAGCAATGTGATGCATTGACACATCTTATCCAAGTGCTTTAAAATAAACTGTATCTTAATCTTTCAATAAATATACCAGTCACTGTTCCCGACATCTGGCCTTTTATTTTTGTCTCTTATACTCTGTACTGTTGTATTTTGTGACATTGGACGGATTATCGTTTCCCTTTTCTGACAGAACATCTGGTGAGTTTTCCTGTCAGTGAAGCAAATCGCTCTAGTGAATCAGTGCAATCAGTTCTTGAGAAACCACAAATAAGTATGTGGACATAGTGGAAATGTTGAAATGGTTTGAGGCATTGCAACAGCATTGAATACTTTTATACCTGACGGCTGATTTAAATATTTCGTTTTAGGTGTTTATATAACAATGCCAGCAGTCTCAAGAGCTATGTTCTATATGTACTTGAGTTGTGTACTTACATTATCGCAAATGTTTCCAACAATGTTCAAAGGCAATGCTGTGTTTCAAGGATTGCCTTATATCCCCTTTGTGCATGTGTCAGCGTTGTGGTTTTCTGCCAGAAGCTGTCATACATTGACTGTTTATCCAGTCTGAAGCCACATTGTTACCATCCACTGTTTAGATCTGGGTGCTTTTTAACTCTAGTTTTAACCCGGATGACAGATTTTAGTCATTAGATGTCTGGATCTTAAGTTATCAGAGAAACAAGCTGAGCTAATGTTAGCAGCAGCTCGGCTCACAGCCTCTCCTTAGTCTGTCCAACAGTGTGGGAGAAACAGTGATTGTTAAGGTGGAACTGCTTTATTCAGTGTTTTTAGCGATTTTAATCAGCAGGTCTGTTTGTTTTGGAGAGGAGGAGACCTCTGTGGATCATTGGGCTCCTGGTAGAAACCTCCTGAACCATGAACACTGAAGGAATCCTAACCGGGAGAAGCTGACTGCAGTGATGGGAATGCTGGTAAAGAAAACAACTCCCATGATCCCACGCTACTTTAAGATGTCATCAAACTTTGTCTTTTGTTATTTTTCAGACACCCTAGTGGCAGAAATTACATATTGTACATTTAACAAGATTTTATAAATTCCTTATAGGTGTTAGAGTATTTTTAAAGAGTCACCTCAGTCCCAGACTGGCCTAAGCTGAAGACTTCCCCCTCCCAAATTTCATCCCCTTCCTCAAATCCATTCCTCCAAGTACAGCATCCTCTATCTTTATCCTTAACTCTTCAGAAAAGCCTTTTCAAACAGTCAAATTTAACTTCAGATGAACGAAACACTAGGTTAAATGTGGGACAACTTTACCAAGTGCTCATTGAGTGTTTTGACCCTGTGTTTGTGTTTTTTTTTTTTAAGACTGGCTAAGTTAAACCAGTGTTTTGCCTCTGTGCTATAGCAACCCACACTGACTGTGTATATGTATACAGTAATATGATGGTTCAGGTTAGGGCAGTGGTTCCTAAACTGGGCGTCAGGACCCTTACTAAGGGTTGCCGAGGCTTAATGGGGGGTTGCAAGGCCTTGATTTTACGGTGTGCTAGAAAACTACTATACACATCTCGTTTTTTTAATAGATTTTTGAAAGTGTTCACACAATATTCTTAAATTATTCAGTCAAGGTAGTTAGTTTAGATGAGTTTATATGAGTTACTATTAATGAAAGAATAATTATTTAATAATTAGTTCTAAACATCTGTGAATTAACATACTGACCAGGGATGGAGAGGGGGAGGGGGTTGGCTTCTTGTGCTCCAGCACTGAATGTTTTCAATTTTTTTCTCCAATCTTTTAGTCTTTTAAAAGAACGTCAGCTTTGTGTCTGAAATTAAATTAAAGAAAGTCAGCTTTGAGGAGTGAAAAGAGAGAAGAAAGGGAGAAGTAAAAGACAAAATATGGAGTGGTCTGGTCTGGTGCCACAATGTTTTTGCAGCGTGAAATTAGATCTGGAGTCTGAAGCTGTCAAAAGTGGCCCAAATTAGATTTTTTTAGTTTATACAGTATGTGACTCAGTTCAGTCTGAACAGCATAAATCACATGGAATCTGATCTTTTCAATTCTGATATGGGACCCTTTTAGACACAGGCCTGATATTTTGCAAAGTGACCTCATTGTGAACAGTAATAACTGAATTAAAGGGACTTTTTTGTCAGTCTAGATATTCATCAAGTGTGGGAGAACTGGGACCTGGAATCTGATATGGACCACAATTAACAAATAATGTGAACAAACAAACAAAAGAAATCTGATCTAAGCTATAAATCAGAATTTCTAAAGCTTGCAGTGTCAACGTAGCCTTGGATATTAGAATTAGATCAGGTTATTATGGCAGGGTTCACGTTTGTCAGATTTGTTAGTTAAACATTAATTTTGTGAACTCTAGACTCTAAACATAGTTTGACTAAAATAGGTTTCAAGATCAATAATGCTGCTTACACTGTTCCTACTCAGCCTATGTTATGTGTTTTCTCTTTTTATTTTTAATTTTAATCACTTTCAATATTTGTTGTGTTCTGGTTTCAGAATGATGAAGACTGGTGGAGACCCCCCACTAGGCGTCGCTAAAGCTTCACAGGGGAGCGTGAGGCCTTCTTGATTTTAAGGGGTGTAATTAGCCTTCACTCTCTTACTAAACAGCCTCGTGCTGAATTAGAAAAGTCTGGAAGAAGAAAACACTGACATTTAAAAAAAAAAGAAGATTATTAACTCTATGTGATTGTTATAAATGAAAACAATAGATAATACAGACAGAGAACTGTATAAAAAGTTCCTAAAAATATAAAAACAAAATCTCTGATCAGTATTCACAGGAAATAATTTGATCAAAATTCATAGAAATTACTCATTTTACGCAAACCACCTGCAGTTATTCTGTTCACTGTTTGGGTTCACTGTGCAATTTATCAGTTATTCTGTACTGTTATTGCTGTGTATTGAATATAATATGAAATATTCATAAAATATGTCACTTGGTCAGGGGACATCAATTTATTCAATGAAAGAAAAGGAGTACCTTCAGGGAAAATGTTAGGAATCACTACTTTGGACCCCCCTAGGACTGGGCTAAGCCCCGCATGTTTAGAACGTCAGGCTGATCCTTACCATTTTCTGTCTTTCTCAGTTTGTTAAAGTATATTTATTTATTTATAGACATACATATAGACACAAATTTATTCAGGAACGTTTTTTTTCAGTTCCCTCTTTTCCTGTCATTTCCTGTTATTCCTGCTTATTTGAATGTAATCCTTGTTGTTTTCTTGGTTCTTTTTCACAGACTGCACTGAAAAAGTAAAATATTGGTTTAACTTAAAAAAAATTAAGTAATCAATCACACAAAATATTTGACATTTACTTAATGTTAAAAATGTATTCAGTTTAACCTGTATTTTTTAACTCAGTGCAAATTATTTTATGTAGGTTGAGCAAACCACTTACTAATATTACTAATAATATATACTACTATTATATAATTATTATATATTACTTAAAATACATTATATTTCAAGTAATCCTATTTTTTTTTTTAATGGTTGTGTTTTTTGACTTATTGTATACAAGCCATTTTTGGGACATAACAATTAGTTACTCTGTGCATTCCCAAGTAAAGCGATACATCATACATAGTTAGTTCCTCATGCTTTATAATTATCTTACTTATTATCATATTCCGACCACTCGTTCTCAGTTTATGAATGGTGGGCAATATTGAGTTGGTGTTGTATTCAAGCGCCATAGGAAATTTGAATTGTGTTGTGAGTAATGATGTTTGGTGAAGCATGTGTCTTGATAAAATATATCTATAACTAATACCACCTGAAGTGAGGATGATTTAATCCAGGTCTAGTCTTGAGACAGGTAAGAATGTATAAAGATCAGTTATCTTGGGGAACCGAGAAGGAGAGAGAGATTGCAGCTTGGACAAGCTCCGTTAATTTGATTCCAGTATGAGTTGATTTTTCCTCAGTTTTCTGTAAATATCTTTAGTTTTTTTGTTGCTTTTCACATTTATGGAAGCACTTGAATAAATGCCCACAAAAGGGGAATTAAACCACAACGTCCTGAGTCTGCCTCCTACTTATGACCTACTCTGGCAACACCTATCTTGCAGAATGATTCCTAATAATGTTGCCTGAAGAATGAAGCATATATAAAGTTAATAGACTTGGTCCAAGCACAGAACCTTGTGGAACTCCATGACTAACTTGAGTGTTTATAGAGGATTCATCGTTAACATGTACAAACTGAGAACGATTTCAGAGACAAGTCCATTGTCAGAAGCAATCAGAAGGTCATTATTAACTTTAACCAGAGCTGTCTCTGTGCTATGATGAACTCTAAATCCTGACTGAAAATCCTCAAATAAACTATTGTTATGTAGAAAGTCACACAACTCTTTGGCGACTACTTTCTCCAGAATCTTAGAGAGGAAGGGGAGGTTAGAAATCGGTCTATAGTTGGCTAAAACCCCTGGGTCAAGAGTGGACTTTTTAAGAAGGGGTTTAATTACAGCTACTTTAAAGGACTGTGGTACATATCCTGATAATAAAGAAAGATTAATCATATCCAGTAAAGAAGTGCCAATTAAGGGTACGACTTCTTTAAGCAGTCTAGTTGGGACAGGTTGATGGCTTCGATTGAAGTTAATTGATGAAGATCGATAGCAGATAGTCTAAATATATATCTATATCTATATCTATATTTTAAAGTCCCTGAACTTGGAGAGCCAGTGATACCTGTTGAGGGCATTTGGTGATGAAGTTTCTCTCTAATAGTAATAATTTTATTATAAAAGGAGGTCATAAAGTCGTTGCTATTTAAGGGTTGTGGGGATATGTGGCTCAATAGAGCTGTGTCTCTGTCAGCGTGGCTACAGTGCTGAAGAGGAACCTGGGGTTGTTCTTGTTTTCTTCTATAAGTGTTGAATAATAGGCTCTGGGGTTCCATATGTTCTAAGACTATCTTGCCAAATTGGGGATCGATGACCTACTCACCCTCTGAGCCACAGCCGCCCATGGATAAAATATTGATAGGTATGTTTTTATTAGTGTACAATCACCTCAAAATAAGAAGCATTGTGAATTTGTTACCTTAGAATGAGCCACTACAGAGGCCCCGCTCCCTCTGTATCTACAAAATCCGCCATGTTGAACCACCATGTTTCAACAGTAGCCCAGAACGGACAAACCAGGCCTGAACGAAAACAACTATCTGTAGTCTTCACATCTAACGTTACTCTCTATTTTAAAAACGTACTCAACCGGTTATTTCCCCAGACCTTTTATATACCACTTCTGTCGAACACCGGGCTTTGTGTTTTTTATCCTTTCTCCTGTGTTCCCTCAGGGGGGCTCTTGAAGACCCTCCCGCTACTCTCTGCCCCCTCCTCATTTCAGGGAGCCCTGTATTGTTGTGCGGACCGTACCAAATGCGCCAGAGAGCGGGGGTGTATTGATGAGGCAGTTCAGCGGCTGGACAGCTCCCGTCCGTTTGTCTGACCATGCACCTGGATCTCGAGGCCCGGCCCGCAGCTCGACCGCGTTCTGTTCACAGGCTAGTTCCGGAGGTCGTCGGTCAAAGCCTGCTGCTAGAGTGCCACTTGGCCGGTTCATAAGAGAGGAAAAGCAGGAGAAGACAATACGCACAGGGAGCAGCTAAAGGACGGGACAGCCATTGCTTTTTGCTTTCACGGCTAAGAAAAGAAAGCAGCGTCTCGGCTGTGTATCAGCGGAACAAGAGACAGTCCGGCGGAGGGAACACCGCACCGAGACCCACCTAAACCCCCTCCCCTGTCTCGGTTCGTCTCTTTGACTGAGTGTGTTTTTTGTGAAGATGTATTATCCGACCGTCTTCCTCCTGCTGCCAGTTCTGTGTAGCATCATCAGCACCTCCAGAGCTGCATCCTCAGTATCCCGTAAGTAGGCTAACACACACACACACACACACACACACACACACACACACACACACACACACACACAACACACAACACACACACACACACATTAGCTACCGTGGCTAATTTGGTGGTGAGCTCTTGCTGGGGCCAGCGCAGCTCTCTGTGCAGTCACGGATGTTGTTGTACAGTTTTTGTGGGGCCCATAAACAGGGAGCCAGAGCCCACTATGCTTGTGTGGTCTGACAGCTATGTGGGGGCCAAAATGCTGGACCCCACAGGTTTAAGTTGTTTAGCGGTTAGGCACTTAGGTGTGATGGTTTAAGGTTAGGGAAGGGGCGAGGGAATGCAGCCAAACAAGTGAGTGAGTGTGTGTGTGTGTGTGTGTGTGTGGACTCTTAGTTAGCATGGCCAAACCACCAGCATAATCATCAGGGCTGTGGATCATGCAGTATTATATGGAAGCCCATTTCTGCCAATTTGAGGGGGAAAAAAGATTCAGTAAGTCATTACATCACTTTCTCAAAATAATGAGAAACCATCTCAAAATTTGGATTTAGTATTTTGGGTAATAATATAGTTTGAGTTTTTATTAAGACATTATTTTCAAATAGTAAGTCATTATTGTAAGATAATAGTGCTGTGTCTCAGTTTGAATACTTCCATACTTAAACCAGCTATTTTCAGTACATATTAAGTGCGTTCAAAATGTTGAGTGTGGCAAAATGCAGTGCACTGCAAGTACCTGGGTGGTGCACTCATAGAACGCTAAACACTTCTCACCCTCAGTGCTCGTCTGCTATGTAGCAGAAGGGAAGGTATCACCAGAACATACCATTATATTTTAAAGGGAGTAGGAGGAGTACAGGTCATCGGCTTAGATGGTGTAATTTCCGCCTTGCATGAAACATTTGACTAAAAATCGCTGTAGAAGAATGTTACGCGGTTAAATGTTGTGATCGTCATTTCCAGCACGTACATCAATTTGAGACTGTGCTGCTGAAATGACTGCACTACGCAAATAAGTACGTAGTGTGCATAGGTGTACGACATAGAAGTGACACAGCATATGCCTTTATTTTGACATGCTAAGTCATACTTTGGAGAACGTTTCTCATATATATATGACTACAGAATCTTTTTTTCCCATCACATTGGCACAAATGGGATTCCATAGTATCATAAAAATGACACGCATCTCATTGTTTTAATGTTTGTGAAGGAGTATACTGATGTATTGATGAAGTGCAGAGTCAGCAAATGTAGCACTAGAAAGTACATAGTTCAGAGTTCAACTTTGTGCAGCCAGGGTAGCAACAACATATCAGTTTCAGTTGTACAGAGGGAATAATATGAAATCTGCTCACCAATCCATACTGACCTACTGGGTGCTCCACAAATGTAACCCAAAGTAGAAGGAACCTTGTTTGATGACACCTTTTAACCCCCACATCCAGCACTTCTAATTATAGGACTGTAAGAAAATATGGAAAAATGTCTACTGAACGTTTCTCAACAGTATAAAATAGTTAATAATCAGTATAATCATGGATTTAAGAAAATTTATTTATCATTAAACAACACAAGGTTGTACAACAAAATGAAAGTTTGCCATCCCTTCATGCTACACACATAAGATAATTAAATGTAGCGAATAACATAGAAAATGACAAAAATACACGTATACACCCAGGAAATAATTCTGCAGGTCATCTTTTGAATTTGCATCTGGTTAAATGTAAACAGCAGCAACAACCCAGTGGCGATACTAAGGTTTCGTCTTCACATAAAAAGAAATAGTGTTTCTGAGCACGAAGCATCATCGATGTAAACACAGTCTCTCCTGCACTCTGTTGGCTTGTAACAAGGTCCACTCGTCAACTGCTTGATCTGGGATGTTGATGGAGCAGGTCTCTGTAAAGATGAGAGCACAATAGTTTCCTCTTTTTTGGCCAGCCTGAGTCCCATTTCTTTATTTTGCTTAGAAATGCTACCTTAAATAAAACATTTTTTATTGTTGAAGGTCCAGTGTGTAACATTTAGGAGGAGTATTCACTTTGTTTGTATGTTTTGCGGCCACCGTAGTGTCTCTGTCATGCTTGGAAGGTGGCGGTAAAGTGAGGAAATCACGATCTGTTAGATGCCACTAAATCCTACACACTGGACCTTTAAAGGGATACTGCACCAATTTTACACATTAAGGTCAGTTTACTCAGCTGTTTTGGAGGGAGCTTTCTTATGTCTGAAAGAGGCTAGAAACTTTACATTTTGACCAGAAAGTTACAAACAGCAAGTGTGGAGTTTGAAAGATGTGGGCCTTCAAGATAAACTAAGATAATATTTAACTTTATTGCTCCCATATCGTAAAATTGTATTCATTTAACAGGCACTTAAGTTGCATTATGGGAATTGTAAGCTAATTCAATGCCCTAAAATATAGGAAGCCCAATTTGGAGTGGTTCATAAGCTTAAAAAGGTAATATTGTTTGCTTCAAAATGTAACTTTTTAACCATTGCACACTGTCATTTGCACCCCCATGCCCATACGTTTGTGCACAGGAGACACTCTTGAATATCAGAATAATACACAGAGTCATTACAGTGATAATATGAGACAGATAACCCAGTGGTGGCTAAAAATAAGAGACCGTGGTCCCACCCATAACATAAAAGTAACAGAGTCAGATAAGTAGCTTGACATCAATTCAATCTCTGTGTGTACAGTACACTGACAGGCTCTTGACGTGTTTAGCCTAGATTATCCAGGTGAACATTGGCTACGTTCACACCGCAAGCCTTACTTCTTAATTCTGTTTTATGCGGGATGCAGTTTTGGAATTTTTGGAAGGTACAATTTCTTGCTTGGTGTCTTTCTATCCACCTGTTTTATGTGCAATACACAAGTTGTGCACTTTGTGTAAAGGTTGGCATATTGAAAAGACTGATGGAAATAAGCCACTGCCACAACCGCATGTGACATCACATCAACATGTCATGTTCAGTATAGATAGATAGATAGATGTGAGGCTAAAGAGACACAGCAGAGGTGCTGACAACCTTCTGAAATGCTGTGCTACTCAGTATCCCTCAATTCACAGCCCAGGATTATAACACCACACAGGAGAAAGTTGCGGAAACAAACGCCGACTGGGCCAGTAATTATCCCACGGCCCGACAGTGTTTCGGTGTGACCCTGTTAACTAGCAACTTTCAGCTAAATTAGGTTGTCAGTTGACAGGGTCACAGACCCAGGAGGCAGGAGGAGGATGTGAGACTTAGTACAAGCAGGTACTGAGATTAAACATTTTACTGCTGTGCTTCCTACTATGCCTTCATATTGACAGCCCTAATGGTGGCTGCTTTCTTCTTCTGTCGATGTCCTGCTGCCACTCACTGTGACTCCAACTTCCAAGAAATAAAGACCATTATGGATGTAACTGCGACCTTTCTGGTTTGATTCTGGACAGGGCCCTTCATGTTGGCAATATGCAAGTTGCATAGTGTGCATTTATGTATGTTGACATGGGCTACACATGGTAAATGGACTGTAGTTATACAGCGCCTTTCTAGTCTTTCAACCACTCAATGTGTTATACACTATATGCCACCCTCACCCACCCACACACATTCATACACTGATGGTGCCAACTGCTCATCAGAACAGAAACTAATCATTCATTTACACTCACAAACCGATGCGTAGCCTCAGGAGCTATTTTGGGTTCAGTATCTTGCTCAAGGGTACTTTGACATGCAGTAAGAGGAGCCAGGAATCGAACCTGCTGCAACCTGAAGATGTTTCTAGTAAGTTAACCCTATACATGATCTATGATGGTTCCTTACATATCGAAGTATCCTTGAGCAAGATACTGAACCCAGAATTGCTCCCGATGCTGTGCATCGGTGTGTGAATGTGTGTGAAAGGGTGAATGTGGCACGTAATGTAAAAGCGCTTTGAGTGGTCGGAAGACTAGAAAAGCACTATACAAGTACAGGTCCATTTACCATTTACCATTTACACTGACTTCCCTCTCAGAGGTCAAAGGGCATATTTACTTAAGTTTTTTTGAGTTTCTGGTTGTAGAAAGTTCAGTATCCTAGAATGTTAATAGGTGCATGTTGTGGAAAGAATTCTTTTATTTTGATTTACAAATTGAATGTAATCAGAAATGGTTCCAGAACCATTTTCATCCTACACCTTATTTAAATCTTCCCTTTATCTGTTCTGCTTACAGCTTAGTTTCACAGCTGGCTTTTGTTTTAAGAAACTCAGCTTCTCTGCAGCTCTCACTGGACTGTCCTTTGGGTGCTAACAACTACTTAAATGGGAAACAATGAGTGCAGTCAGTTATGTCATTAATGGTAAATGTACTTATATAGCGCCTTTCTAGTCTTTTGACCACTCAATGCGCTGTACACTACATGCCACACTCACCCCATTCACACACGTTCATACACTGATGACAGTGGCTGCCATGCAAGGTACCAACTAATTATTCATACACACTCACACACCGCTGCAGAGCATCGGGAGCAATTTGGGGTTCAGTGTCTTGCTCAAGGATACTTGGACATGCAGCGAGAGGAGCCGGGGATCGGACCTCCAGCCTTCTGATTAGTGGATGACCTGCTCTACCTCTGAGCCACAGCCGCCCCTTAATGTGTCTATTCAGCAAGAAAATGCACAATGTTTCTCTACTACTACTACTACTACTACTACTACTAGATTGTGTTGTTTCCCAGTAGTCCTGAAGAAGTTTCCCTCATTCTTTCAAGAATTGTTTAGTGTAAAGCTTAAAGTCTCTGTTAACTGCAGAGAGTGGTTCTGTAGACTTGGCAAGACAGAACAAGCGAAGACATTAGAGGGAACATTGTTAGAAACTGAAAATTTTGACCTTAGTACTAGATCCTCTTTTACACACAATCTAGGTGACACAGCCTCACTTCTGTAATGAAACATCATCAGGACATTGGGCAATGCCATCTGCACTAAAACAGATGGTGTGGCAGAAAATGTTTTTACCTCGACATGCTACCTTGATCCACAACACGGTACAATCCACCTGAACTGGCAATAAACAAAATATTTTTTTGACGAAAGATTAAAGCTCAAATTAAAGCTGCAAGCAGCATTGGGCCACACCATGCTGAGACCCCATGCCCAAGCTCATCACCAGAAGCCAAGGGAGACTGTGCAAAGGACTTATGTGTTCATAGTAAGTCTCTTCACTGTGAAACGTGGAAATTCAGCGCCACACCACGGATACACCGTTTGACGCACAGTAAATATTTGATTAACTTTTGATCACCAACGTGTCTAGATTGCGGTGATCAAATTTGAAGTCGATCCGATAAAATCCGTTGGAGGAGTTAATTAAAACGGAAGCCCTGAAATGCTGGAAATGGCATCACAGTTTGACATTCGATTCAACCTGGCCAACTTTGACGGCATGCCACAGACACACCCTTCAATGTACAGTCACAAATAGCTCAACTTGTAATCAGCAGCATTTTGTAACTGTACTGATCAATTTTGAAGCAGATTTGAGAAGATAGGAGTTTGTTCGTTCAAATACAAGGCGAAAAATTTGCCAACAATAAACACAAAATTCAAAATGGCCGATTACCTGTTGGGTTTGGGTTATGGGTCCAAGAGGATTTTTTGCTTGTCCCATCATGATACACATGCGTACCAATTTTCGTACATGTTAGTCGTACGTGTCCTGGGGGCTGATTTTGGGGGGTGTGGCTAAGCCATTATGCGACGCCCATCTGCAGGACCAAGAAAATACCTTAGCCTTCGCTGCGACTGAATTTTGTGCAAAGTTTCATGATTTTTTGTGCATGTTTAGTAGAGCTGGAGGTAAACGAATATTTATTAAACGATTAATTTTGCGATTATTTTACCGATTAGTCGACTAATCTAACGACTAATTGGACGATTAATCTAACGATTATTTTTCTGTGAGACAGATAACGTTAAAAGCTACTTTAATTTGCTTGCTACCGTTAGCTAGATCTAGCAGCTGTGCACTTTGGTGGTGCTAGGCTAACCTACGCATCTTAGCTCTCTGTGCAGTTTGTTCGTGCTAGGTTAGTAGCTAAAGTTCACATTAGCTAATGTTAGCTACTATGGATAGCTGTGTTCTGCAGCCGTAAGCTAGCTACCATTCAAGCCAACATTAGATGATAACTAACGTTAGCTAAACACAGCTGTCTAGGCGCCAGTAGCTAACTAACGTTAACATTAGCTACTAATCTAGCACGAACAAACTGCACGGAGAGCTAAAATAGTTAGCTAGCACCACCGAAGTGCGCAGAGCTCAAGCTACACAACACACTACACAAACATGAAATTAATTTAACGTTAGTACTTAATTGTTATGGTCTCCTTCATGAGTGATGGGCTGCCTCCGTTTCAGACGCTCCCACATTGCTGTTGTACTGGTGTGGTATGCCAACTCCATTTGGCAAAGAGCGACACTTTTACGTTTGGGACTAAATTTGAAGTAGTCCCTTATACTTGGATGATTTAGGGCGAGCTGTTTTTTTATGACTTTTTCTTTTATTGGGGCTTTTATTGGGACTTTTTGCAGGGCTTTGTTGGGAATTCTGTGAGGAGGTTGCTGTTTCGTCCTCCATTCTGCAATGTTTTGGTCTCCCACGTGTGTGTGGCGAGCTGTGGCGAAGTGTTGACGCATTGAATATGACGTCGACGTAATTTTGACGTTGACGCGTCGCTACAGGCCTAATGTTTAGCCCCCCCAAAAAAACATCAAATGTTAACACAAAAGCTGATTTTCGGCCGGTCGCCATGGCAAAATTCTTAAGATTCACACGATGTCATCGTCATCATCCCAATACATTTCTGACAGAATTTCAGCTAGATCTGGTCAGTCTGCTGGAAAATGGATGCCAAATATGCAGTTGAAGGCGGGACCTAGCGGTCGCTGGCTCAATCCCTAAATATCCTGACCCCAGATATCCACACTCAGTGACTACCTTGACTGCTGTGTGTGAATGTGTATGAATGCTTAGTGTAAAAGTGCTTGGAAGTGGTCGGAAGACTAGAAAGGCGCTATAAAAATACAGGTCCATTTACCATTTACCATATTCAAAAACGTCATGATCAAATGTAATCTTGTTCAAATGATCAAAAAACACATAAATGAATAACAAGGATATTTCTCAGTAGGATAAGCTGTCAGTGGAGTGCTGAGGTCATTTTCCATGTTCTCCGTTGAGCAGATCATCTCTTTCTTGTTCCTTTGAACTGATTAATACATGCTTGGCTTGTTGTTTTGTAATGCATATGAGGGAGCTCATTACCATGCCCTGCACCTGTCACACACACACACACACACACACACACACACACACACACATACACACCACACCACACACACACACACACACACACACACACACACACACACACACCACACCACACACACACACACACACACACACACACACACACACATACACACCACACCACACACACACACACACACACACACACACACACACACACACACACACACACACACAAATACAAATGCAGAGCTGCCACTCCCTCCCCCACCCAAACTGTGTCTCATATCAATTCTGATGAATGTGTCACAAACAAAGACTAACCTATACAATCGGGCAGCCTTATGCTGGGAATATGTCCCATTATAAGGTTGAAAAAGCAATGTTATCTGCATTATGTCCAAACCGTTGATAAAAAACAAAACTTTGTTTTTAAAATATATTTTTTAGTGACAGGCTGTTAAAGTGATTTTAAAGATTATTTTTAGGGTATTTTGGCTTTATCAACTTGTGACAGTTACATAAGTGACATGCACGTAATTTCATAAGCGTTAGAATAACCTTTCTGGTAAAGAATTACTTTAATATATCAGTGTTTGTAAAAGCACAGCCTCTTTGACCACAGCTGTTCCTCATCCTCATTTTAAAGTCTGTGTTATTTACTTTTATTTCAGAGGTATAGAACAGTGGTTCCCAACAATCAGAACAATGAGAAGAAAACACTAAATTTGACAAAAAGAAGCCTTTAAAAAAAAAAAATCCACAACACAGAATGAGAATTGTATAAAAAGTTTTCTAAACAGAAAATCTGCTCAAAATTAATCTAAATCACTTGTTTTATGCAAGCTTCCTGTAGTTACTGAATTCACTATTTGGGTTCTTTGTACAGTTTTGAGTATAATATGAAATATCCATAAAATATGTCACTGAGTCAGGGGTCAACAGTTTATGAATAATAGAGAAGGGGTCCCTTAAGGAAAAAGGTTGATAACCACAGGTTTAGAAGTTGTTGAATTACTAATGCTAATTACCAATGCAGCTCATACAATACAATAAAATGCACAATGGGATTGGTACAATATGAATGTGTGCAGTGTGAACAAATTTCACTGAAAACATACTATTGTACTTTATATAGGACTATACTTCCATGCTACCCAGCACTGCACACTGTAAAGAAAAAACACTCTCCTTTGGGCTCCAATTGGAAAGTTATTCATTATTGATTGATCTAAGTGTTTTGTTTTTCTTTGTTGTTTCTCTTTTTCCATTGACCTATTGAAATATGAAATGTCTAGCATAATATGGATTTCTTTTGCCGATACGAGAACCAATAATTACCTGAATCATTGAATATTTGAAAAGAAGTTCATAACCTATAGATTTTACACACCTGATGGTAAGAAAGACTGACATGTAGTGAACAAAGATAGATCATTTAAAATTTCAGAACTTTGTTCTAACCAAACCAAACTGGCATCACTATTGCTAACACAACAGCCAACAATATATTTAGTATTGGAGTATTCAATACGGTGCTTTGGCCTAATGGTAATGCTAGAGCAAAAGTCAGGGGATCCCTTAATCACTGATGAGGAGCTCAGTTCCCGCTGTAAAACCTGACAACACATCTTACAAAATAAGTAAGTTAGTATAACATAATCCTCAAAAAAACTTGTTGAAGCAACATAGTTGTTTTGAGTGCACTCAAATGTGTGCAGTATTTCAAGTTTTGTGATATAATTCCTGTTTATTCCATTGACTCATTTTCTTGAAGACATTGTATAGCTTAGGATTTTACAGTTTTAATTTATATTTAATTTCTTAATGTGTAGTTAAACAAAAATACATAAAAAATAATTGGCTACCATTTTGATAATAAATTAATGATGAATTGTTTTTATTGTATCTTCTAACTTCTACCTAAATCAAGGTTTCCTCCAACTGTTTGAGTTGAACTTACTCATCAGGTTTTACAGTGCTTTGTCTGTGTTTTCTCTCTCTGGTTCAGGGAAGTGTGAGGACAGCTTGGCTACTCCTCTCCCGTACAGCTCATTCACCAGTTCATCGGTGTATGGCCGGGCGTATGGAGCTGGTTACGCCAAACTCAATCGGAAACAAGGTATGTCTTTATAATGAAAAGTACTGTTGAGGTTCCTGCTATTATGTATGCACATGAGTTCATATTGTACATTTTGTTGGTTTGTATTCTCTTGTATCACTGCATACCAGTAGCCGTTGCATGGAATGAAAATTGTAGTTGGTGATGTATTTCCTCTGATATGCAAATAGCAAAAGGAGGGTCCTTTACTTCATGATCAGTGTTCATATTCTTCTTGGTATGAGTGCAGGTTTTTCAGCATTCATTCCATTGTATAGAGGTCCTTACTAGGGTTTGGTCGGTGTCCAGTTTTGTCGGTCCACTGTACAAACTTAATCTGGTTTGATTTTATGCAAACCAACTGTACCAGCATTTGTCAGTAGGTTTGCTGATATAACATAACATTGAGTTGAAGGAAAAAATACTTTACTATAAAAATTGGAATATGCTGGAAGAGGTATAGCAATTTAGGGAGAATCACCGTATTTATAGGGTTAACACGACAAATTAGGGACAAGGTGAGTTATGTCAAGTTTCCATTTGTCAACAAGAGAGCAAAACATTTTTGGCAGCAAGTACCTAAAACCTTCATAGACAACTTTGAATGGAAAAAAAGGCTGTGGAAGTTTTTTAGTTCATGTAAATTTAACTTAACGAAATAGCTAGCCAGCTATAGTTTGTCAGTAATGTAGCAGATTGCAGTACTTGAACCATACATTATTAAGGGACATAAATTCAACCTTAAATGTCAAGAGTATTATTATTTATAATAAAACATTTAATTAATAATTCTCCGTCAGTCTATTTACAATGTAGTTCAGATCATCTGACTTATGACTATTGCCTGTGAACCCCGAATATTTTGAATAATACATCCAGTCAGAGGTTTCCTGATGCAATTTACAGCATTCATTCTTTGAGAATCTCTTTCATATCCAAACAAAATTGGTACTGTAACTGAAATATCCCTAATTGAATCCATACTGAATCGAATCAAATCAAATCAGAAATGGAATCAAATCAGGACCATGTGAGTGGCCCTAGTTGGTTGTAAAGTAAAACTACAAAGAACACCATGTAATGAATGTTAGTAATTTCTTACCATGAGCAAACATTGTATTTGAAACCCTTTCTAAAGTAGCAGCTTTGAGCCTATTTCCATCTGATATTACATATTTTATTTAATGCTTAATATATAGTACAGAATGGTTATTGGCTTACATTGAAGAAGACACCATAAGTACCATTAAATGCAGGGGTGTGTCCAGAGGGGGAGCCTGAAATCTGATTTGCCACCCCAAGTGCCATGTGTTATTTTTCGCCTAGTGTATTTTTTAATATTTCTGCATACTGGGGTCCATAAACAGCATTGGACTATTTTAAAGAAACAGTACACACACAACGCAATATCCCACTCTTTCTCCTTTTCCCTTCCTCCCATCTTTCACCCCGTCCACCCCTACAACACCCACAAAACTAGGTGCTGGAGGTTGGTCGCCCTTGGATACAGACCGTTACCAGTGGTTACAGGTGGACCTGGGTTCTAGGAAGCAGGTGGTCGCCATAGTGACACAGGGTCGCTACAGTAGCTCAGATTGGACCAGCAAGTATCGGTTGCTTTACAGTGACACACAGAAAAACTGGAGGCCTTACCTACAGGATGGAAACATCTGGGTGAGTAAGAATCTAAATTCTCATCTAAACTTTTACGTTAACTCTTTGAAACCATCAGACAGTGATGGATTCTGATGTCTGCGGATAAATGTCAGTAAATAACTTTTAAAACCTTAAGATATAACTTTAGATCTTCCCACAATCATCAAATTGTTCATGTTTTTTTTCTTTTTTTTTTTTCTTTTTCATGATTTTCCCAAAGATTAACATTTTCCTTGAGAGATGGGTAACGGCAGTCTGACGAATGGAAGGAACCAGATTCACTGGTGTTTTTGTCGCATTGTTTTACTGCAAAATAACGTGTTGGAGTGTGTTCTCTGGTCAGAAATGTTAAGACAGCAGTAGGAAAATTCTCTGCCATTGTTGCTGTGTTGGTGACAGTTGTCTGTGTGACTGTGGGACAAGACCGGCCTGTGAGCATCACTGGCTAGCTAGCCCTCACAGGCACTTCTGGAGCTTCTCAACTCAAAAACTTTGGAGCAAATTTTCCATGGTTCAGTAGTTGAGCTTATACTGGTATCATTTCTCTGTACCCCTGCAATACATGTGGAGACTTTTCTTTAATTCAGCAAAATACACTGTCACCCTACAAGTTGTGTTAATGAAGTCAACCTATTTTATTCTATAATGTAATCTAGCCCAAAAGTATATGTTTATAATAGCAAATAGAGTCAACAGAATCGAGTTGTAAAGTTGTATTTTTTATTCAGTGTAATTAAGATTTTTTAATTGGTGTCAATGATATAGCTAGTGCTATTAATCCTTCCTTAGTACTGGTCATATTGGTATCGGGTATGCACCAAGCATCAGGCACACTCATTTTCTAGTCTGTCTTTGAATTTTCCCATAAAATAAATTGTTAATTAAACATTTTCAAATTGTAATAAAAAACAATTGCAAAATCTTAAGCGTATGTGATATATATGAAAAATATAGAATTTAACCAATAAAAATATAAATTTTTTTATTACTGAAAATGTACCTGAAGTTTTTGGGAAAACTGAACAGATAGGTGTTACATAGACTGGAGAACTACCTGAAGCATGTTTATTTTCTTTGTGTTTCAGACATTTGATGGGAACGTGAACAGTGAGGGTGTGGTCCGCCATGAGCTGCAGCACGCCATCCTGGCTCGCTACATCCGCTTCATCCCAGTGGACTGGAGCAAAGATGGACGCATTGGAGTACGCCTGGAGCTCTATGGCTGCTCCTACTGTGAGTACAAGTGGACAACAAAGGGAAACCTGACTATTCACTGAGATGCTCTGATCAGCTCCTCTATTTAGTTCCCTATTGTCTCTAAGGAAATTGTTAAAAAAGAGTTTATGTTTGGAGCTCCTTCTGGTTAAAATACTTATCACTGACTCTATAGTTCATTTTTGTTATAGTCTATCCCAAGGTTGTCACTCTTTTCTGTTTTAGTTATTGAGTTTGGTTTTAACGGTACACAGAAATTACAGTTTGATTCAAACCCCGGTGTAAGAGTCCCAATTTGGTATAATGGGAAAACAAAATTCAGCACTGTTTAGTTTGGTTGTTTGATCTGAGTTTGGTGCACTGTTTAGTTTGGTAGTTTGATCTGAGTTTGGTGCACTGTTTAGTTTGGTAGTTTGATCTGAGTTTGGTGCGTTGTGCTTGGCTGACTCGCTGAGGATGACTTGTCAATCACAAGGTAGCTACGCCCTAAAGTATCTTAAGTTAGTTCTTGTGAGTTTTTGATTTGGTACTACCTTGAAAATAAGACCATACATCTCAAGGAGTTTATCCTGCTGTAATACATTTGAATTTTTCTTTGTGTCCCAAAGCAACTAATTTCATATGGTCCGGCAAGCAGGCACCTCCACAATATTTGAAGGTCCTTGTGTGTTCTATTGGCCAGAAAGGAAATTTCTTTTTTTGTCTTCCAGGGGCAGATGTGATCAGTTTTGACGGCCACGGCGTTATCTCCTACCGCTTGAGGAGTAAGAAGATGAAGATTGTGAAGGATGTCATTTTTCTGAAGTTCAGAACCACAACTGGAGATGGGGTCCTGCTCCATGGAGAGGGACAGCAGGGAGACTACATATCCCTGGAGCTCCGCAGGGCAAGACTACAGCTCAGCATCAACTTAGGTAGCCTTTCATAAAGTCTGTATGGTTTCAAGGAAAATGTTCTCCAGAGACAGCCTCTTCTATTCTATTGAAATTCTAGGGACTGTATTATCTACTGATAAACTAACTACCTTTACCTGTTCATGTCTCTGTAACTTGTATAGGGAGTAACCAGTATGGCTCCATTCAGGGTCACACCTCTGTGACCAGTGGGAGCTTATTGGATGATGACCACTGGCACTCAGTTGTCATAGAGCGTTACCGAAGGAATGTCAACTTCACTCTGGACCACCACACTCAGCAGTTCAGGACCAATGGAGAGTTTGACCACTTGGACCTGGACTATGAGGTAGACTCCCTGTGGCTCATGCTGTCAGGCATTTTAGTCATCTAAGCCTCGTTCCTGGAGTCACAGTGGCACAGCAGCACCTTTAAGCACATTTTGGTTTTATAAACCTGCTAATGAAGTGTGCTGGGCAAGCAGTAACACATCACTTGTTACTGCTTACTGAGATTTAGGGGCAGCTGTGGCTCAGAGGTCGAGCGGGTCCAAAACGTAATGACATTTATCCCAACATACCAAAGCTAGCTAATCTACATTGATCGTTAGTTAGTCACATCTGAACACTAATGTCAGTGACACGCTAGTTAACTAGCTAAGTATTTTACATGATCAAACAGTCATCTAGAACTCAATGTTAAGAAAACAAAAGAACTGATCATCAACACTTCCAGCATCCACAGCTCAGCACACAACCTCATCCATAACCCCACAATTATCAACAGTGAATCCGTGGAGATTGTGGAGTCCATCAAATACCTCGGACTAACCCTGGACAATAAACTGAACTTCGATCATCACACCAGTGACATCCGCAAACGCTGCCACAAAGACTCTCTGCCATCTGCAAACTCAATGCACTTTCTGTTGCCCCCAAACTTCTTTTATAACTCTATAAAAGCATAGTCCAACCTGTCATCCTCTACTGTTCAACCTGCTTCTACAACATGTTAACTGCCTCAAATAGGAACATACTGACACGCATTACACACCACGCCTCCAAAATCATTGGTCTCCCCACCCCCAACCTCTCAGACCTCAACAATACAGCCATTACACGAAGAGCACACAGTATAGCACATGACCCCAGCCACCCCCTCAACTCATTATTCGTACTGCTACCATCTCGACACAGATACAGGACCGTGGCCTGTAAACGTGCGTCGCTATGGCAGAAGGTACAGAACTCCTGCCATAGCGTCTCTAAACAAGGCATCCCGGTAACAGCCGTGAGTGAGTGCTACGCACACGACAAGTCGTGGTGTCCATATGTTTTTTTCGTATCTATGTATGTATGTCTGATAGCTATGTACAGACTGCGGCGACAAATTTCCTGTGAAGGACAATAAAGTATATTATTATTATTATTATTATTATTATTATTATTAATAATAATAATAATCTTTAGTTTTGCTAACATCAGCTAATATAAGATGTGACTACATATGGTATATGTTGCTTTTATCTTTTAATCATCTTCAATATGTTCTTGTCTTTTCAACATAGAGAGTTTAGCACATAGTAGCATATCTAAGTAGAGGAAAGGAGAAAGTTGACAGAAGTTCTGATCGAGGCTTGTTCTACTGTAACTGAGGGACAGAGCAAAAAGGATCTGACTTAGGGAGGGTTCTTTGTGGCTCCTGTATATGTCTTTTTTTCTAGAAGTGGCCCACCAATTTGTGTTAAAATAGAAAAATATGGATATTAAAGAAATCTGCATAAAATGATAAACTGTAAATATCTATATGGCAGGCATGTTAAGTAATTTGTAAAACTAGGATGTCTACATATGACTTTTAATGTAAGCATCAATTCCACTTGTGGTGTGAGTTATGATATAAAATACATTGAAAATGAACACCACTACAAACAGCAATTTAGAATTTCAGCTTAAATTGAACCTTACCTAGACAGTGCGAAGTAGACATCATAGTAGCAGGATCAATGTCACTTAGTCCATGTTGTCCACTCTGCTGTCCTCAGATCAGTTTCGGAGGTTTGCCTGTATCAGTGAAGCCGAGCTCTGGCGGTAGAGAGAACTTTGTGGGCTGCATGGAGGGAATCACCTACAATGGAGACAACATCACTAACTTGGTCCGCAGGAAGAAGGTGGACACCTCCAGCTTTGTAAGACAACTCTTTTTGGCTTTGAGTCTGTGTGTGTCTGAGAGTATTAGAGACCTGGCTTACGATGTTTTTATTCATCTTTGTCTGCCTTTAGACTAGATTAAGGCAATTCTTTTCCTTACAGTATTGCAATATATTGAATTGTAACCCTTGTATCGTGATACATGTCATATCACCAGATTCTTGCCAAAGAAAATCTTGGTTTGAATTGTCAGCTATAGTTCATGACTGAAATCTTCTATTTTAACTACTCTCTCTCTCTCTCTCTCTCTCTCTCTCTCCCATTATAGCGTAACCTGACATTCTCATGCGCTGAGTCCAACTCATTCTCCGTCTTCTTCAACTCCACGTCCTTCCTGCGGCTGCCGGGTCAGAGCGACAGCGACACTCTGTCTGTCAGTCTGTCTTTCAGGACGTGGAACCCCAACGGGCTGCTGCTGTTCACGGCGCTGGCAGATGGCTGGGTGGAGGTGGCGCTTACAGAGGGCAAGATCACGGTCTACATGAATGTGACACAGAAGAAGAACACACGCATTGACATCTCATCAGGTGAGCTCAGCCTATTGGTCCTGAGTTCAGGAACCTTCAGTCAGTTCAATTATTTGTCACATAACATCCTGTTAAAGTTTACAGACTGGAGTATGTTTTTTCTTGCAGGTTCAGGACTGAATGATGGCCAGTGGCACAGTGTCCACTTGAATGCACTGGAGAACTATGCTATGCTGACAGTGGATGGAGATGAAGCATCCACAGTCCGAACAGCCATCCCCATCCAGATCCAGACCGGGGGAACCTACTACTTTGGAGGTGATTATTAAAAAACCATCCAAAGTAACTGTGTGTATTTTATCAATGCAGGATATTTTTATTTTCAGGCCGTGAATCATGCGGTCCAGTTATCTGCTGGACTGTGTGATGTGATACAAAATATTGGAAAGAGCTTACAAAATATCTACCAGGTTCTTGGTTGTAGAATATAAACGTACGTACGTTATACTAGCTAACTTACATAGGCTAAAGTAGGTAATATGTGTTGATGTTGAAAAGACAACCACATTTCGAAGATGGTTAAAAGATAAAAAAAAGAAAATACATATAGTCACATCTTAAGTTAGTTAGCTAACTAGCTAGCTTTCCCACAGTTCCCACATTTCTAAGATTTTTTTCCAAAATTAAGCCCTATGTTCCCACATTTCTTTTTTCATAAATTTGTATCAGATTTTATCCCTCTTTCTCCCGATTTGGTAGCCAGTTACACCCAACCTATTCCCTAACCCCTAACCCTAACCCTAACCCAATGTTGGAACACAAGACCTAATTTTGAAAATGTTCTAGAAATGTGGGAACATAGGGCCGACCCCAGCTAAATTTTAGCCAAATGCTAGCTAACTAACTAGCTAATCTACATCAATTCTTAGCTAGCAAGTTAGCTAGCAGTTTTTTATAGAGCAAAACACTAGCTAACTAGCTAGCTAATCCAAATAATTTGTTAATTAGTTATGACCATATGTCGTTCATTATCTTTTAAACAGATTATTTTTATTTTACCAAGTCATTTGGTAAAAAGATGCTAAAAACTCGAAAAAACGAATGGGCAGACTCCTGGTTTAACTCTGGCTCACGGTAAGAATAAGGGCTCACCCAAATCCAAAATGTGAAATTCTGAACTGACTGCCTTACTCCTGGAGAACATACATGTCCATGCCCATGTGATAAACTGTACTCACAGATTTAGCTTCTAATGCTTATGGAAATGATAATACCTTCCTCAGCTTTAAGTAACCCATATAATGTATATCTTTTAAAAAGGATCAATCACAGTTCTCCCTGTAATTCCAAATTGTTGTTCTTACTTTACACTCCAATCAATGCTGCTTCATCATACAATGTTACAATTTGTATTGTTTTTATTGTAGATTGATTAAAGAAACCTTTAATACATGACTGAACTTGAGTAAGCCTGATTAGGCCCTGAAATAAAAATAAAGAATTCAGCATTTCTTCACTTTTATTCCAGGCTTTGACGCAGTATTTAAACTTTTATGCTGAGAAATACAATTTATATAAATATAGCCTAATTAATAAGTTAACTGAGTAAATTGAGTGTAAAAAACATATGAACAACCACTAAATTTTTGATAATTGAAGTCAGGGAGGAAAATGAAGATTTCTCTCTGTATTTCTCCAGTGGCTCTAATAATGACCTTTGACCTCCTCCGCTTGTCTCTAGGCTACTTCCTGCACACAAACACCCGGTCACTTCAGCGCTCCTTCCAGGGATGCATGCAAATGATCCATGTAGACGACCATCTAGCTGACCTCAGGGCTTTGGAGCAGGGTCTCATTGGAACCTTTGAAAATGTCAGCCTGGATATGTGTGCCATCGTAGACAGGTATACAACTCAGTCACAATTATGGGGTTTTTGGGGTTCACTATCTTGCTCAAGGATACTTGAACGTGCAGAGGGAGGAGCTGGAGATCGAACCAACAACCTTCCGATTAGTGGAAGACCCGCTCTACCTCTGAGCCACAGAGGTGGATTTCAAACTGGTCCCTGCTGTGTCTGTTGTCCCTGTGTTCACTGTTCATCTGTGTGTCATGTCAGGTGTGTTCCTAACCACTGCGAGCACGGTGGTCGCTGTTCTCAGACGTGGGATACGTTCAGCTGCAACTGTACTGGCACTGGATACACTGGAGCTACCTGCCATACCTGTAAGTGATCACAGCACGGCATTGAAGTTTGAAGTTTGTTTATTTAAAAAGGGACAATTCCCATTAATTAACACAAGGAGGTCAGACGTCCTCAATTACAAATGAGCCACAATCTGATTACACTAAGTGCCCTAGCAAACTTGTCTGAGCTTTAGTCGTTCCTTCTCTAAATACTGTAAATTCTTTTTATTTGAAGGACCAGTGTGTAGGATGTAGTAGCATCTAGCGGTGAGATTACAATCAACTCAACTCAACATCTCCTTCCAAGCACGTAGGAGAAAGTACCATGGCCATGAAACTCAACAGGCCTTATCTAGAGCCAGTGTTTGGTTTTGTCCGTTCTGGGCTACTGTAGAAACATGGCAGTTCAACATGACAGACTCTGTAGAAGAGGACCCACTCCCCCGTAGATAAAAACAGCTCATTCTAAGATAACAAAAACACAATTCCTATATTCAGGTGATTGTACACTAATAAAAACCTACCTATTTATATCCCATTTCCTATTTTTATTGATTTCATATAGAATCTGACCCAGTGGCAGGTATTAAGAATAACTATATAGAAATAGTCAATCTTGTTGCTGGTGGTCTTGTTTGTTTATGTAGATCATGTAGAGGAATCAGTATTTAATTGAGACATATTTTCATAACAAGTTTAAAACTCCTTGTTGTACATTTAACATAATGTAGAAAACAAAGTGTATACCTTCATTCGTTAGGTCATCTCCCATGTTATTCCATGAATAATACGTCCATGATCACTCCACACAGATCTGATTGAACCTTACTTACATTAATACATGAAAAGAAACAGAAACGTCACTTCCACTGGCATTCTTTTAATTACGTCATCTTGTTGGGCCCTCTTCTTTTGGTTTTCTGACTGCAGAATTGCCGCCACCTACTGCCTTACCAATTCCTAATAATCTCATAACTGTAGTGGATGTAAACAAGCATTCATTTGCGTTTTCTTTTGTAGATTTACTTGAAATTTGTTATAATTTGAGATACGATTGGGCGGAAACAATGACTTATGCACTATGATTACAGCACCCCCAGCTGCATATCTGCTGTAGATTTTATTACTGCACCATGCTAAAACTACAGATGAATGATAAGGCTACACGCAGTGCACAGTGTCAACTAGTGGTTTTGACGGTCCACTTGTCAACTATTTTGTGAAACCCCTAGCACACACACACAGTATGCTTTGTGTCTGCTGAGCTGTCATGTCTGTCCTCTGTAGCAATGTATCAGCAGTCCTGTGAGGAGTACAAGCACCAAGGGAAGAGCTCAGGCAGCTACTGGATCGACCCTGACAGCAGTGGGTCTCTTGCCCCCTTCAGAGTGAACTGTGACATGACAGGTGAGGTGTCACTTCATCCGTTTCATTTTCTCATGCTACTCTAGGTAAGATAAAAATGTATTTCCATGAATAGCTTTTGTCAATGCTTGCTCCAGTTTGTTGCACAAACTTTCTACTTTCAACACATATATTTTGCAGCTATGCTCACTACACTCCACAACTGTCTTCACATGTCTGCCTGTAAATCAGTCAAGAACATAATTGTGTTTGTGAATGTCACAGTAGCTACTGTGGCATGGAAACATGCCTTTGTCATGCTCTTTTTCTCTGTATGACATATACTGTACGTATACATGCTGTATAGTGCTAGTGGGTCTTTCCTGGGGAATGTGTTGTATTGACGGTATATTTTCTGGTCTCTTAGGGGAAAAGGTTTGGACTACACTGAAGAACAACCTGTCTCCTCAGACATCAGTCACCAGTGCAGACCAGGAGGGCAAGGCAGTGCTGCAGATCACTTACAATGTGACTGATGAACAGGTACACACACTTACTTTGACCTAGTTCATCTGCTGCACACATTGCTTGTTGTGGTCAGAGTGGAAAGTTCAGATCAGTTTTTGCGTATTGGTCCTAACAGTAATAAAAGGGTACTTTTAATGTTAATGTTGGGATAAAATTCTCAAATAAAACCCAACAGGGTTTCTGTGGGTCTTTAAAATCCAATAATCTGAATTAACATTTTTTCTTCCTAAAATGTCTTCTGATTGGTCTTAAAATTTGCAATTTGAAACATTTGCTGTATGTAATATAGGGTGTGTGTGTGTGTGTGTGTGTGCGTGCATTCGTGCTTGCGTGCGTGCGTGTCCAGGTGTTATCAGTCACCAGCAGTGCAGAATACTGTGAACAGTATGTAGCCTACGCCTGCAGAATGTCTCGTCTGCTCAACACTCCAGGTAAAATACTCCTCAGTCATTAATACAACACCTCCCTTATTTATGGTACAAATGACTATATACTGTATATATACTGCTACTACTATACACTATATGGACATTTTTGGCATTCGTGTGTGCTCCTTGTTGGTTGTCCACTATCAAATAATGATAACTGTCATAGATCCCTGACTATGTTAGAACCGCATATAAATCACGTCAAGACACAATTGTCAAACTTCATTGCGATATTGCACAAAACAAACAAACAAACTAATTAGCAATCCAAATTCATTACATATTATCTAATAGTTCAAGGATTCAGGGTTATTTTATTGTCATTTACAACACAGGGTTGTAGAATGTAATTTAGATATAGTTTCCTTTATAGAACATAAGGGGAATACATATCCTGTAGGTAGTCTCCTTAAAGCATGTAGTCTGAAATCTAATGAAAGTAAAATTAAAACTGACTCCACACTGTTGGTTTACTCCCAGATGGCGTCGCGTTTACCTGGTGGGTAGGAAGAGCCAATGAGAGGCATTCTTACTGGGGGGGCTCCGGACCAGGGATACAGAAGTGTTCCTGTGGTATCGAACACAACTGTACTGACCCCAGACACTTCTGTAACTGTGACGCTGACCTGCGTGCCTGGTGAGTGGAGTGTCTTTATTTGAACTAGTTTGTATATTCACACAGACTTATCGTCCTTACCTTCACTACAGATGATAATTATTACCATGACTGTCCGTTTTAACATCCATCACATTATGCAGTACTTTTTCCTGGTTCAACTTTGACCACCTGTGTTTATTTGTTCAATTAAAGGTCCCATATTATAGAAAGTATGATTTCCATTTTATTACAAAGCGGCTCTATTGTGAAGGCAACTTAGTGCCATTGTAGGTTTAAAAAAAATTACAGAGCTGGGACAATGGGGACAATATTCCAAGAGTAAAGTAGTACATTTTATAAAAAAAAAAGAGATTATAAACATCAAAATTTCAAATGAAAGTCAAGAGAAAGGGTGGTGACATTCATTTAGTTTTTGCAGTGATTTAAATGGCCATTAGGTATCTAGTGTAATATGATCCTGAATTGACTGAGAGGTGTTTGTCTCGACTGTCTGTTGGTGTATGTGCAGGAAGGAGGATGCGGGCCTGTTGGTGTATAAAGACCATTTGCCAGTCAGTCAGGTTGTTGTTGGTGATACAAGCAGAGCTGGATCTGAGGCCAAGCTGACAATAGGTCCACTGAAATGCCAGGGGGACCGTGAGTGCCTCTCTCTCTCTGTCTCTCTCACACATTCATCTTTCACCAGAGACTATGAGATATTAACTGTATTTTATCCATTCATGTCCTGCTGTTTTGTGAAGGTAACTACTGGAACGCAGCCTCCTTCAGCAGTCCCGCCTCCTACCTCCACTTCCCCTCCTTCAGAGGAGAAACAAGCACTGACATCTCCTTCTACTTTAAGACTTCCTCCACTCATGGAGTCTTTTTGGAGAACCTGGGAACCACTGACTTCCTTCACATTGAACTCAGAGGTGGGTTTGAATGAATCATTGCTAGTGGAAATATGAGTGCATTATAAATACTTTTTAAAACCCAGTCAGTGCAGATAGATATTAAAGCCGCAGTAGATAACTTTTATAAAAATAACTATTTGCTGAAACTTTCACTATATCCTGAGAGTAGTCATGGGACATACATGGGAAAAAAACAGGTTCTTCTAGGGTTCTAATGGCATTTGCAAGAATCCACCGTGTCTGCACAAAAACAACCAGTCAGAGCCCAGAAAGATAGTTGATTGTTGAGTCTCGTTCCCAAATACAGACATTTTGAGACCTGGGAATGAAACTCAAAAATCAAAGTCAAGCCTCCAACCCAAAGTGTTAGTATTAAAGAATGAGACTATCTTTCTCAGCTTTGATTTGTTGTTTTCTTTCAGGCCCAGTGGATTCTTGTAAATCTCATTAGAGGATCCTGAGGAACCGATTTTTCACAGATTATCTGTCTCGTGTACTACTGTCAGGATATAGTGAAAGTTTAAGCAAATATAACAAAATGTGTTGATTTGTCATTTAACTACTGCCGCAGTTTGGGTCCAAATGGAGAATCTGTACTGCAGTTAGTTTTAGCGGTAGGGTTAGGGTTTCCCAGGGAATTTATCGGATCAACTTCAAAATTGGTCAGTACAGTCAAAACAACCCGTTGATGAAAAGTTGTGCTGTTTGTGACTGTACAACAAACGGTGTGCCTGTGGCGTTGAGTCGAACTTCACGATTCGCCATGAAAAGGGAAGTACTCATAACTTCAGTGTACAATGTCCAATCTCCACTAAACTTCACATATTCTGTAACTGTCCCACCCTGAACACGTCCTCGTAACTTCAGTGTACATGGTCCAATCTCAATGAAACTTCACGTTTAATAAGAGCCCTGAACACGTCTACATGACAATATTCAGATATAGTGATAGCGCCACCAACTGGCAACAGGAAGTAAGCACTGCGTGGCAATTTTGATCTGATTAACGAGAAATTTTCATGTTGTAGTCTGCACGTGTTACGCCGGCAAGTGACGCGCCCACAGCACACCCCGGCATGCGCCAAGAGGGCCCTTTCATCATTGCTTGCAGTTTTAATTAGTTACTTATTTGTGTATAAAAAATTGTCCCGCAGCCACGGGTTTCTCCTGCAGGGCTGCTGACAGTGCAGGTAAACCATGAGACTCAGGCTAATATAGCAGTTTAGTATGACTGAACAAATAGTCAAATCTTTGTATTCAACAGCCATCTGGACAGTAATAATGGACATTGGGTAGAGCCCTGTAGTGTTCATTTGAATATAGAGTGGGGAAGTGAGATCTGATCAAAGGGTGGTCACTCAAGACGCATGTGGAGACGTGTTCCAATTCCAGATGTGAACTGACCTAATTGGAGCTTTCAGCTTGTGATTGGATCACCCAAGACTCATGTTAATACTAGGTGTTAACAGGGCCTAAGAGACACATAGTTAAAAATAGGCCCTCAGGTAAAAGAGAGAGTTTTCTTGTTGAGTTTTTTAAAGTATATATTTTTTGGGGGCTTTTATTGCCTTTATTATAGTGACAGCTGAAGACAGACAGGAAGGGGGGGCAGAGAGAGAGGGGATGACACGCAGCAAAGGGCCGCAGGTCGGATTCGAACCCTGAGCCGCTGCAGCAGGGACTCGGCCTCGGTACATGGGTCGCCAGCTCTACCCACTGAGTTAATTGGGCGCCATCTTGTTGAGTTTTTAAAGAGATTTTGTTTGCATTGATTTCAGTCTTTAATGAGTCTTAAAATGTTTCTGACTGATTTTGCCCTCCCAGGAGGCTCGGTGGTTTCCTTCTCTTTCAACGTGGGCGGTGAGCGGATGGAGCTCAGCGTCCACTCGCCGGTGCCTCTGAACGATGACCAATGGCATCGTGTGGAGGCTGAGAAAAACATCAAAGAGGCAGTGCTGCAGCTTAATGGACAGTACAGGGAGGTCCGACCAACCCCCCCACAGGGACACACAAAACTGGAGTTCTACAGTGAGCTATATGTTGGTAAGACACACACATACATCTGATATGTTCTCCACAGCTGTCACATGTAATGTCATACACCTTTAGCGTGTATCAGCAGAGGTCTGAAAGTGTGACTCCCTGTCATACAGACTTGATGAACAAACTGTGTACCAGTTAATAATAACTATGTATTTCTGTATAAGTACAATTTCTCTGTGACAGGTTCAGGCTATTAAGAAAGTTTATAACTGCCTAAACATCTGAACATTAAGTAAATATCAATGTTGATACAATCTCTTGCTCTGTTTCAAATTTGACCCCAAGTAGAGTAGTGATATTTGTGGACCCCTAGTGGGGGTTGACACCCTGGAAATTGATTAAAATGACCAAAAAACTTGGAAATATTTTATGTTAACCTGCTAAAATTCTATTTTAACCTCTGACTCACTCCTGTTTGAAACTCAACTGTTGATAGGATAAACTGCATAAAGTTGGAGCTGGTAAATAATTTATTAAGAAGAACCCCGCCTTTGACGGATGTGAGAAAAAACAGAAAATCATCTCAAAGAATGTGAGCAAGGACTCTGGGGGGGAACTGATCCCTGCTTTAACAAATATACATAAACATTAGGTTTAAGTTAAATCAATATTACAAAAATATTGTACATAAGGAGGAAGCAGCAACAGCGAACTGCGTTGGCGTGAGTGACAGCGAGAACTGTCCTTCTGATGATTCACACAACTTTTAAAGAGCCAGTGACTGTGGGGCAGGAATGAAAAGGGTGTACTTAAATTAATTAAATGTTAAATGGTAAATGGACCTGTACTTGTATAGCGCCTTTCTAGTCTTCCGACCACTCAAAGCGCTTTTACACTACGTGCCACATTCACCCTTTCACACACATTTACTCAGTGATGGCAAAGTCCATCAAACATTCACTCATTCATACACATTCACACACCGATGCAGCAATTTGGGGTTCAGTATCTTGCTCAAGTGGCAGGGTTACATGTCACCAACAACCTCCGATTAGTGGACTACCCGCTCTTCCTCTGCACCACAGTCTGCTGAACTGATGTTGTGCTTTATGTCTTACTTGCCAGGAGCCTCAAGTGGTCAGAGGGGTTTCCTGGGCTGCATGCGGGCTCTGAAGATCAATGGTATGACCTTTGACCTGGAGGGGAGGGCAAAAGGGACTCAGGGGGTGAACCCAGGCTGCCAGGGCCACTGCAGCAGCTACGCGATGCACTGCAGGAATGGAGGGAAGTGTCTGGAGAAGTACAATGGATACTCTTGTGACTGCTCCCTCACTGCGTATGACGGACCCTTCTGCACTGATGGTAACTGCTGACTCTAAATTGTCGTGTGAATGTGAATATGTATCCTCCAAAGGATGGGTCGGTAAAGCTTATAGATGGATGGAGGTTGGATTACGTGCAGCAACCAAGAAGGGTTAACCTGTGCATGCTGTTTTAACCACCCTCTCTATCTCTGCTGCTCTTTCTGTATGCGTGCTAGATGTAGGCGGCTACTTTGAGACAGGAACCCTGGTGCGTTATGACTTCCTGCCAGAGGCGGGAGCTTTTGCATTACGGGAGGAGAAGAGCCTGTCAGGTGTTGGTGTTCCTAGCGAGGCCAACCTGACTCAAGAGGAACTGGTGTTCAGCTTCAGCACCTCCAGTGCTCCCAGCATCCTGGTCTACATCAGCTCCAGGACTCAGGACTACTTGGCTGTGGTGCTGAGGCACAATGGTGGGTTTGTCAATATCGCACCTCAGTTTTTTAATATTAATTTATACTAAAAGTATATTTTATGAATTGCTGTTACAGTATTATCCTGTTGCTTTGTGCCTCTATTTGTGCGTCCAGGCACTCTCCAGATCCGCTACAGTCTTGGGGGGCTAGCAGAACCTTACACCATAGATGTTGACCATCGTAATATGGCCAACGGACAGCCACACTCTATCAACATAACGAGGAACTTAAGGGAGATCCGAATACAGGTTAGTGTTTCCTGCCACTACAGTAGGACCTGACCATACCGAATACTGTGCATCAAACTAATGGTTCAACATTGTGGGAAATAGGCTTTTGAGAGAATGACATGGGGTATTTTTTTTATCTTGTCAAAAGTATCACTTTTTACAATCTCATTCAATTCAGTTCAATTCAATTTTATTTGTATAGCGCCAATTCATAACAGAAGTTATCTCAGGACACTTTTCAAATAGAGCAGGTGTAGACCGAACTCATTCATCATCCAACATTCGTACCTCATAAACAAAAACCAAAAGATTCCAAAATACATAAATCCAGAAAACATTAAAGAACTCAGAAAAGCCTGAACATAAAAAATATATTCTCAATTTTTTCCCTGTAACAAAACATAAATGAATCCAAATAATTAATCAGTGCTTAAGATAACCCAATATAACAACCTTTATCACAAAAACCCCCAAATATAAAATGTAGAGAATCCATACACTTACATCAACATAAGAGTCTTACATATACATTATTTAAAAATATACAACATTAAAACATTAAGACAATGTTCATATGTTAAATTCTGAACTGAGTTGTTCCGATCGATATGAATCTAATGTCTGTGTATCCATGACAGATGCAGGGGAAAACAGCTAGTCTAGCTCTTGTCTAACGTCCAAAATACTTCCACCCGCATGTCTAAATGTCATTAATTAACACGATGTACATGTTTGCTGACTGTAACTGCACATGAACAGAAATGTAACAATAACAGTTAGTTTAAGTGTGATATTTCTCACCCAAAATTTCCATCTATGTCCGAAAGACAAAGTTTGGCATTTGTTGACTTATTTCTTTTAAATGTGGGTTTTGATACTTGTTTTCAGGAAATAGGAAGATGCTATGGGTACAATGACAAATCACCCAAATTTGTTTAAAGGGGGCATATTATGCAAAACCAACTTTTTAATCATTTGATTATGTACATTTGGGAATCTGGAGGGCCTATCAGCAGGCAAAGTGTGAAAAAATAGGACTCAGTCGTGTTTTTGTGGGCTGCCTCAAGTCCTAATACACGAGATAAATCACTCAATTTCAGAGGTCCAGACTTTTTGACGTCATTTAGTCTGCATGTTGCCACCCACCGCGGTTTACTTCCTGTGTTGACTATCGGAGCTCCGCCATTGTTACTATAAAAGCGCAAGCTAGCAGAGAACAAGCAAACGAGCCCAGCCTGCAGCCTGCAGCCCAATGTCTGGGCAAAGGCTTCAGCAGGCAAACTGTTCAGTCATTGGCTGCACAGCCCAACACTAATTTATATATGTATGAACACAGTGGATTTATTTTGGTTTTTGACGGCAATATCCGGCGGGAAAACCGGAAGGTGTGTGAACCACTTTGTGTCGGACTGTTTTCACAACCTCGGTCAGTACAACACTGGACTGGCTGAAAGACTGTTCCTGAAAGAGGGATTGTACCAACTGTCTGTGGAGAGACGGCAGAGGAAGTCACTGTGGATTGTACCAACTGTCTGTGGAGAGACGGCAGAGGAAGTCACTGTAAGTATTTTTAAGAATTGATGCTGTTTTTCATTGTTCGTGTAATGCTAGCACATAATAACAGTTGTTAGCTACAGGAGCCTCAGTGAAGATAACGTAGTTATTTTGTTTGTTAAATGTTTGTTAAATGTTTGTTAAATGTTTGCAAGATGAACATGAAACTTATAAGGTGAAGTTAATTTATTAACCAGCTGGTGCAGATGTCTCCATATTCTCCCCTGCTGATTATAGAAATTCACACAAAGTTTATGCCGTGAAGCACCAAGCTTCGTGCGGGGGGGGTCTCCCTGCACGGGTTGAGCTGCATAGAACAGGGAAGATAACGTCAGTTAGGTTTAATTGTCTTTAACCTGGTAACTTACAAATCTGCTGCCATTAGATAGACATTGTGTTGGTAACCTCAGACTGTTTCAACAACACATCACTACAGTTAAATGGGGACCCACCAGAGACACCACTTTATTATTTTATTTTATAACTTAGGACTACTTTGAGCCACAATGAGCTGCTGTACTGTATTATATTACACTGTATATTATGTGCTGCCTTACAAGTAACACTGAATCTGCCTTGTTTTACAGGTGAGCTGATGAAGCTCAGGTGTTCCTGGACCCATCAGAGGACAGAGACAGCTGCAGCATCAGGACAGCCTGAAGGACGCGATCTGCAAAGTTTACATAGAAGTTCTAGCTTTGTTACTTACAACATGTGTAACTGGAATATGAATGAAACATAAATAAAGTGTTTTATTTTTAAGAAGAGTTTTGGTCATTTTTAAATTCATTAATAAGTGTGGTTATATATAAATAACGTGTTATTTCACAGAGGTTTTTTAAAGATTTCCCTTCATGTACAAGAGTTGAAAACCTGGTTCCTGTAACATCTATCAATATGAAAATGTGAAATTTCAACCTGTAGTAAATGACTGTAAGCAACACAATACAGTCTCACATTCAAACTTTATTATGGTAAATGGACCTGTACATGTATAGCGCCTTTCTAGTCTTCTGACCACTCAAAGCGCTTTTACACTACATGCCACATTCACCCTTTCACACACAAGTCCATCGAACAGAAGCTAACATCCATACAGGATGCACTCACACATCGATGCACGGCATCGGGAGCAATTTGGAGTTCAGTATCTCGCCCAGATATGTTATAGATATGTTGACAGATAAATTACATCATAATATATAATATAAATGATACAATATTCAGTACATATACAGTATTTTGAAAGGGGTTAAAACACAATTGCAGCTTTTACAAATATCTGAAGGTTACCTTTGGTAATAATAGTTTCGAGTTAAAATATCAGACTATGAAATATGGATACAGTACAGTTTACAGTTGGTTACTTAACAGTTTTTAAACCACATAAACAAGTTACTTTATTAGATGAGTATTTCCTTCAGTTATGTTGACATGTTGTACAGGATAAAGTATTCCAGGCATATATGTTTAACTTCACTGGGCTGTGTAGACTGTAGGTCACTGCTCACTGCTGTACCTGTAAAGACAAGCATAAAACAGTGTTGGTTCTCATAGTTAAGGTATAAACACGAACATTATGTGATAGAGAGAGATTAATAGCGTTAGCAGTATTTACCTGAGGAAAACGTCACAGAAAGCTGTAATCCTGATTGTTGATGTTGTTCCTTTCTCTATGATTTCAGATCAGACTCCCGCTCTAACATGTCCGGTGGCAAAGGTTTTGGTTTAGAAGTAGTTATTGAATTAATATTGACGGTAGAAATGCAGATAAACTCAGTAACAGTGAAGAGCTACCTGCCAAAACACCGGAAACGCTGAGGTAGAAGTGGGAGGGGCCGGAGCGTCATAATGCTGACCAATCAGAGCAGACTGGGCTTTTTGGGAGGGGGGCCTTTAAGAGACAGGAGCTAAAACCAATTGTTTCAGACAGGCTGAAAAGAGGTGCTCAGCTATAGGAAGTATGAGAAAAATAATCTGTTTTTTGAACATTAAAACATCTAAACCTATTGTAGTAGAGCCACAAAATACAATTATGAACCTGAAAAGGTGCATAATATGACTCCTTTAACGGTAATTAGTTTTGGAACTACTTTCTACTGTATAAATAGTTCCAATTAACGTGGATTATCCTGAAGAACAGGAACTGGTTCTGTGTCATTTAGTGCAAATTCTTGTTTGATTAACCTTTTTCACAGCAGCAATTTTTACATTAAATAGTAGGGTAAACACAGGTCTCAATCTCGAACTTCAAACTCAAAGGTAGACGATGCAGCCCCAATGTCACGTCCAGCATGTATGCCAAGACGCAAAAACACACACACGTGCTGAACTGCGGCGTCAACACTCCTCTAATTTTAGACTGCAGCCAGTTAAAAAATACACATCAACCGACCGAAATCGAAGCCCCTCTTGCTACTCTGAAATCACCAGTGTGGAAGTATTTTGTCGTTCATTCACGTAAATTAACACTAACTTAGCCTACTCAACTTAGCAAGTGAAAAGATGATCTAGTTACAGTCCAAAATGACTTTAAGGCTTAAAATGCACGTTGATAAGTACATATTCCATGAACACTAACCTTGGGTCTCTTCGGAGTGTGCTGAAACAATCAAATCATCATTCTGTGTTGTTTCATTTCACTATGTTCACGTCTCTGTTTAATGTTTGTTCTATTTACAACCTCGCGGTTAGAACGGTTTCAAAATAAAAAGCAGTTTCAAAATAACAGCCCCCCGAAACAGAATAGGAAAATGCCAAAAAAAGTAAATAATATATAAGGAATGCATTAATAGTAATATTAAAAAAGGATCGAAAATCGAATCGAATCATGACTTTAAAATCGAAAATGAAATCGTATCAAGGATTTGGAGAATCCTGACACCCCTATTTACCAATGATACTAACTAAGGTTCTGTTCCATTCAGGTCAAACAGAGGGGCTTTTATTGTACATGATGACCCACTAGAAATACTAAATGGAATGGAGCTTTAATTAGTGTAATTGGTAACACCTGTGTTTATCCTACTATTTAATGTAAAAATTGCTGCAGTGAAAAGGGCCTGTTGTTGATCTTTCCACCTTGTTTTGGGGTGGAGGCAGATGGCAGAGACAAATCTCTTGAAACCTCCACAAATTAACGTGTATCCAATGTCTGTAGTGCCCACACTGGAACAGTTCTTGGTGGTAACTGTAACAGAGGAGATTAAAGTTATCTACTTAAATTCACTGTTCCTCTTCTTTTCCTCTGTCCGTATTCTCCAGTTGGACCACTACCCAGTGTCCACATACACTCTCCCTGAGGACTCTGACACACAGTTCAACTTGGTCAAAAGTATCTTCCTCGGAAAGGTCTTTGGTAAGTGTTGAGATGAGTAACAGTTTGTCAGACAGTGACATGTGGGTCTCATGAATTATCTCCGGAATTATTATGAGGGGTCACTTTGCTGGGAAAAAATAATTTCACCTTTAGTTTCGTTATTCTTTCTTCTTTTTTTTAACCATTTTTTAAAATAGATTTTTTGATTCATTAATTCAATTCAATTCAATTCAAAATAAATAAGCTCTTCATTTCAGGGCTGCAACGGTTATTTACGTCATCAATTAAACTGTTGATAATTTTCTTGTTTGGTCCAGAAAATGTTGATCAGTGTTTTCCAAAGCCCAAGCTGACGCCCTCCAATGTCTTGTTTTGTCCACAACCCAAAGATATTCAGTTTACTGCCATAGAAAGCAGCAAACATTCAATTCAATTTTCAATTACATTACATTTTATTTGTATAGCACCAATTCATAACAGAAGTTATCTCAGGACACTTTTCAAATAGAGCAGGTCTAGACCGAACTCCTTATAACATTATTTACAGAGACCCAACAGTACCACCATGAGCAAGACCTTGGCTACAGGGGCAAGGAAAAACTGCCTGTTAAAAGGCAGAAACCTAGGACAGATCCTTCGGCTCTAGGTGGGTGGTCGTCTGTCTCGACCAGTTGGGGTGAGAGAGAGGGTGAGAGAGTGAGAGAGAGAGCAATAGAAACAGAGACAGACAGTTGCACAGCAACAACAGTAGCAACAACTACACCAATAGTTACTTGATATATTACAAACAATAAATAATGGCAATTACCACTAACGCTAAAGGAAATTAGCATTGCGGTAATATTACCTAACAAACAATCTTACTAACTAACTAAACTTAACATAAAACAACATATTTTCAGGAATATATTTGATGTTGTCTGTGGAAACAAAATAATAGGTGCTGATTTACCATTGCTAACTTAATCTGTTACACTGACCAGTTACAGCAACCTCAAAGGATCAAAACTCAAACTCAAAATTCCTAGTGGGTTTAAAAACACAGCTACCACTAGGTGGAGACACTGCATGCCAGGAGAGCGCAGCACATACACTATGTTGTATTTATATGAGACTACAGAGATTGTTGATGACATTAAAAAACAGAGACTTATCTACTCTCTAGTCCACCTTTACAGCCTTGTTGTGTTTATACTCACGTTCTTGCAAACTATTCTTATAACTCAGACTTTATATCTTGTAGATATGAATTACAAGATTTAATTACAGTAGTTTGTGTTGTTAGCTTTTTACTTCTGCCGACCATATGTACACTTAAGGAATCATAAAAGTGGTGTTCATTTGTGAAGATTATCTTGCTGAAGAAAACGTAAGTATTATAAAGCTTTGTTTACCACAGACATGGTTTTCTGCAATACTCAAAACGTTTATCCAAGGAATCAGGGCGGTGCTAACTTACGGGTTGGACTACAACACGCTGTCCTCCCCACCACTTTATACAATATAAAACATTGTTCTAATAATGTTAGGTATGTAGAGTGTTGTTTGAAGTAGGTATTCATTTGTTTTCTGCTGTACGCAATTGATATTATAAACAGACATTAAATCTCTCATGAAACCTTAATTAAGCCTCAAGCAAGGCTGCATTATTTGGTTCCTGAACAGACAAGGTTTTCCTTTGTTACAACAGTCAGTGTTTCAACAGACGGCATTGTGGCATGGAAGGAATTTCAGTTTTGCTTGTCCCTTGTTGTGTCCCTTGTAGAAACAGGACAGATTGACCCCATCCTCATCGAGCGCTACAACACACCGGGCTTTGTGGGCTGTCTGTCAAGAGTTCAGCTAAACAGTGTGGCACCACTGAAAGCTGCGCTGCGCTCGGGCCTGGCAGCACCCATCAGCACCCATGGGATTCTGGTCCCATCCAACTGTGGAGCCTCACCCCTGACCATTTCCCCCATGGCCTCGGCTAGTGACCCTTGGCACATCGAAGCTGGTAGAGACAGTTTGTAGGAACATTAGGACATGCTAAAGTTCAGTCTATGTCAGAATTCGAACTGATGACAGATGTTTGCTTTGTCCACAGCTGGAGCTGTTTTCCCCTTCAACGAGGACAAGGCCAGTGAGGATGGAGTAGATCGCAACTCTGCCATTATTGGAGGTAAATCCAGAGTTCTTTTTACTTGCAAGTGCCCAGTTGGGCAAGTGGAATCTATTTGCCCAAAGTAAATTTTTATTGCCCCTACACAAATTGTTTCATTTATTAGTGGTTATCAATAACAACAAAGACCCTCTCAGCTGCCATGCAAGCGATATGTTGATGGCTCTTACTATGGCACTCTTTGAAAAACGACCCAGTTTTATCCACCTTGCTCTTAAACTTGCAGCACCCACTTTGTTTTTACCTGCCATTGTCAGTTGGGATTCTTGCAGACGGACTTCTGACTTCTATTGTATTCAAGTTACATGATTTAAAAACCTTTCCCAGCCTCGTTGTATTGTTTGTCCAATTTCTTTGTACTTTACTGCCCCTATCGCATGTTGATGACATAAACCTGAGCAACACTGTGAAGGTCTTTACCAGTTCCCTATGCTTCCCAGAATACAAAGCCCAACTCGGGCCCCAATATGAGCCAGGTCTAAATGACATTCAGTGTAATGGTTTGTAGGGTCCTGTTTTATTGCTCTCTGTGTCGAGTGGATCCAAGTGGGCTCCACTGTGGCTGCTTTGTTAACTGGAGGAGCATTGTGCTGCTGCCAGTGTTGGTGTCCTATCATTGCTTACATCTGTTTGGGTCCAATGCATTTCAGATTGGGTCTTACCATCTATTGGGATCTGTTGTCTTTTGACTGTAGGCACAGTGAGTTCAAGAAGGAGTTACAGATGGTTTCAACTTGTAAGGACCACTTCAATACTTTCCTCTGCACTGTATTCTGTGCCCCACCTTTCACTGCACACTGTTCATAACGCTCATAATGTGTAAATAGCCTTGCACGTCCAGTGTGTAGGCTTTAGTGACATCTAGAAGTGTAGTTGCAGATTGCAACTCCAGTGCTTCAATCTCTCCTTCAAAATGCCAAAAACACCAACGCCCCTATGTAGAGCCAGTGTTTGGTTTGTCCATTCTGGGCTACTGTAGAACGACTCCACAAAAGATGACCCGCTCCGTCTGTAGATAAAAACAGCTCATTCTAAGGTAACAATTCTCTGATTTTAGCTTCTCAAATGTGAAGTGTGAAATCACCATCTGACTGATGATGACTACTATTAGTGTAGTTGCTGCTACTGTTGTTGTTGTTGTGCACCTGTCTTTACCTCTTTCTCTCTCTCTCTCTCTCTCCCTCTCTCTCACCCTCTCTCTCACCCCAACTGGTCCAGACAGACGACCACCCACCTAGAGCCGGGGTCTGTCCTAGGTTTCTGCCTCTTAACAGGCAGTTTTTCCTTGCCCTTGTCTCCAAGGTCTTGCTCATGGTGGTACTGTTGGGTCTCTGTAAATAATGTTATAAAGAGTTCGGTCTAGACCTGCTCTATTTGAAAAGTGTCCTGAGATAACTTCTGTTATGAATTGGTGCTATACAAATAAAATGTAATGTAATTGAAAATTGAATTGAATGTTTGCTGCTTTCTATGGCAGTAAACTGAATATCTTTGGGTTGTGGACAAAACAAGACATTGGAGGGCGTCAGCTTGGGCTTTGGAAAACACTGATCAACATTTTCTGGACCAAACAAGAAAATGATCAACAGTTTAATTGATGACGTAAATAACCGTTGCAGCCCTGAAATGAAGAGCTTATTTGTTTTGTTCCCAGGCATCATCTCCATGGTGATCTTCACCGTCCTCTGCATCATGGTGTTTGTGATCCGCCATATGTTCCGTCATAAAGGCTCTTACCACACCAACGAGGCCAAAGGGGCAGAGTCGGCGGACTGCGCAGACGCGGCGATCATCGTCAACGACCCAGCCTTCACCGAGACCATCGATGAGAGCAAGAAGGAGTGGTTCATCTGAACCCCCTCTCCCCCCCTTCTCGACAACATGGACACATGACGTTAGGATGTATGTAGTTTTCTAAGCTTAGGGAGTAGTAGTGAGGTGACCGTCTGCATAACCTCAAGGATGTAGTGAGCGGTTTATTCAAAAAACTTTATGGATAATGGACACCATGGGGTTACAGTGTGAGTATTCAAGCACAGGGCAGAGCGCTGCCTGGCAGAGCCTGTGTGGAGGCGCGGAGTGGTTTGTTTTAACTTTATTTACGACGGACAGTGTGACAGGATGACAGCCTTCAGAGGGTGTAGAGGACAGTGCCATGAAGTTACAAACCTTGGATGTGTGAATGTGTTCAATTATCGTTAATTTCTGTGTATCACTTTTTATTTGATTTCAGTTTATTTTATGTAATGTATTTATTTATTCATATTTAAGTCATATATTTTCTTACTTTGATGCATTTATTTATTTTTATACATTAATATCTGTATGCCTTTTGTGCTGGTATTAGAGGAAATGATGGCATTAATGGAAATGATCATTAACCCATTAATCCCAATAATCCTCCACACCTGTAGCAATGCTCATATACCAGTTTTTTATATATATAAATTATCTCATCTTGAATTATTTGCCTTATTTTACATTATTTGAGTAAGTTTAATTTCAGATAAAGACTGAAAACTTTGTGTGTGTGTGTGTGTGTGTGTGTGTGTGTGTGTGTGTGTGTGTGTGGCTTCCTTGTCTGTGAAGGAGATGTAGCCATGACTTTGGACTAAGAAATGGGGGAAAGGAAACGTCACACTTCTATTTATTTTTGCATCTACATAACTGATAGTGTTTCTTATGACTTTTAAGCCTTGATTGTTGAAACACGTAATGATTGCATCTTTTTTTTGTTTTTTGCTGCCAAATTTGTTCAGGGGGCGCTTTCAGCTTTTAAAGAATGAACTGAGTCCTGTCGGTCCACAAGAGCTCCACTTACTGCTTTGTGTTTTTTCAGATTTCTGAGCCATTGGTTGTCTTTTGTAACAGTGCCATGTGATAATGCAAAAATGTTTGCCTAAAAGTGATACCGCAAGGTTTCTTAACATAATAGCGACATCTTCCTGAGTGCCATCTGACCCTGAGTGAGTGATTAAGTTCAATTTTGGCAAGTCCAGTACGGAGACAGGTGGGGAGCATGTTTAGCCTAGCTTAGCCCAAAGACTGGATGGGCAAGATGAAACTGGACCACCATTGTATGTTGTTAGGTAGCAAAACAGAGTTCAAACCTTCAAAGCCGACTATTAGACTGCATCCTCCATTCCAGTTCAGGAACCTAGTCACAGCGTTTTTTTAAAGATTTTATTTTAGATTTTTTTATTTACAAACACAACCAAACACACACAACCAAACACACACATATGAGACGCACGCACCCACACCCCCCTTCCACGCACCCACACCCCCTTCCCCAAGCTGTGATGAAGATAAGTCAAAACCTCCACAAGTCTGAGATAACAAAATAACCTTTTCACTTCTACAACCCGGGGCTAGCAGATTCCTTCTGCTCACAATCTTTGAGCTAGATGAGAGATGATGAAAGAATAAGGTAAAAACAACAACGAGCTAAAATGCTTATTTCTCTTTCCTTTAAATGGATGTGAAGTAATCACCCTCTACCAGCAGCAATGTCCCCACCTGCTGACAAATTCTTTCTTGTTTCCATTTAACATAGTACTGTGAAAACAGTATTTTCATTTCCTGTTTGGTCTAACAAAAAATATAATCACAAGAGACCCAAAAAGTTTTTTCACGTTCTGGAGACAGGATGTGGTTATTTACACAATGAAACCACCAGATGTAGCATTGACAGTGTTGCTTTAGCCCAAGCCTTGAACGATCTGGTATGATTTTAGACACTCCAAAACAGGGCCTGTCATCTGCAGAAATCAGGAAGTCAACTGAGCTGTCATTTGCAAAAACCTGAAACAAATAAACATTACAACATTACATAATACGATTCATAATTTTCTGAAAAACTGAACAGGGAATTTACTCAAAATTGGAAATTTAAGCAAGTATTTAAATACGAGGAAATCATGAATGTTAATATCAGCTGACTTTCCCTTTAATTTTCTATCATGGAATAGTTTTTTCTATCAAATGAGAACTTTTTCACATTTAATAAGACTTGAATTTCAATCATAATATATAATCTGAGAAATACATAATGTGTGATATTTAAGTCTTTTACCGCTCAGAGCACCAGTACTGTAACAGAGCTTATAGACGTGCATGAAAATCCAGGTGTGAGCTGGCTGGCCAAGGTTTTTTGTAAATGACAGATTTCAAAACAAGACCTTGTTTTGTCTAAAGTCATATCAGAGTAGACCAAAAGACGTGTTAGCCTGAGCTTACTCAAAACTGGCAGTCCTACATCTGGCCACATCCAGTCTCAGAATACAATAACACAGGCTTGTTTTTCTCTAGTGATTTTATTTTGTTTTATAAAATATGAAAAATATGAAAATCAAACCATTTTTTAAGTTAATCTTCAAAACCTGTTTCTGAAAGGAAAATCCAATGACCAAAAGACACCCTAACCTGGCCTCACTGACTCTTCAGATGGGCTGAAAGGACTCTTCGTTCAGGATTCTTCTAAAACCTGTCCTTTAAAAACCTGAGCTACGTCTTTGATTTTGATGAAATATTATAATGTTTCTGCAAAAGAATGTTTGTTGACCACATACAAGAACTATGGCTTACATCCTGACATTTGATTGTATTGCATTTGTATTCCTTTGACTGCGCTGCAGTGTAACGGCATGCTGTTTGACACTGAATGACACACCAATTCTGTTTGTAGGCCACTGTAGCATCACATTTCTTTTTTTCATGTTATATGTATAAAACTTTGCCTAACTGTTCTTTTTATAGCCGATTTCTCATTCTTTGTGCTTTTCTCATTGTCTTGACAAATTTGATGTTTCCTCTTGAAAAGACAAGTAAAACTATGAGTACAAACTCATACTGGCTACTGATTTTTGACCAAACAACTGGATCCAGGTGACTGGTATCGGCAAGAGAAGTTGTTTTCCATTCAGGTTGGAGTCAGGGTGCTGCTATTGTCCTTGTTGGCTCAATGGAAAGGCTCTAAATGGAATGGAACCTTAATTAGTCGCTCCAGGAAGTTGCAAATTTACCTTAATTCAACCAATCCTTGTGAAATCTGCACAGCTTTGCAAATTTGTCCAATCACCACAACTTTTTCACAAATTTGACAGATTACTGTAGTTTCCCGCAAGTTTCACCAGTCAGTCCCCGTACAAAATGTTGAGCCATACATCACCATAATACTAAGGATTTTATCCTCACTGGAACAATTTGCCTTTGATATTTAAAGAATTTAAAGCCAATTTCATGGAAGAAACTAGCTACTAGAGTTCCAAAAATGGATTAGTACTGATTAGAACTGGTTAGTTCTTTGTTGCAGAAATAAATCAAAATCTATTCTCTTTTTACATGATACATTTACAGTCTATACTGTGTTTCACAAACTTTTTTTCTGGGGACCCACTTTTTAAAAATGACACACCATGGTGACCCAATTAAAAATGGAGAATATTTGTGCATAAATGAATGTTCCAGAGCAGTTTTACTGCTATTTCTGCATCAGGGCACATTTTTCTTTAACAGGTAAAGCAGCCATTTTGAAGAGATAAATGTTTGATAAATCACAACTTCATCCCCAGTAAAATAATACACATTTTACTAATAATACTTTATAAATAAAACAGAATAAAGGCACTGATTTTTTTCCTCTCAGTTAAAACAAACAGAATGTGGGCTTGCTTTACGAGACAAAATAAATGCTTTTAGGTTAACAGGGTCTCCAAATTACCGCTACTGTGAGTAAAGAACAAAATCCTATCTCCAGGCAAAAACGAGGAGGTGTAGGTTGGACAATTTTGACCTGTTTCAATTTGATGACATGCAGTCTTATATATGTAATATGTAATTTATGTAATTTCAGACTCATCCTGTTGTGAACTGACTAGAACATTAAAACTCACAGTGACCTCTACTGAACAGCTGTACAAAGAAGTTACATCACTGAATTTTTTGACATTTTGTCACTTGATTTAGTCAACACATGGCAAAAAAGGAATCTAAAAGTAAAGAAGCCTTATTCCAGGAATGTTTTTGTCTGAAAAGAATGAGAATTTTGTCAAGCATGTTTTGCATAGAAAGGTAATCTGGTATTAAGAAAATCTATCTAATTAAGATATTGAACCTAATACTGAGCTTGATTTAACCAGTAAGTAGAGAAAGACCACTTGCACAACTTCTCAGTTTAAGAGAAAGTAGTCTGCTCCCAGTGTTGGAAATGAAGCAGCTGATTAATTTTTCACTGTTTTCATGAAAATGCTAAAAAAATAAGACTGCTTCTAGTGCCTACATTTCAGACAAAGTCACTTCATTTTATTATGCTGCTTTTTGAGTGCTAGTTATTAATCTTAGATTACCGTACAAATTCTTACATTTCAGCTCAATAAAGTGACCAAAATACTTATTTTAAGAATCTTAAATAATTGAATTTTCATTGCTGTTAATAAGCACAACTTTGGCAATATCTCTATTTTTTATTTTTTTTATATTTTCATGCAAGTTTTAAGAATTCTATCCAAGCAAAATTAGGTCCATGGGAGTCACTTGCAGGTTGGAGGTTCTCGCGGGAGTTCAAAGTATCTCGATGATTCAGAAAAAAAATTACTCCGAAAAACAGGGGGAAAAAATTTGCACGAAAAACAGAATAAATTACTCAGAAAAACAGAAAAAAATTACTCCGTAAAACAGGAAAATAATTACTCAGAAAAACAGGGGGAAAAAAATATTCAGAAAAACAGAAAAATATTTTTAAAAAAGTTTTTTTTTTTTTTTTCAAGTGAATGCAATACGCTTCCGTTGTTTTCAGCCATTTAATTCTCTAACCATATGTGTGCATAGTCAACCTCTCTACTACTACTTTACATACACTGACTTCATTTCTTTATATTTGAGGCCAAGGTCAAAATAAAAATCTACTAGCCTCTCCTTAGTTTGCGGTTTCCCAAACGACACACATAAAGCAATGACACAGAAGTGCTTCGACCCTTGGTTTTTCCCGGAAGTATTTTTATGCCTCCCCACTATGATAACGGTCTATCTCATTCTTGTGAAACAAGAAACAACAAACAACTTAATTTTTAGAAGATCTGGTTTGTTTCTAGAAGGGCTGTTTTTGCAGTGTAGTGATGTAGTGCACCATCGAGAAACCAGTTTTTTCATTGTTTTAGCAATTAAATCAACACTATCATATTAAAGATCTACTTAACTGTGTTTTATCTGTTCTCTTCATTTTAGCTGCAATGTGCAAATACAGTACGTCTTAGGTGGTGTATCATCATGTCTTCCAGTGTTACCTTCATTGTGTTGTTATTTATCTTTACCTGATCAGGCCTGAAAAGAAATTGTGCAATGACAAGAAACAAAATTCTGAAAAAAACATTTATTGGCTCTACTATACAATAAAAAAAAACAATAAAATAGAAATTGATCTTTCACTGTAAAACTCCAAGTCAGAACTCCAAGTCTTTTCTAGGGATTTATAAAAATTCTTTCAAAACCACCTGTATTAACTCAAACATGCAGGGCGGTCAGTCTTAAGTAGTTCTTACTTGAATTATTGGTCATGCATTAGCCAGGGTTATCAGCTGTCTGACTTTATCAAGCTGCCAAAGTAAGCGGTCACTGTCTTCAGCTTGTTGTTGAGTAAGTTCTGCTCCACCTCGACCTTCCCTCCTGGACCAGCCAGAGAGGCGATCTGTGGGCACATGGAGAGAATATATCAGACAATATATCAGACAGGTATTGATCCATTCTCTTAAAGCTTTTGAGGAGAGACAGGTTGTGTTGTGGCTGCAGTTTCAGTAACGTTCAGACTGAAATGGTTTATCTGGTATGGTAATCAAGGACCTGCGGTGTTGGAACCCTGTTGTTTTTGTTCAGATTATTAAGGGTCTCCTCCTAAACCGCAGGTCCAATTGCTACCAAATCTTCTGTGCATCATCATTGGACCAAGTTTATCAAAAGCTGTATGTTGATATCTTTTTTGTTTTCAAGGTATTGAACTTCAGAAGGGCATTGCTCGGTATATACATAGACATAAGTCAGCAACCGTTGGGTCAATCATCACAAAACTCACAGGATATGTCCACATAAGTACCTAAAACATACCCTGAAACCTAGGTTTCAATCAAATCAACCACTAGGGGAAAGAAATGGGCACACCACTCATGCACAAAGACAGTGACCTTACAGACCTGATCCATGTCAGTGTTGCGAGGCAGAAAGTACACAATGTTGTCTGATATCAGCTTGGCCAGGCGGAAAATCTTAAATGTGTGTACTGTTAAGGATGAAAACCAACATTAGATATAAGTACAGTCCACTTTTCAAAAACCATTCTATTTTAGGCTGCACTTCAGATTGAAGGGACAGTCGAATTAGATGTGTATATTTCTGTGACATTTGCTCATGGAGTGTCAAAAATAAAAAGGGGTCTGCTGTAGGAATCAAGTTTTTTTAGCCTCTAATCCGATCTGAATCATTTAATATTGAGTACGGAGCTGATACGGAGTCCCGATAAGATTTTAGATAATACAGTGCACAGTGCACACACTTTAAGTACATTAAAGTTATTAAAATTAATCCAGTGCTTACAATTTAATAGTTTTTTGTTTATTATGTACAAAACAAAACAAAAGTATAAAATAACAGACCCTCTGTTATCTTTTTGAACATGTCGCTGTCTGGAGGGAGTTTCTCTCTCTAGTTTGGTGCTTCGGAGCAGCTTTTACCTGAGTTACTAAATGACCGGTCTGTATTCTGTTGAGCTACTCTTTTTGGCTTTTTGTATGTGGTAAATGGTAAATGGACCTGTACCTGTACCTGTACCTGTATAGAGCCTTTCTAGTCTTCCAACCACTCAAAGCGCTTTTACACTACGTGCCACATTCACCCTTTCACACACAGTCACTCAGTGATGGCAAAGTCCATCAAACAGAAACTAACTCATTCATACACATTCACACACCGATGTACAGCATCGGGAGCAATTCGGGGTTCAGTATCTTGCTCAAGGATATTTGACATGTGGCGGCACGAGCCGGGCATCGAACCAACAACCTTCCGATTAGAGGATGACCCGCTCTACCTCTGAGCCATTTTTGTTGCACTTGCTTGAGTGTGGTCACATCTCTACGCCTCGTTCCTCTGAGCACAGGGTGTGTGTTAGTGGGAGCAACCCGCTGCATAGTTTCACTGCAGGAGGGGCTGCTCCTGCTCACAAGAAATATCACTTCCTTGAAGAGAAGAAAGAGATGAAATAATTGATACCACTATCACGTTTGTGCTGTAAATATGAAGCTGCTGCCAACAGCCGGTTAGAAAAAGCCTGCCTGGCTCTGTCTGAAGGTAACAAAAATCTACCTTCCAGCACCTAAAGCTCACTGATCAACACCTTATATACATTGATTGGTCATAACATTCTGACCACCGATTGGTGAAGTGAATAACACTGAGTATCTGGTTATCATGGCACCTGTCAGTGGGTGGGATATATCAGGCAACAAGTAGAAGCAGAGAAAATGGGCAGTGTAAGGATTTGAGCGACTCTGACAAGGGCCACATTGTGATTGTTAGATGACTGGGTCAGAGCATCTCCAAACCTGCAGCTCTTGTGGGGTGTTCCCTGTCTGCAGAGGTCAGTACCTATTACCTACTATCAAAAGTGGTACAAGGAAGGAAAAGCAGTGAACTGGAGACAGGGTCATGGGTGGTCAAGTCTCATTGATCCACCCGGTGAGCAAAGACTGGCCTGTGTGGTCCGATCCAACAGACGAGCTACTGTAGCTGAAACTGCTGAAACAGTTAATGCTGGTTCTGATAGAAAGGTGTCAGAACACACAATGCATCTCAGTCTGTTGGTATGGGGCTGCATAACATTATGACCACCAGGGTGCCTAGATCATAATGTCATAATGTAATGGCTGATAGGTTTATCTCATTTGTCATTTGTTTCATGAATTCAAAAAATGACAATTCGCCATTTTAAAAGGTATTTATGGGGGTTATGTTACAGAATAAACAAACACAAACTAATGTGTGAATTAGTGATGCGCCAGTGTCAAATGTTGAACTTTTCCTTTAAGATGCATAACATGATTGTAATCATGTTATGTAATCAATGTAATTCCTTTCAACTCAAAATTGTAACCATATATAAAAAAAACTTTTTTTTGGGCTGGAAATGTGCAGCAATGCACCAAATGAAATTGAAATGAAATGTGTGCGCACTCTTTAAAAACCTTTGCAGGATTCACTGATTGATTGATTGATCATGATGACATGTGTGAATGTGTATGAATGCATTAGTTTCTGTTTGATGGACTTTGCCATCACTGAGTGAATGTGTGTGAAAGGGTGAATGTGGCACGTAGTGTAACAGTGCTTTGAGTGGTCGGAAGACTAGAAAGGTGCTATACAAGTACAGGTCCATTTACCATTTACCATTGACAGTTACACTCCGGTTAGCACCAGATATGTATTTTAAAAACAACATCAAAGGATATCCATCAGGCTCCATCATGGTCTTGATGTCAAACACCTCAGAGGTTAGGTAGTCTGGCCCTCCCCACGGTGGTGACAGGAAGACCACATCGCCACGGAGAAGGGGTGCTAGCTGAAGGAAGTCCCCCTGTAGGAAGTCGATCTGGTTGGCGACACCATAAACCGTGGCATTGTGCCGTGCCAAGTCCAACCGCACTGGGTCGATATCAATGGCCAGAACTGAGAATATGACACAGAAAAGGAACACAGCAGGAGAAAGAGACAGAAGCATTTCCAATCTAGCATTAGGACTAACTGGACAGCTCATCAAAGAGTTAAAACAGCAACCTGGGGGCAGTTCAGTTAATTATTTATGGAGTTCCTTAGGGAAGCATCTTGGGCCCTGTTCTATTTTCTTTATGCATGCTCCCTTTGGGAAACATTATTACCCGTCATAATGTCAAACACCACTGTTATGCTACTACTGGCACACAACCTTATGTTTCTTCACTGGCATAAAAGGTCAAGATGCGATTCCACCAATTAAAAAGTGAGATCGGATACAATTTGTGAGGAACTCACTGTAAGAATTCACCTTATGTAACAAATGTGAAGGGAATAATCACACAAGCCAAATATAAAATAACAGGCGAATTTGATACCGTGCGTGAACAGAGACTGCCTGCTGACTGCCTAATATGGTCGGAAACAACATAAATAAACAGAAAATCACCTTTCACATTCATACAGTGATGGCCTTTGCCATCACTGAATGTGTGTGAATGTGACATGTAAGTAGTGTAAGTGGTCAGAAGACTAAAAACTCTTTATTTAACACCACTGACTATAAAAGTGGATGTTATTAGAAAATCTTTCATACAATTGTACTGTCAGTGTTTTAGTTTGTTTACTATTGGGAAAGCTGAAATCTAATTTCGGGCTTTTTTTTTATTGCCCTTTTTTTTATTGATAGTAACAGCTGAAGAGAGACAGGAAAGGGGATGACACGCAGCAAAGGGCCGCAGGTTGGATACGAACCCTGGGCCGCAGCAGCAAGGACTCAGCCATGGTACATGGGACGCCAGCTCTACCAACTGAGCTAATCGGGTACCCCTAAAAGCTAACTGTAGCCAACTTTTCAACTATTTATCCACTACTGTTGATAACTAACTAACTTACTATTTAGAATTCTCTGCTAACTACTAGGTGAGGGGCCAGACTAAGAATGGTTCACAGAAGACCCCATGGAAGTACGTAGGGATGCTCATAAGTGTACGTGGTACCAGAGCACCCTAGGCCAGAGGTCTATGATCGATTTTGTGATCGTATCATCAGACCTGAGGCCGCATGTATTGGACACTCGGGTAAGGAGAGGGGCGGAGCTGTCAACAGCTCACCATCTGGTGGTGAGTTGGGTTAGGTGGCGGGGGAAGCCACTGGACAGACCTGATAAACCCAAACGTGTAGTATAGGTGAACTGGGAACGTCTGGAGGAGGCCCCTGTCTGAGAGACCTTCAACTCCCACCTTCTCCGGCATTCCTTGTAGAGGCTGGGGACATCGAACTAGAGTGGTTGGTGTTCAAAGCTTCTATTGCTGAAGCTGCGGCTGTGAGCTGTGATATTAAGGTCTTGAGCGCCTCAAGGGGCAGTAACCCCCGACAAGGTGGTGCAGGGTACTGACAGGCCCGAAGGACGACAGTCGCAGCTGTGAGGGAAGCAAAACAGCGGGTGTGGGAGGAGTTCGGAGAAGACATGGGGAAGGACTTTCAGACGGCACCCAGGCACTTCTGGAAAACCGTACCACACTTCAGGAGGGGAAAGCGGGGAACCATTCAAACTGTGTACAGCAGGGATGGGAAACTGCTGACCTCAACTGAGGAGGTAATTGGGCAGTGGAAGGAACATTTTGGGGAACTCCTGAACCCAACTAGACCAACAAACCTGCCCTCTGTGATAGAGGCAGGGCTGGAGTATGATGGGGGATCTGCATCAATTTCCCTACAGGGGGTCACTGAGGTAGTCAAACAACTCCACAGAGGCAAAGCCCTAGGGATTGATGAGATTCGCCCAAAAAATCCTGAAGGCTCTGAGTGTTGAGGGGCTGTTAACACACCTTATCAACATTACGTTGAATTCAGGGACAGCGCTGAAGGAGTGGCGGACTGGGGTGGTGGTTCCCCTACTTAGAAAGGGGGACCAGAGGGTGTGTGCAAACTACAGAGGCATCACACTACTCAGCCTCCCTGGGAAAGTTTACTCTAAGGTGCTGGAAAGTTGATTGTCGAACCTTTGATCGAAGAGGAACAGTGCGGGTTCAGTCCTGATCGTGGAACAACAGACCAACTCTTCACTCTCGCAGGTGTCCTGGAAAGGGCCTGGAAATATGCTCATCCCGTCTACATGTGCTTTGTGGATTTGGAGAAGGCATATGACTGGGTTCCCCAGGATATCCTGTGGGAAGTGCTGCGGGAGTATGGGGTGAAGGGTTCACTTCCAAAGCGAGAGCTGTGTCCAGATTCTTGGTCGTAAGTCGGACTCGTTTCCAGTGGGTGTTGGCCTCTGCCAGGGTTGCGCTTTGTCAACAATCCTGTTTGTGACTTTCATGGACAGCATATCGAGGCATAGTCGTGGGGGGGAGGGGTTGTAGTTTGGTGGGCTGAGGATTGCATCGTTGCTTTTTGCGGATGATGTGGTCCTGATGGCATCATCGGCCTGGGACCTTCAGCACTCACTGGATCGGTTCGCAGCTGAGTGTCAACAAGCTGGGATGAGGATCAGCACCTCTTAATCGGAGGCCATGGTTCTCAGCAGGAAACTGGTGGATTGTCTACTTTGGGTAGGGAGTGAGTCCTTACCCCAAGTGAAGGAGTTCAAGTACCTCTGGGTTTTGTTCATGAGCGAGGATAGAATGGAGCAGCAGATTGGCCGGAGAATCGGGGCAGCAGGGGCGGTATGGCGGTCCCTTTATTGCACTGTTGTCACGAAAAGAGAGTTGAGCCGAAAGACGAAGCTCTCGATCTACCGGTCGATCTTTGTTCCTACCCTCACCTATGGTTATGAGCGATGGGTCATGACCGAAGGAACATGATCGAGGGTACAAGCGGCTGAAATGGGTTTCCTCAGGAGGGTTCGATGTCATCCCCTCTCTCTCTACCCACCCTTCCTGTTGATCTTCAGCTGTCTCTATCCAATAAAGGCATGAAAAGCCCCCCGCCCCAAAAAAGAAACATACTGTGTACATACAACCCTAAATCCATCCATTCTATCACATATGGAAACTCTGATACATTTGGTTTACCAATCAGAAATCCATGAACTCAAACCTAAGCCCAGTTTCTGTCTAAACTATAAAACTAACTCTATATCGTACCAGACAAAATGACACTGATGGAAAAAGGTTTTACTATTGATATTATGAACTGACAGAGGAGAATGGAGGTGCAGGAACACACACATTCACACAAATTAGGCCTACCTCTCTTTCCAGTGAGGGCGAACTGGATAGCGTTTCCTCCCACGCCACAGAAGGCATCTATGACCAGCTGAGCGTCAGAGAAGCTGTGCTGCACCCTGAGGGCGATGTGCTCAGCGATTCTCTCTGGTGTCACGGAGAACCAGCCCTCTGAAACACACAACCATGTTAGTGAAACGAGCTGGACAATGTGGAGACCGAGAAGAGGATGAAGGGGAAGCTGAAAGCCATCATGGACAACCCCTCTCATCCTCTCTACACTGATTCGAGGCAGCTCAGGAGCACTTTCAGCCGCAGACTGATCCAGCCCCGAGCCTCAAAGCTGGTTGGAGGCTCATTTGTACCATCAGCCATCAGATTCCGTAACGCCACAGCACCAAGTACCTCCAACCCCCGCTGACTAAGACTAGTTTAAACTCCAACCTACGACACACAAACTTTTTGCACTAACTTTTGTACAGTTTATGTACAGTTTCGTTTTTTGTATTTGGCTGGCTGTGGTGCAGAGGCAGAGCGGGTCGTCCCCTAATCGGAAGATTGTTGGTTCGATCCCCGGCTCCTCTGGCACACGTCAACGTATCCTTGAGCAGGTTACTGAACCCCATATTGCTCCCGATGCTGTACATTGGTGTATGAATGAGTAAGTTTCTGTTCGATGGGCTTTGCCATCACTGAGTGAATGTGTGTGAAAGGGAATGTGGCAGGTACTGTAAAAACTCTTTGAGTGGTCGAAAGACTATTCAATTCAATTTTATTTGTATAGCGTCAACTCATAACAGAAGTTCTCTCAGGACACTTTTCAAATGGAGCAGGTCTAGACTGAACACCTTATAACATTACTAGGAACTAGAAAGGCACTATACAAGTACAAGTTCATTTACCATTTATTTCATAGGTCAGTGCCTCTTTTGGTTGTTCAATTTCTATTTCAGAAATTATGATTGATTAATGATGACGATTAAATTCAAATTTAAATACACTTTCTTTGTCTTTTTCATGTTTAAAAAGGAACGAGCAAAAAATGGTTTGTTTTTTAAAATGGTTTGATTCATTTTCTATTTCTTATAACAAAAAACAAATATTTAAATCACAGTAGAAAACAGACGACACAAAACAAAAAAAGGTATTTATTCATACGTCCTGTATATGACCGCATGTGGTCATATACAGGAAATCTCACTGTGGTCAGCTGAGTCATCACTTGGGAAAGTCAGCTATACAACTCATAATATTCTCAAAGACTGAACAGCAAAATGACAGGGCAATTGTGAACAGGACTGCATTGAAAATGTAAGCAAACATGTTCAAACTTATGAACTCAAATATGAGTTTCAATCAAATTTTCTGTTATGGTTTCATCAAATGAGGACTTATCTGTTGGCATTCAACAAGACTGATTGAAACTGAAAAATGTTCAGGACTTTTTCAAGACATTTTCCAGTTTTCCCGAGAATACAGGACGAAATTTGCTCACAATAATTTAGGTCTAGTATTGACACATTCCTCCTTTTTTAATGATGCTAAAGTATCTAAGGTTTATTACAGGCCAGTGGTCACACTCCATTAATCTGCTTTTGTGGCATGCCTGGCTGTTCTCACTATAGCCGATTTTTACACCGTTTACTCCTCCAGTGAACTGACTCAGTTTACTCAAGTTTCCCTCAAACCGTGACATTACTTTGGCCACAGCCCATAAGGCCCATCTTTTCCAGGACATTTCCAGGAGTTTTTCTTGACAGTTGCTTACATTCATATTATTTACTGGCAGACCTAGCACTGATTTTAACTCCAGTTTTCCTCCACCTTTTTTAAGGTGTCTCCCTGTTCAATTTAAGTAGAATTTATTTTATTTTACAAAATGAAGTGTCATACCGTGCAGGTTATCCTTCCAACAGCTGACTTTCAAACTAAATACATAGGCCATCTGAGGTGTAGATCTGAGTGACACAACAAGTTTAGTTTTCTACATATTTGGTAATTTTATTCAATTTCCAAAAGCTTCCATGACTTGAAAACTAGTCTCTAAATTACCAGGTTTTCCACGACATGTGGGAACCATTGACATAAATGACTTGAAAGCTCTCCAAAAGTGCAGCTAAAACACCTTGATTGCCCCCTGGTGGCTGACTGCAGTATAGGTTATAAAGCGCGCTGCCTCTATCTTAGTAGATGGAACATGGGCTAAATTGAGAAATCAAAATACAAGTCATTACATTTTTCCCTAAGATGATATTCTGTCATTTTAGATAGTTCTTATCACACTGATGTATATTCAAGCATTCATTTTTATCACCAGTTCTGTTTTGATTAGTTATTTAAAGCTTTTGTCCTTTTTGGACATCTAATCACAACACAGAGGCAACACTGGCACACACAAATAAAGACTAATGGGCTAAATGGGATGGCTGTGGCTCGAAGGTAGAGCGAGTTGTCCACTAATTGGAAGGTTGCCGGCTCCTCCCCGCTGCCTGTCGAAGTATCCTTGAGCAAGATACTTAACCCCAAATTGCCAAGGCACTCCCGAGGCGTCATTGGTGTGTGAATGTGAATGAATTAGTTTTCATTAGTATCTGTCCGATAGATTTTTCATTGTGTGTGAAAGGGCAATGTGGCATGTAGTATAAAAGCGCTTTAAGTGGTCAGAAGACTAGAAGGGCGATATACAAGTACAGGTCCACTAAGTAACAAAAGTAAATGGAATATCACTTCCACTGTCTGTCCATTCTTCACTCATTCATCTGCTTCAACCGCATGAGAATTATCCAGAACTGGATCTGATACAGACTTGCACAACACGTTTATAGGCATGCATGTAGAGTGCAGACTGACCTTGGTCTAGCCTGATCCCTTCATCAAAGCGAGAGAAGAGTCTGTAACGTTGAGCCCAGTATTTAGCCAGCTCCGGTTTAGCTGCCATCTCTGCTGGGACCTGCTGCTTCCTCCCTCGCTTCTTATTCTTCTTTTTCTTCTTCTTTGGCTTCTGTCCATCTTTCATTCTCAACTCTATACACACACACACACACACACACACACACACACACACACACACACACACACACACACACACACACACACACACAATCTTCATCATTAGACTGCACCAGAGTTCACCAGGATTGCCTTATTTTTCAACAAACAATGCCATCAGAATCCTTTGACAGATGCTATGCTCACCACTGTTGCCTTCAGGTGCGTCAGACGGGGGGAAGTCAGGTATTTCTAGAAATTTGAACTGTCTACCGGGCTGCTCCTTCTCCTCCTTCTCCTCCTCCTCCTCTTTCTCCTCCCTCTCACTATCCCCAGTCCCAGCAGGAGAGCTGAAGGAGGCACTAGGCTGAGTACACTTCCTCCTCTCTGCGTCTAAACTGCACAGAGAATTAGAACTCTCTTCTTGAACAACATCTGTACTTCCTTCCTTAGCACTCTTCATATTCCTCCTCTTCTCCTTTACTCCCAAAAATGGAGGCTTGGTCTCAGGTTCGTGCTTGCTTCCTCCTTCCATCTCACACCGGTCACATCGACTCACCTGTGTCTCACTCTGGTGCTTTTTAAGGAACTTCTGGACCTGTGAAACAAACAGTCTGGATTTAAAGGTTAAATATATATGAGACCATAAACATTAATACAGCAGCAAACAACACAAAGAGAATGTGTGCATTGTTCTGAGCTGCTCTGTTCATTTCTCATCCTGCCGGTCTGGTGTGAGTCAGATTTATTTCCACCGATCCAGAGTTGGTGATTGTTGGAACAGTGGAAAGACTAGCAGAGACGGTTTTTGGTGAGTTTTTGTGTTTCTGTCCACACTTTGTTACAATGTTAAGCAAGGTAAAACCGCTTGTCAATGGAGTCTTGTGGTAAGTGATAGTGATATTAATGCTGTTTCTGGTTAAACAAAAGGTATATCTCTGTTGTGACCTTTTCAGTAAAAGAAGACAGACACAATAACAATGAGTCTGTAAGTGGCAAAAACAACAACTTTTAGTGGATGGACTTTTGTATGCACATTTGTCCCCCAAGGATTAGCTTACGTCACATGGGAGCCATTGCAGTTTCACTGCTATTTTCTCATCTAACTCTGTGAATTAAGGGTTTTTTTCAACCAAACCAGAGTTGGTGATTTGTGGAAAGAGTGTGGAAAGACTTACAAAGACAGTGGCGAGTTAGATTACGTTTCTGTCCAGTTTGAAGTGTGTTTTACTATTACCTGCTGGGTAAAATTACTGGTTTTGCGAATTGGAGTCTGGTCAGCTGTAGCACCTATGGTTTTGGTCTGAGATCCTGGCGCTTTAGTGAGACATCATTGACATATCATAAGAATGGTTCCATGCTACCATCCTTTTCCTTCTACATCTCAACGCAAACAAGACGTGAGCTCAAATGCTCTAATGTGGTTGAAGAACCTTGTAGTGGCACACTGTGCAGTGTGAAATATTGTCTTTACAAGGCCAAGCCAATTTTGAGAGAAAAGTATTGCATGGTTGCAGCCAATTGGTAAAGTATGCGTTACCAATATTCATGTAAGTATCTGTCACATAAAGACATCCAACAGATGCTTCCTTTCACAAAAGCGAACTTTATTTACCCCTGTGGAAATATTTGTTTTTAATGGACAAGGAGTCAAACAAACATTTTGGGAAAAGATGGAGAACAGATGGAAAAAGACAAACAGATTCATATGGAAGCACATTTCTGCCAATGTGGTCATATAATGATATACTCAAAATATTGGCTTAGTATCTCAAAATTCAAAAATATTGTGAAAATTATCTATTGAGATAATAAGTCAATATTTTGAGAAAGTTTCTTATTATAATGACTCACAGAATAATTTTTTCCCCCTTCACATTGGTAGAAATTGGCTTCCATAGATTCAAGAGTTAGAGGCCAAGCAGTAAGCCTGATACTGGAGGAACACTGGTTTATTCCAATGCAATGTGTAACATTTAGGAGGATCTACTATCAGAAATTGAACATAATATTCATAGGTATGTTTTTATTAGAGTATAATTACCTGGAAATAAGAATTGTTGTGTTTTCATTACCTTAGAATGAGCTGTTTTTATTTACAGAGTGGCAGTGGGATTATAATCTGCAACTACACAGCTAGATGCCACTAAATCCTACATACTGGTCCTTTCAACATCCACATACAGCTGATAGTGTGATTTGTGGCGCTTTGAATTTATGTTGCACAATCCCAGTCTGTGTCCTACCTTGTAGAGGGAGGGGTTGATCTGTGGCTGTGTGTCGTCTCCACCCGTCTCTGGGAACCTGGTGTGTTTGCTGATGCTGCAGACTGCCCTCTTACTCAGCCACTGACGCTTCTGACAAGCCCCACCTTTGAAGCTCAACACACTGTCGAACCTGAGACACAAACACGATTTTAATACTGACCTTCACACATATAGCGTAACTAGTATTTTTCTTATGCCACAAAGCATCTGTTACATCCACTGACAGAATATAATTAGTGGACAGAGCAGAGTGTCCTACATTTCTTTATAATGGCCAGCAGGGGGCTACACAAAAAAGAATCATAGTATTGAGTCTAATGAGCAAATTACCCTACTTCTCACTTGATTTATGAGCTCACTAAACAGTTTCCAAATAAGTTTACAGTCTCAATCTCTAGTTTCACTCTTCTTTCATACAGCATGATGTTCATTTAGTAAATGATGGTCCCATTTAGAGTCAAATAGGCCATAAAGCAGGGTATGCTTTAGGGAGTGGCTACCTTGTGATTGACAAGTCATTCTCAGCGAGTTCGTCAAGCACAACGCACCAAACTGTGCGTTGTGAAAGTATGAATCAAGATTCTGTTACTGTGTTGAATATTTCTCTCCTCAAATCTGTTCACAAACATATTTTAGTGTAGTGTTTATCTGGAATATGAGATTGTGTGTGACCAGGTGAGCTGTCAGTGTTTCCTGTTACGGAAAAGTTGAAACTGCACAGCCAATGAGAGCAGCTCAACTCACAGTACGCTGTCAGCTGGCACCAAAAAAAACATGGTGACGGCCATAATGCAGAACTCGAGGCTTCAAAATGGTACTCCAGAAACCAATGGGTGATGTCACGATAGGTTCACGCTTGGTCTTACTGACCTGACATGCTATAAAACAACTGTAAGTTATATAAAAATGTGTCTGGTGAACAACAGACTGCTAGAGGATGCTCCATTTCTAACATACTTCCAGTTAACGCTAAGAGGAGCTGTAAACCAACTGGATCCCGTGGACAGCAGCAGCAGCTTTAACTGAACAGACTTACAGAGGCTCTGGGTTGCGTTTGAGTCCCAGTTTACGCCAAGCTTCCTCAGGGGTCAGATTTGGGCTCTCCTCCACATCCAGCTCGTGACTGCAGTCAAACAGAAAATACTGCTTTAAGATTTAAACCTTCTTTTCTCCCCGGCTCCTCTTGCTGCATGTCGAAGTGTCTTTGAGCAAGACACTTAACCCGAAATTGCATCGGTGTATGAGTGTGTATGATTAGTTTCCGTTCTGGTAAGTCAGTATATCCATTGTGTGTGAATGGGGTGAATGTGACAGCGCATTAAGTGATCGAAAAAGTAGAAAGGCACTATATAAGTACAGTCCGTTTACCATTAATTGATGTTTTATTTTGAGTCAAATGTCAGCTACAGTGGGTACGGAAAGTATTCAGACCCCTTTAAAATTTTCACTCTTTGTTTCATTGCAGCCATTTGCTAAAATCAAAAAAGTTCATTTTATCTCTCATTAATGTACACTCAGCACCCCATCTTGACAGAAAAAAACAGAAATGTAGAAATTTTTGCAAATTTATTAAAAAAGAAAAACTGAAATATCACATGGTCATAAGTATTCAGACCCTTTGCTGTGACACTCATATTTAACTCACATGCTGTCCATTTCTTCTGATCCTCCTTGAGATGGTTCTGCTCCTTCATTGGAGTCTAGCTGTGTTTAATTAAACTGATTGGACTTGATTAGGAAAGGCACACACCTGTCTATATAAGACCTTACAGCTCACAGTGCATGTCAGAGCAAATGAGAATCATGAGGTCGAAGGAACTGCCCAAGGAGCTCAGAGACAGAATTGTGGCAAGGCACAGATCTGGCCAAGGTTACAAAAGAATTTCTGCAGCACTCAAGGTTCCTAAGAGCACAGTGGCCTCCATAATCCTTAAATGGAAGAAGTTTGGGACGACCAGAACTCTTCCTAGACCTGGCCGTCCAGCCAAACTGAGCAATCGTGGGAGAAGAGCCTTGGTGAGAGAGGTAAAGAAGAACCCAAAGATCACTGTGGCTGAGCTCCAGAGATGCAGTAGGGAGATGGGAGAAAGTTCCACAAAGTCAACTATCACTGCAGCCCTCCACCAGTCGGGGCTTTATGGCAGAGTGGCCCGACGGAAGCCTCTCCTCAGTGCAAGACATATGAAAGCCCGCATAGAGTTTGCCAAAAAACACATGAAGGACTCCCAGACTATGAGAAATAAGATTCTCTGGTCTGATGAGACCAAGATTGAACTTTTTGGCTTTAATTCTAAGCGGTATGTGTGGAGAAAACCAGGCACTGCTCATCACCTGCCCAATACAATCCCAACAGTGAAACATGGTGGTGGCAGCATCAGGCTATGGGGGTGTTTTTCAGCTGCAGGGACAGGACGACTGGTTGCAATTGAAGGAAAGATGAATGCGGCCAAGTACAGAGATATCCTGGAAGAAAACCTCTTCCAGAGTGCTCAGGACCTCAGACAGGGCCGAAGGTTCACCTTCCAACAAGACAATAACCCTAAGCACACAGCTAAAATAACAAAGGAGTGGCTTCGGAACAACTCTGTGACCATTCTTGACTGGCCCAGCCAGAGCCCTGACCTAAACCCAATTGAGCATCTCTGGAGAGATCTGAAAATGGCTGTCCACCAACGTTCACCATCCAACCTGACAGAACTGGAGAGGATCTGCAAGGAAGAATGGCAGAGGATCCCCAAATCCAGGTGTGAAAAACTTGTTGCATCATTCCCAAGAAGACTCATGGCTGTAGTAGCTCAAAAGGGTGCTTCTACTCAATACTGAGCAAAGGGTCTGAATACTTATGACCATGTGATATTTCAGGTTTTCTTTTTTAATAAATTTGCAAAAATTTCTACATTTCTGTTTTTTTCTGTCAAGATGGGGTGCTGAGTGTACATTAATGAGAAATAAAATGAACTTTTTTGATTTTAGCAAATGGCTGCAATGAAACAAAGAGTGAAAAATTTAAAAGGTCTGAATACTTTCCGTACCCACTGTACATGGGGATGCCATAACTATTAGTTGACTAATAGAAGATTGTCACACCCTTCATTTTCTGCAAAATTCGATGCAGCTAGTCTCATAAATACCAGGACTACCAGTGTGTTTTTTTAAACGGACATAGTTTTTTCCAAGAGGACGTTTCTTACCTACATCTAAATCTACTAAAGCTAAATAACAATATGGTAACATCGAAAGCATCAAGCAGCCTGGACTGCCTGATGAACCTGGTTGACTGGTTACAATGTTCAAGCTCTGAAAATGTTTCCAAAACTTTTTCAGATACTGTGAGAAACAGTTTTTTACCTGAGCAGACTTTGGAGAATGTACAGATGACACAGCATCAGGAGCAATTTGCTCAAGGATACTTCGACATGCAGCGGGAGGAGCCGGAAATCGAACCAGCAACCTTCGAAGACTCAGTACAGACTTACCTGCGTTTGACTTTAGCATGTCCTCCTTCTGGGGGTTTGTCGTCATCATCATCCTCCTCATCATCTCTATTTGACATCTTATTCCTTGAGCCATACTGTCTGTCAAGGCCACCAGCAGCCTGCTGGGAATCTGAGTTGAAACATACAAGATATATACCATCAAATACACATTAAAATGTGTATGTATAATTAAAAAGTGAAAAGAACATTTCTCCAATAGGGGATTAACATAAAAGTATATATCTACTCCTGTAGTACCTTTAAGTAGCAGTAAATTACAGGATTGAAAAAAATACTCAAAGAAAAATACTTCATTACAGTAAACTGAATGGTTGTCATTTGTTTTTAAAACCTAAAGGACAAAGCAGTCTGCATGATAATGTAGCAGTGCTGACAGTGACACACACACACACAGAGTCAGATATTACCTGTATGTTCAGCTGTGTTTTGCTGTGAGGAGGCAGCAGGTCTCTTGCGATCGTTCCCACCATCAGAAGGATCATCGGAGCCACAGAGCTCTCTGACATCAGCCCCACTCACACACAGTCTGTCAGTCACAGAGCTCCCACCAGCCTCCAGTGTGCACTTCTGTCTAAGCAGCTCGTTCAAAACCTCGACATCATCATTAAGAGCGTCCACTTCTTCTTTCTGTTGTTTCCCAGCTGTGGTCTGTCCATCCATCCCTTCCTCTGAGCATGTCTCTGTGCCTCTGTCCATCACCCCTGCTGCTGCTGCTGCTCCACCAGTGCTCCCATTACAGGTGGACTGGTCAGTGGTCCAGCCCTGTGCCACCCAGTATGAGTACTGTTCCCAGTAGGAGTAGTAGGTCCCTGCAGCATGTTTGTCCCAAGCGGCTTTTGCGTCTGGGTCGTCCCAGGGAGCAGTCACTGTTCCTGGATATTTCTCTAGCCAGCTGCTCCACAGCAGAGCCTCACCCTGTTGAGCTTCAGGAAAAAGCGAAAAGACAAACAAACTGACGATTTTGGTGAGTTTTATTTAGTTTCTGTCCAGTTTGAAGGGTGTTATATGATTATCTGCTAGGTAAAATGACTGGTTTTGTCAATGGAGTTGCACCATTATTTTGGCCTCAGATGCAGGTGCTCCAGTGCAGTGGTTCACAAACCTTTTCCTTAAGGGACCTCTTTTCCATCATTGAGTACACTGATTGATATTTCATATTGTATTTGAGCAGATTATTTCCTGTGAATATTATATTATATTATATTATTTAATACATTTATCAGATGTGTTAAAAGGGCACGTAGTGTCGGAACACTAGAAAGGTACTATGTAAATGGACCTAAGTACGGGCCTCCTTCTTACCCCAGTAGGTTTCCCAGCCAACATCTTGGATCCCTCCCGTTCCTTCCTCCAGTGGATCACACACTTCAACATCAACTAGGTCAGTGTCCAAAAACATCACACAAAATAACAATAATAATAATAATAATTATAATCATTATAATAATAACAAAGTGTGTTGTATTACTTTTGTTGTCAGGTTGTAGATCTTTTTGGTCATCCTCCTCTTCAGCTGGTTCTGCCCAGTATGTGGCTGACCTCCTGTTTGACCTCCTCCCCTGTCACATGACCAAAAAGAGGCTCATCCAGTAGCAGGAAATGGCTGCAAATATTGTAGCTTACTATTATTTAATTAAACTAACTCACCACTCCCTTCTGCTCAGAGGAACTGACAAAGGATAGAGGCAGACCCAGGCTGGCCATCAGTTGAGCTTCTTCATCTAACACCTCCTCCTCCTCTTCTTCCTCCTCCTCCTCCTCCTCTTCATCTTCATCATCTGTATCTGTATTAATTTCACATTTTCATACTATTTATTGACCTTGTGTTCTCTCTACTTTTCTTGAGTGTGTCATTCAACAGTGGAAAACCTCAGAAGCCAGAACATCACCCGCCTTGTGATCATTGTTAAACATGAAATGGTACAACATACCTTGGACTGCAGTGCATAATGGGCCAAATGAAAGCAATCTATTATCAGAGCGATAGAGCTCCCGATCCCTAGACAGAGGGAGAGGACACAGACAAACAGGAAAGGCTGATGAAGACCAAGAACTGCGCAGCTTCATTTGTCCACACATCAGTCTGCCTGCAGTACTGCTGTGTTTATAAAAATAAACACAGGTGATTTTCGATGTCAATGTGTCAGCCAATACAGTATAAGCATGAAGTGAATAACACTGATTATCTGGTTATCATGGCACCTGTCAGTGGGTGGGATATATCAGACAGCAACTGAACATTTTGTCCTCAAAGTTGATGTTAGAAGCAGGAAAAATGGGCAGTGTGAGGATCTGATCTGATGCATGTGGGGAGGGAAGTCTGACCCGTGTGGTCCGATCCAACAGACGAGCTACTGTAGCTCAAACTGCTGAAAGAGTTAATGCTGGTTGTGATTGAAAGGTGTCAGAACCCACAGTGCATTGCAGTTTGTTGTTATGGCTGATCAGTGTATATAAAAATAGTCGGCTGGGAACATTAATGTGCGTCTGATGTTTTTTCCACAAAAAAATCCTGAAAGAAGACATCTACTCCTTCTACTTCATTCAACATTCCAGAATATATGAATTGTGCATTTTTTTCCACCTGGTGATGTTGTGGTAATGTGCATTATAGTGAACTGAACAGACGCGTTTCATGTGTATACAGGATGTCAGTCTTTCAATGTGGCCCAGGACACATTTGCGTTTACACTACAAAAGGTGTATGTGCAGTGCGTACCAGACCACCTCAGCAAGTGGTTTGAGGGATCACGTCACAATGTGTCCCAACATGCATGTTAATACCAGGTATGAACAGGCTCAAGATGTCTCCTACTTCACTGTAAAGTCCATTCTCAGTGGATGTGCACTGGTGGCTTCAGGTTTCTACATCACACTGTACGAGTTGCATACTGGACCAGGATGATGTCACTAATCCTGCTGGTAGGCCCCGCCCCTTAAAATCAGCTTTTCAATGAGCACAGAGAAACTTTCCACTTTCAGCAGATGAATGTGAAAACATCCTTCTAGTGTCAAACTCCACATATACAGCATTCACACAGCACACTGTAGGAACAAGAACAAACACTGGTTTCTGACTGCAGGGGACTTTAAGAGAGGTAAGAGGAGCTCACTGTACGAAGGCTCTGGAGCAGCGACAGTGAACGATCTCCTCCTCCGCAGATGTGTGCCTCTTGCTAAAGAAGATATCCGCCACCACCGTCACCCTGCTCCTCTCCAGCATCATGACGATCGCCTCACTGATTCTGAAGCACGCGCGAGCAGCACGAGCACATTGCGTTCGCCCACCGGTTACAAGCTGGTTCTCTTCAACATCACACCGACGTTAATTGCGGGCATGATTTCCAGTTCCGCTGGCAATGACAATAATTACACTTCCTGCCATTTATTTTCAGAATAAAAGCGTTATTCCTCCAAGTTTCTTTTGTGCAAAACATTGGCGCAAACAAACTGAGCAATAAAATGGTAATAAACACAATCTGCAGTATATATGGCTGAATTTAAATGAAGAACAAAAATCAAAGATTTCTCTCACATTCTGTTTTTCAGAATGAGAGAGGAGATGTCCATTATATACAGTTAGTATTTTCTTGAGTTATTAGGGTTTAGTTTAGTTATTATGGGGAAAAGGTCAATAAATGTTACATTCACGTTTCTACCGTAACAAAGAATTTCCGTGTTGTGTGTGAATTTCCATTTTGTGCAAATGTAATGGATAATAAAGTACTATGAATCTGAATCTGACTACATTGAATCAATTGGCTCATTTTAGTACACCCCTTTCACCCTGATTTTGCGCTTTTATTTTGAACGCTACGTGTCAAAAATGAAGTTCAGTTGCTATTGAGTGGAACCTCTGTGCCGTGGTCACGGCGCTGGTTTCCAGGGACGGTGTTGCACTCAAACCGTTCCGGGGTTAAGAACAGAACAGTTGTTAGCTAAGCTGTTTGTGTATGTTGAGCTGCTGTAACATTAAATATACGTTGGTGTGTTTAAATGGCTCTGTACACAGCTGTCGCAGCTGTCTGAGGTAACGTTGTCTGTGTTCACTCTGCGTTCAGCGTAACGTTAGCGGACGTAGTTCTGCTCTATTAACGTTAGTTAGCTCAGTTTATTATCGCATTATATTATTATTATCGCATTTACAGTTACGTTTCTTCACTGGTGTACCTATTAACAGTATGGGTGTAACAGTATAGCTAAAGTTAACTAAGTTAGTTTCCATTAAATCATACAAATATCTGCCATTTGATATAACGTTAGCATATATGACTAGTCATATGCTGACTAGCTAGTTCAAACATCGATACTTTAATCTAAACCTAACTTAGCATGACTTGTTAAGAAAGTCAAGTTGTTTTCGAAAATGTTATTGACAAAACCCCTCAAATGTAGCCGTGTTTTCCTCACACAGACTGTACTTTACCTAAATGAAATGCAGTTTAACAAGAAGACATATTTGTTTTCCTCGGCTTCAGCTTGCCTGCATGTAGCAGCAGGGGCTCTCCATGCACACTCATCCTCCCCCTGAAGTTGTCAGTCTGTCCGTCTGACTGACTGATCCTGTCACCAGCTGTTGAACCACAGCTTCTGTGGCTGTCAGCAGGATGTCAGACAGTGGGAACCAATCCTGTCTGATGGCAGCAGAGGACACTGTCTCCCTCCTGGTATGAACTTGTCCATTTAGTACTGCCATTTACCACCTGACAGCTGTTCATTCTCTCAGTCTGTGTTCATGAAGTACTTTAATTTAGTTACTTAAGGAACTGGTTGATTACTCAATTGAACCTATGGTTATTTGATTCAGGAATGTGCTGGTATCAGTTGGATATCAGATCAGATCTGATACATCCATCAGCCTAAACTGTGCAAAGTGCATCCATGCAAATGTATTATTAGCAGCGTAGTTGTTAATGAGACGGAAAAGACTGGATTTGATTGGTATCGGCATCAGCTGATACTCAAGGTTGCATGTATTGGACATGAAAAAGTGATATCGTGCCATCCATAATTTGATAGTGATCAGTGGTGTGAGTGCAGCTCTAGTGACCTGATTGATCAATTAGTCAACTGTTAAATTAGTTGCCAACTATTTTGATAACATATCATGTGTGATCAACAGTTTTCACCATTTTCTCCATTTTATGGACTAAATCCATTAATCAAGAAAATTATTGATGGATAAATCCATAATGAAAATGTTATTTTGAGGTAGAAAAGTTACGTAATGTTCCTTTAAGTGTCAAACTGCTTATTGGTAATGTCACCCTCAAGTTTTGTTTGGTATGGTTTACAGTGCTCAAAATGTAGGATGTCCCAGCAATAATACAAATAGCACCTACACAAAGATAAAGTAAATGTATCATTGTAGATGACATTATTACCTTTATGTTTCATTGAATATATATTATTTCAATTGTTAGGTGGTACCAGCACAAGCTCTATGTCACACACACTCTTACACACACAAAATCAATCATAGAGATTCACTGTTGCCTACTTGGCAACTTTCTTGCTAGATTTAGTCAGTTTTCAGACCCTCCTAGACCCTCGACTAAAAACAAATTAAGCGATGTATTCCGTCAGGGAAAAGGTGAGAAATATATTAAATTATATTGTAATTCATTCCCATGCATGCTGCTTAGAGTATTTTCTGACGGCTCTTCTGCCAGCAGTGCAGGAATCTCTCCCTCTCCTCTTAGAGTCAGTTGTTGTGGCATGTGGGGGATTCTCTCTCACTCTTTCTCACCGGCTCTCTGGGTTGGAGTGTTATAGCTTATATGTAAATAACTTGTTTGTATATTTAAGTAGTTTGTTTGATCTTCTCCCTCCTTTTTGTAGTTTTTTGTTTGTTTTTTACTTACAAATGAATGATGTCCCTGTTTATTAAGTTTATGATTATTTGGCTAAATAATAATAGTGTTCAAAATGTTTGTATGTAAATGTCCATCACCGTATACCAATCAGAAACAGGTCTACATTTGCTCTGCAGTTTGCAGTGATGCATTTATTGGACAAATGATTAGAAATGATTAGCAGAACATCCGTTGCAGACCAGAGCAAAGGTAAAGTGATGTGAGTTACTGTAACATCAATTTCGGACAGTGGTAGTTAAGTCTGGGACAGTTAAAAGTCGAATTTGGGACGTTTGCACAACATTGAGGAAAAAAGATTATTTCAAGCCCTGATGGTTTAGGGCACAAAATGCAATAGCTATAGTGTCTTTGTTTACATGGTAGGATGCACATTTCATGTCCCTCCAGTCAACTGAATGAGTTGTGAGCCCTCTGGCACAGATTTATATTTGTACACCACAGTCTGGTTTTAAATGCAGAACACGTTGATGGTCTACCCTGTAATTTGGTAGTATTTGATGTTCAGCATGGTAACACTGACCAGTAGACTGTTACGTGATGTATTTCTCATGCTGTAGCTTCTGTTGCCATAGCTTTAGCCTAGAGCCTAAATACAGACTTGCCTCTGTGTACTGCCTGTTTAGTGTACCTGCTTAAAGCGTTACTTAAACATATATATTTTCTCATTTAACGTTTAGGTTTTTAGCAATGCACCTTGATTTTAGTTTAGGTGTTTAGGTGTTCCACCTCTGGAACTTGCCTGTGAATTTAATACAATAGAAATGTGTTTGTGCTACTGCGTTTGCAGCTCTGAACTAAATATATTAAACTGCTGCTAGCACTATTTTAACTGTTCGAGGAACACCAAAGTCATTAGGAATCATCCTCCTGCAAACCCAACTGTCTGTACAAAGTTTCATGTCATTCCATCCAGTAGTTGTTGAGATGTCTCAGTCTGGACAAAGTGGTGGATCTAATTACTGACCTGTCTTGTTTTGGTCCACAGGTGTGTGTGTTTCACGCATGGGAGGAATGGGCAGGCCTTGGTCAGATGGAGGACTATCTGAGTGTTCTAGAGTACCTGCTGTGGGTCTTCACCCCTCTGGCCATCGTCTTCATCTTGCCCTTCCTCATCGTCATCCTCCTTTACCTTTCTATACTCTTCCTTCATGTCTATAAGGTATGCAAACATGCTGCACCTCCACATGTGGAACATTGGTGGTATTTGTATGTTTCATAATTGAAAATCTTAACACTAGTAAAAACTAAATTCTGTCATTCTTTATACAATTTATTCTCACAGCTCTTCTTCCACAGCTATTCAATTCAATTCAATTCAATTCAATTTTATTTGTATAGCGCCAATTCATAACAGAAGTTATCTCAGGACACTTTTCAAATAGAGCAGGTCTAGGCCGAACTCTTTAAAACATTATTTACAGAGACCCAACAGTACCACCATGAGCAAGCACTTGGCGACAAGGGCAAGAAAAAACTGCCTGTTAAAAGGCAGAAACCTAGGACAGATCCTCCGGCTCTAGGTGGGTGGTCGTATGTCTCGACCAGTTGGGGTGAGAGAGAGAGACAGAGAGAGAGAGAGAGAGAGACAGGCAGGCCGGCAGGCAGACAGACAGACAGGCAGACAGGTGCACAGCAACAACAGTAGCAACAACTACACTAAAAGTAGTGACTGATGATGATGAACATGAAGAAGATGATGACGACAACAACAACAACAACGATGGAGGACAATGAGCAGTGACAATAGTAATAATAGTAACTGTAGTAGTAATAATAATAATAATAACAATAATATCAGTGATATTAGCAATGGCAGTCAAGCAGGACCATGGCAGGAGGCTCCACCAGGATCCATGAGAACCTGTGAGACGAGAAAGCACAAGAACTCCGGGGAAGAAGTGAAGTTAGTAACATGCATTAATGGGACATGAATGAGCGCAGAAAGAGAGAGAGAGGAAGAGAGGAGCTTAGTGCACCATGGGAAATCCACCGATAGTCTAGGCCTATAGCAGCATAACTAAGGGATGGTTCAGGACTCACCTGATCCAGCCCTAACTATAAGCTTCATCAAAGAGGAACGTCTTAAGCCTACTCTTGAATGTGGAGAGGGTGTCTGCCTCCCGAACCACAACTGGAAGCTGGTTCCACAGGAGAGGAGCTTGGTAACTGAAGGCTCTGGCTCCTGTTCTACTTTTAGAGACTATAGGAACCACAAGTAGCCCAGCATTCAGAGAACGTAGTGTTCTAGAGGGGTAATAGGGTACTATGAGCTCTTTAAGATATGAAGGGGCCTGACCATGAAGAGCTTTATAGGTGAGGAGGAGTATTTTAAATTCTATTCTACATTTTACAGGGAGCCAGTGCAGAGAAGCTAGTACAGGAGAGATGTGATCTCTTTTTCTAGTTCCTGTCAGTACTCGTGCTGCAGGGTTCTGAATTAATTGGAGCGTTTTAATGGACTTAATGGACTGGCGGCTGTGGCTCAGAGGCACAGCGGGTCGTTCCTTAATTGGAAGGTTGTGGGTTCGAACCCCGGCTCCTGGTGCCACATGTCGAAGTATCCTTGAGTAAGATACTGAACCCCAAATTGCTCCCGATGCCGTGTATCTGTGTGTGAATGTGTATGAATGTTAGTTTCTGTTCGATGGACTTTGCCATCACTGAGTGAATGTGTGTGAAAGGGTGAATGTGGCATGTAGTGTAAAAGCGCTTTGAGTGGTCAGAAGACTAGAAAGGCACTATACAAGTACAGGTCCATTTACCATTTAACATTACTTATTGGGGCAGCCTGATATTAAAGAGTTGCAGTAATCCAGCCTTGAAGTAACAAATGCATGGATTAGTTTTTCTGCATCTGTCTGTGATAGGATGTGTCTAATTTTTGTAATATTACGTAAATGAAAGAAGGCAGTCCTAGAGGTCTGCTTTATGTGGGAGTTAAATGATAAATCCTGATCAAAGATAACTCCAAGATTCCTGACAGTGGTGCTAGAGGCCAAGTTAATGCCATCTAGAGTAATTATATCTTTAGACAGTGAGTCTCTAAGGTTTTTGGGGCCAAGTACAAGAATATCGGTTTTTTTTCTGAGTTTAACATCAGAAAATTGCAGCTCATCCAGGATTTTATGTCCTTAAGACATGTTTGTAATTTAGATAATTGATTAATTTCATCGGGCTTGATTGATAGATATAACTGCGTATCATCTGCCTGATGTATTATTATGAAAATAACAATGTGAATAATAATAAGTGAATAATAAGTTATCATAACACTAATCCTTACATAAATTAAAAGATTTATTTGGTTATGTTAAACAATTTGCATGTCTAAATGAACACTATAACGTTTGGAAATTGTTCTGTGGACATTAGTACCAGTCAGTTTGACAGGTGATACAGCTGTGCAGCATCAACTGGTAATGGTAAATGGACCTGTACTTGTATAGCACCTTTCTCGTCTTCCTCAAAGCGCTTTTACACTACGTGCCACATTCACCCTTTCACACACATTCACTCAGTGATGGCAAAGTCCATCGTACAGAAACTAACGCATTCATACACATTCAAGGGGAGCAATTCAAGGACACTTTACCATGTGGCGGGAGGAGCCAGGGATCGAACCAGCAACCTTTCAATTAGTGGACGACCCGCTCTTCCTCTGAGCCACAGCCACTTACTGACTCTGTGGGAGCAAGGATTTCTTATTTAGCAGATTTACCTCCTCCTACTGTCCTTGTGTCTCTGTCTCACGTCCTTGCTCGGTGGATCTAAGACGCAGGAAAAGAAAGCGAATGAGGGAAGCGAGGAGAGACGTTAGCAACACGTGAACTGAGTAGAATTTGGTGGTCATAAGGTCAAGGTCATTATGACCTCACAAAACCTATTTTAGCCATAACTTAAGAATTCCTATGCAAATAATGACAACATTTCACACAAATGACTAATAGTACAAAATGATGAAGTGGTGACATTTTGTATCCCAAAGGTCAAAGGTCTTCACTGTAATCGACAGATATAGTTTTGCATATGAATTGTATCTCATTGCGAATCAATTGGATTTCCTGCTAAGTCACCACCTGATTATTTAAAGGTATACCTGATGGCAATTAAGCCCAGGGTGACTCTATTGGAGCAACATGCGAAATGCGTAGTTTGATCCTTTTTGTTTTTTAATGAAATAGAACCATATAAATCCTACTATTCTGGTGTGTTCTGGAATATATTTTTGATCACCTAGCTGGCCTTCCTTAAATGGTAACAGGTATTTTTTTAGCTGGACCTTATATTCCGATGTTATTGTGTCTAAGTGACTAATATGGACAACAATCTTTAAAATTGGTCCACGAATGAGCGAGACTGCTCCAGCCAGCAGCTGCTAAACTGGCTGCAATGTAATCCTTATGGGCTACTGCGCACTAAAGGTGAAGGAGAAACTGTAGTGCCAGAGTCCTCTCTGTAAAATAGTCTCAAGAAAGTGTAGACCGTATGTTTCTCACTGGAAATTATCAATTGGAATCATAAATGTCAATATAGTTCATTTCACCAAAAATTATACCATTATATCTTTTATAAGAGTTATGGACAAAACTTTTGAAAAAGACTCGGTTGTTAATGGTTGTTAAAAATCTATTGCTGTTGTCCTACCTTGAGTCACTCTAAACCTTATTTTTCCGTATGTTTTTTTTCTAACAGAGGAAGAATCAGCTGAGGGAAGCTTATTGCAACAACCTGTGGGACGGAGCCAGGAAGACCCTGGCTACTCTGTGGGATGGACATGGAGCCATATGGCACGGTAATGGCTTTATTTATTGAAGAGGTGTGGCATCCTTTTTGATGCTGTCTGTTCATATTGCATTTATTCAGTGTTGGGTTGGGCAATGTCAGGGACCGAGCTGGCAGGCATGAGGAGTCAAGGGTAAAGTAATTTTATTCACACAAAAAATGTGAAAATAATCAATGTACAAAATATACAAAATGTTCTGGGCCCATAAAAGAGGTCAACTAAACAAAACTTAACTCAGGCTACATTAACTGAACGAACTGAACATACTAAGCCAGCCAACCAAACCGACCTAACTGAACTGAGACATTGGGGAAAGTTAAATAGTGGCTGATCAGGCCACTCTGACACACAGGGGGAATAGACTAAAACACAACATTTAAACAAATAATAATAACCTCAAATAATAGCCAGATAATGCTGCCAACTATTAACTAAGATAAATACTGAAATACTAAACATCAAAAAGCATAATAATCAGAAATAACTAAACTCAAACAAGGAGAAATCACTGCCTCTCCCCATGATTCCGGCCAACATGGTGTAGCCCAATTATCTATGGAGGACTGAAAGTGCCACAATTAAATAAATAAATACACCATTAAATAATTACTTAAATGTGTCATTAATTAATTAAAATTGGAATTAAATACATAAATGTGATATTAAATGTGTCATTAATTAATTCAAATACCAATTCATTTTATGTAAAATACATATATCATTATTTCACTATTTACATTTACATTTCATGGTCCTGCGTTGCAGTGCTTCATGCTGTCAAAGCCAGCCATCAAAGTCAGTGGGTGGGGCCAACGCGAATCTAGCCTGATCCATTGCTTTGGTCTGAAGTAGAGTGCCTGGAAGATCTTCATGAACTTTCTAGGGCAGAGGTCGCTAACAGGCGAGTCTGGACCCAAACACCCAGACCTATAATCAATTCATTATTGAGGATTCTAAATTTGGATGGGGAGCTTCTATTTTAACCAGCACAGCTTTTCTAGTCTTTACGGTATTTGTTTAGCAGATCAGGAAGCTCACAGACCAATCGCATGCTAGTTAAGCCATCCCATGTGATGCTGCTCAGCCAATCAAATCTGTTTAAACAGCGCGACTGAATACAGAGATGAGAGCGATGAGAGAGGAGAGACAGACGGAAAGAGAAGTCACAGATACATGGAGAGGAAACGGAGAGATGAGTGAGCGCGAGACAACAGAAGATTTATGGCGCTCTCTAAGAAGAGAAAAGTGGATAGAAAATCGAGCTTTTAATGGACAGATTCATTCACATTCATTCTTCCCACTGGGAGCACATAACCAGTGTGTCTCATGTTCAGAGACTGCGGCGCTGATTAAAAGTGCCAGTGTGAAACGCCACTATGAGACAAAACACAAAGTTTTCATCAAACACACCCACTCAAGTCTGAACAAGGTCAGAGAAAATAAGCAGGCTCAGATCCCAATATGATCACTCAACCAGTATCCTGACCAGTGTTGGGAGTAACGGTGTTTAAGTATAACGGCGCTACTAGCGGCGTTATTTTTTCAGTAACGGGGTAATCTAATGAAGTACTTTTCCCGTTACCGTTACTGAGAATGTGGCGCGTTACTTGCGTTCCTACAATGTGGTTGAATGAAGTGCAGCGGTGTCAGGCTTTCTGACAGCCACACATCAGCTGCCGGGAGAGGGCAGGGTGGTGATGATGACACCGTTGCAAATGCGATGATGATTGGCTGGGTGGGCGGATGCCAAGACAGAGACAATGGCGACGAGCTAGGGAAATTCAAAGGTAGCGATATCAAACTGGAAGTACCGACACTACTACTCGCTTACTGAAGTTAAAGGCAAGAATGTTTATGTAACGTGTGAATTTTATTTTCAATATTTATTTTGTATATATTTTTATTTCTATGCATATGGCCGGCTGTAATCTATTGAGTTCAAATAAAAACCAAATGTTCTAAAATACTGTATATAGTGTTTTATTCTTTATTCAGTGATTATAAACATCTTTAACGTTATAGAAGATGTTATAAAATGTAATTATAGACCATAGAAAATAACATCACAGTTACTTTGCTGAGTAACTAATTACTTTTACAATGTGGTAACTGAGTTACTATCTCAGTTACGTTTTGGGATAAGTAATTTGTAACTATAACTAATTACTTTTTTAAAGTAAGATGACCAACACTGATCCTGACCCATTCATTCACTGCCCAACGAGGGAGAGAGGTTAGAGCTCAATTCTCTCACTGAACAACAGAAAGTGTATAGAAAGATATAAAAGGGAAAGAAAGAGAAACTGTTCAATTGTAAAGATGTGTTGATAGTCATTTATAAAATCTGTTGAGACTGTTAATCAAGATATGAAACAGTTAACAAAGAAAAAGGGAAACTCAAGCTGCTGCTACACTTTATTTTTCAAAGTTAAACACTTTATTTTATTTTTTAGACTTAGCAGAGCATGTAGCGAGTAAAGCAGAGGAACTTATTGAAGTTCTTGGAGTTATTTCCACACTTTCTGACCAAGATATTGACCACAGAGTGACTGCAGATTTAGAAGAAGTAGTCCAATAGCGCCACCCAGTGTATTGGAATGTGTTCACTAGCTTTGCATCGATCCATTATCTGGAATTGATTTGTCTTTGCTTGATGCGCAGGGTAACCAATCAGGCATTAGGTTCCGCCTACCAACTTTTGATGGGTGAGTTTGACAGTTTTAAGTAATTCATGCAGCACTGCAACCAGGACCATGAAATGTAAATGTAAATAGTGAAATAATTATATATGTATTTTACATAAAATTAATCGGTATTTGAATCAATGACATATTTAATAACACATTTATGTATTTAATTCCAATTTTAATTAATGAATGACACATTTAAGTAATTATTTAATGGTGTATTTATTTATTAATTGTGGCACTTTTAGTCCTCCATAATTATTGGCCCAACCCCTTTTAAGCATCTCTGATTCAGCTGGCACGTCCTTTGTCGGCCATGAGACATCTTCAGCAGCAGCACCCAGGAACTGGTAACTCAAAGAATGACTGAATTAATGCAAAATCAAAACCCGAATGAACCTAATAATACTACCCAAAAAAAGGAAGTTAACTAATTGTGTGCACCCCAAAAAGATAACGGCTATCAAAAATGGATAATAAAACTGTGTATTATGAATCCAAAATCTGTGTCCAGTTATTAATTGTGAATTGTGTCTAATGTTCTAAACCTAAAGATAATCAAACAAATTAAAGTGTTACCACCATGTGCTTTTGCCTCAGTGTGTGGCTGCCTGGGCGGCCATCACAGGCAATATGTTAAAATTTTCCCACCAGCCACCGGCGAGTTCACTGCATGCGACAAGCTCTCATAGCTTTGATAAACAAAATTAACTCACAAAATGTCAAGAAGGAAAAAGAAAATGTATAAAACATTTTCCTCATTAAACTGAAAAATACAACCGTACACTTTCTAAAAAAAAATGTTTCTCTTTTACTGAAGACCAGCTTAATTGTTAACTCAGCTTAAAACACACTTAATTCAAACTAACAAAATAACAAACAAATGTATTCATCTTTCCACTGTTCCAACAGTCACCAACTCTGGTGTCTAACCATCTAAGAGAGTTGGAGGTGTAAATATTACATGCTGTCGCTGCCTTTCTGATGCCCTACCTCCCTCGCTCTTCTACCCGCTTCATGCCTCTCCTCCCCCCAGCCTGCCCCTTTCCTGTCCAAACTAGCTGAAATAAACTCTTAATTCAGAGTAAATGTGCATGTCTTTGACTTATACCTGGATATGCTGTAAATATGTGATGTTACTTAGTGTTTTGCAGTATGTGTACACCAACCTGTGAGAACACTCAAATAAACCTCTGATGTGTACACCGATCAGCCATAACATTCTATGCACTGACTAGTGAATAACATTGATTATCTGGTTATCATGGCAACTGGGTCAGAGCATCTCCAAACCTGCAGCTCTTGTGGGGTGTTCCCGGTCTGCAGAAGTGTGAACTGGAGACCGGGTCATGGGGGGCCAAGGCTCACTGATGCACGTGGGGAGTTCTCAGGGCCACAGTACTAATTCTCAGCTGTTAATGGAATGTATGCCTCATGTATGCCTCATTTACTTTGGCCTATTTACCAGGCTATGAAATCCATGGAATGGAGAAGATTCCTGAGAAAGGACCAGCACTGATAGTGTACTATCATGGAGCCATTCCCATCGACTACTATTACTTTCTGGCCAATGTAATCCTTCAGAAGGGACGGACCTGCCACTCTGTAGCTGACCACTTCCTTTTCAAGATCCCAGGTACTCACTGTTACACTGTATCACATGCAGTACTGCACACCTCATGTTTGTAGTCTATTTTTTGTCTGTTTTTAAAAAAAATTATTTTATGTTCTGTTTTTTGTTTGTTTAGTTTTTTTTCACACAAACTATGGCTTATCTTAAACAAAAAATGTAAAACTCCAGCTTTATCCACTGTATTCAGCACTGTACCTATCTCATTCTGTCGCATCTCTCCAGGTTTCAAGTTACTGCTGGAGGTGTTCAGTGTGATCCATGGTCCTCAGGAGGAGTGCGTGCGGGCTCTGAAGAATGGTCACCTGTTGGGGATTTCTCCAGGAGGAGTGCGAGAGGCTCTGTTCAGTGATGAGACCTACCCTCTCCTCTGGGGCAAACGCAAAGGCTTCGCCCAGGTTGCCATTGACTCTCGAGTGGTGCGTTGTCATTCTCAAAATTCTTTCAGTGCACTCAGTTAGTCATGGAGTTCCACAAGGTTCTGTACTTGAACCAATATTATTTACTTTATATATGCTCCCTTTAGGCAACATTATTAGGAATCACTCCATTAACTTTCACAGTTATGCAGATGATACGCAGTTATAGCTATCGATCAAGCCCGATGAAATTAATCAATTATCTAAATTACAAACATGTCTTAAGGACATAAAATCCTGGATGAGCTGCAATTTTCTGATGTTAAACTCAGAAAAAAACGAAATTCTTGTTCTTGGCCCCAAAAACCTTAGAGACTCACTGTCTAAAGATATAGTTACTCTAGATGGCATTACCTTGGCCTCTAGCACCACTGTCAGGAATCTTGGAGTTATCTTTGATCAGGATTTGTCTTTTAACTCCCACATAAAGCAGACCTCTAGGACTGCCTTCTTTCATTTACGTAATATTAGAAAAATTAGACACATACTATCACAGACAGATGCAGAAAAACTAATCCATGCATTTGTTACTTCAAGGCTGGATTACTGCAACTCTTTATTATCAGGCTGCCCCAATAAGTCCATTAAAACGCTCCAATTAATTCAGAACGCTGCAGCACGAGAACTGACAGGAACTAGAAAAAGAGATCACATCTCTCCTGTACTAGCTTCTCTGCACTGGCTCCCTGTAAAATGTAGAATAGAATTTAAAATCCTCCTCTTCACCTATAAAGCTCTTCATGGTCAGGCCCCTTCATATCTTAAAGAGCTCATAGTACCCTATTACCCCTCTAGAACACTACGTTCTCTGAATGCTGGGCTACTTGTGGTTCCTATAGTCTCTAAAAAGTAGAACAGGAGCCAGAGCCTTCAGTTACCAAGCTCCTCTCCTGTGGAACCAGCTTCCAGTTGTGGTTCGGGAGGCAGACACCCTCACCACATTCAAGAGTAGGCTTAAGACATTCCTCTTTGATAAAGCTTATAGTTAGGGCTGGATCAGGTGAGTCCTGAACCATCCCTTAGTTATGCTGCTATAGGCCTAGACTGTCGGGGGACTTCCCATGGTGCACTGAGCTCCTCTCTTCCTCTCTCTTTCTGCACTCATTCATGTTCCATTAATGCATGTTAGTAACTTCACTTCTTCCCCGGAGTTCTTGTGCTTTCTCGTCTCGCAGGTTCTTATCGATCCTGGTGGAGCCTCCTGCCATGGTCCTGCTAGATTGCCATTGCCAATACTGTTGTTGCTGTGCGTCTGTCTGTCTGTCTCTCTCTCTCTCTCTCTCTCTCGCTCTCTCTCTTTCACCCCAACTGGTCGAGACAGACGACCACCCACCTAGAGCTGGAGGATCTGTCCTAGGTTTCTGCCTTTTAACAGGCAGTTTTTCCTTGCCCTTGTCGCCAAGTGCTTGCTCATGGTGGTACTGTTGGGTCTCTGTAAATAATGTTATAAAGAGTTCGGTCTAGACCTGCTCTATTTGAAAAGTGTCCTGAGATAACTTCTGTTATGAATTGGCGCTATACAAATAAAATTGAATTGAATTGAACTCAGTGTACTGTATTTCAGGCACTCCAGGCAGAAGCTTTGAAGCTCCTTGATAGCAATATTGTTAACGTAAACTGAGGCCTGTGATGTTGGATGTTACAGGGACTGTGATTAATATAAATGCAGATTCCACTGTTCTGGTTGCAAAATTAAAAGTGAAAAGTTAACTTTTTTAACTAATTTTATGCATGTGGTGGTGTGTTTTCCTAAAATTTGATTTTTCTTTTTTAATTGCAATATTGCAGTATATGGAATCATAACCTCTGTATTGTGATACATATCATATCACCAGATTCTTGCCAATACCCACCCCTACTAGATACAAATGTAATTTTTTTTTGTTCATTTTAGCTGAAAATTGCCAGGAATAATAAATAAAACATTTTTATTTGCTACAGACCCCCCAAAAATTCTCATTATGATTGTTTTAAAATAGTTATCAGTGAAAATTTGTGATTTATAAATTATGATTTCCTCTAACTATGAATCATATAGTATCTGTCAAAATAATCGCAATATGATATTTTTACTATATCGTGCAGCCCTACTCACTGCAGTTGTCAAATAAAATATTGCATGTTTTCACTGACATGCAGCTGACTAGCAGCAGTGTATCATCAGTCTGATGATATAGGCTTGGGCCAAGCATTCTGGCTGTTGGTCACAAACAAATGTAGGAGGCAATTGACCATCAAATGGCCCTATAGTCACATTGTAAGTTGTTACACTATTTACAGCCAGCTAAAACATTATGGGTGTGCAACTTATTCAGCCAGAAAACCACCAGGAGCGTTATGGTAAAAGACAAGTCATTTTTAGTTCTTGTTTGCATAAGTGCATGAATTAAATAGCTAAAGCTTAGTGTCTCATGTGGTTTTGACAAACATGCCATATTTATTAAGTTCTTCCACCATTTTCAAATCTTCCACAACCCATTTAATATTTCTCACAGCATGACTGGATTGTTCTGAATGACTCAGCTAAATTGATTGTTGTTACTCCTACAGTAAACTAACCAAGGGTCATACTGCACTCATATATTACTCTCCATATTGAGATTCTGCAGTGTAGAAAGCCCTGCTCTCTAATCTTCTGTTTCTCTTGCTCTCTCTGTCTTTCAGCCAGTAATTCCAATGTTTACTCAAAATGTGCGGGAAGGCTTCAGATCTCTGGGAACACTCAGTAAGTGTAGAAGAAAGTTCAAATAATAAAAAAGATACCATTACCAAGCTGATGGTATCTCTGATGCACACAGAAATTGAAGTTACACAGGAAGACACAGTGGACTATATTCATTGTTTGTTTGTTGACAAAAGGAAATACAGAATATATAGATGGTGTGGTAGCTATCTTGAGAATATGTTTAGGGCAGTGTGACTCAATCTGATGGTAAGCTATTCATTTGTCATTGTCAATAGTCTTTATATCTCTCCGTGTAACATTCTCTTTGTCTTTTTCCATCCAGGATTTTTCCGCTGGGTGTATGAGAGGTTTCGCCTCCCTGCTGCCCCTCTATATGGTGGATTTCCTGTCAAATTCCGGACCTTCCTTGGTGACCCCATCCCGTATGATCCCAACATAAATGCTGCAGAGCTGGCAGAGAAGGTGAGTGTGCTAAAGCATTGTGCTTATTGTTGACAGTGTTTTGGGTTAAACATTTATTTATCTTTTAAATCTATTACTGTATTTGTTTTAAATAACTTCATATTTGTCCTGACAGTTACTTTGTTGACTTAATGTTCTTTAATACAGAGTCTGATAGATGTCATGGAGGAAAAATAATAATCTGCATGCCTGCATACAATACCAAACAATTGTTGACATTTTATCATATGTTAAAGATAGCACAATATTGTTCAAAAGACAGACAAAGGCAAAAAAGGATTGATTTGGGCAAACTTTTACTCCCCCAAAGCCTATGACAGTTAACCATCAGTTAACTGCTCACTAAACTGAAAGCTCAGTATTTTCATAGCAGGACTTGTCCTAGGTCATTTTCTCTTTCTGTTAGGACTTAGAAATGTAGGTATGTGTGTATGCCAGAGAACACTTGAAATGTGAGTGGCTGCTTTGTTGGGTTTAAAGGGGTGCCTGGTGAGGTGGGTACTGGGTGTATGTGTAGAAGTTTGTATTTATGGAGGGAATAGGTGCAATGTGTACAAGTAGCATATTCATACAGTGGCAAGAAAAAGTATGTGAACCTTTAGAACTTAAGGCAGATTTTGTTTTTTTGAAGCCATTCTGTTGTGGACTTGGTCCGGTGTTTTGGGTCGTTGTCCTGTTGCATCACCCACCTTCTACACAGTTTCAGCTGACGTACAGACATTCTCACATTATCCTGAAGAATTGTCTGATATAGTTGGGAATTCATCTTCCCTTCAATCATTCCAAGCTGGCCAGGCCCTGATGCAGCAAAGCAGGCCCAAATCATGATGTTTCCTCCACCATACTTTACAGTTGGGATGGCGTTTTCATGATGATATGCCGTTCCCTTTCTACACCAGATGTAGTGCTGTGTGTTTTTTCCAAATAGTTCAATCTTAGTTTCATCAGTCCACAAAACATTTTGCCAATACCGCTGTGGGGTGTCAATGTGCTCTTTTGCAAACTTCAGGCGTGCAGCAATGTTCTTTTAGTAAGCAGTGGCTTCCTTCGTGGTGTCCTGCTGTGGATACCCTGCTTGTTCAGTGTTTTACGTATTGTAGACTCATGGACAGAGATGCTAGCAAGTTCCAATGATGCCTTTAAAATCTTTGGCTGTCATTCGGGGTTGTTTTTTTACCTCATTGGTGAGTCTTTGTTGTGCTCTTCTTGGTAGAGTAGCAACAGTCCCAAGTGTCTCCATTTGTAGATTGTTTGCCTAACTGTAGACTGGTGAATTTCTAAAGTCTTTGAAATAACTTTGTAACCCTTGCCAGCTTTATGTAAATCAACAATTCTTGATCGTCGATCCTCTGAAAGCTCTTTTTGGCGAGGCATGGCTCACATAAGCGTGTTCTTCTTGTGCAGAGCAAACTCCAAAAGTTTGAGGGGTTTTTATCAGTCAAAGTAGCTGTAGTCCACACCTCCAAACTTATTATCTTAACGAGACTCCAGGTGTGCTAAAACCTGACTCCAACTAGCTCTTTTGAGGTCATTAACTCAAGGGTTTTGTCACAAACACTATGAGGTTTTTTTGGTTGTTCTCAATAAAGACATGAAAGATCAAAAAAAGTTGTTATTATTTTAGACACATTTTATTACTTAGATGAAGATCAGATCACATTTTATGACAAATCTATTCAGAAAACCATGAAATTCTAAAAGGTTCACATACTTTTTCTTGCCACTGTATATGTTCATCAAGTGTGATGTTGTACAACTTGCTTCATCGTTTTTATACTGAAGGATTTTTGTATGACCTTTAATGTAGCCTATGATGTGTTGGTACTGGTACCCGTATCTGTGACTTCTATCGCCATCTTTGTCTTCCTATTTCCTATATTTCTATTATCAGCAATTATATTGGGATAATCAGAGTATCCTCACGAGTGACTTGAAAAAGCTGTCTAGCTCACTAATACACTTTAACTTTAAAAAATATAAATATATTATTTTTATTGACATATGCATTGATTTCCAGATTCATTTTGAGCAAGGCAAAAGCATGTTTTGATGATTATCTGGATAATGGCAATAATGAATAACAATAATCTGCTGCTCCCCCCTAACTGACTGGAATAGACTTTTCAGCCTGTAGTTTCAGCCTGTAGTTTCTGGAGAGAGAGAGAGAGAGAGAGAGAGAGAGAGAGAGAGAGAGAGAGAGAGAGAGACTCTAATAGTAGTGACTGATGATGGGGGACAATGAGCAGTGACAATAGTAATAATAGTAACTGTAGTAATAATATCAGTGATATTAGCAATGGCAGTCAAGCAGGACCATGGCAGGAGGCTCCACCAGGATCAATAAGAACCTGCGAGACGAGAAAGCACAAGAACTCCGGGGAAGAAGTGAAGTTAACATGCACTAATGGAACATGAATGAGTGCAGAAAGAGAGAGGAAGAGAGGACTATCATGGGAAATCCCCCGATTAGTCTAGGCCTATAGCAGCATAACTAAGGGATGGTTCAGGACTCACCAGAGCCAACCCTAAGCTTTATCAAAGAGGAACTTCTTAAGCCTACTCTTAAAAGAAACTATTCTGATTGTAAGTGTGTTCCGCAAAACACCAATCACTCATAGGCAGTGCTGCTGACTTTTTTTTTTTTTTTGCTCTGCAGGTGCAGCAGGCAGTCCAGTCGCTGATAGACCAGCACCAGCAGATCCCAGGGAACATCCTGAGAGCCTTGTTGGAGAGATTTCACACCAAACACAAAGAGCATTAACATCAGCAGAGACACTGTGTGTGACCAAAAAACAACACGTCATGTTGGCTCAGGTGGCTGCAGTGTGCACAGGTTTGGAGGCCTAACATTTTAGAATATTTGCTCAGCTTTCTTCACCGCCCCCCAAACACCACTGACTGCAGCCTCTGAGGTTCCTTTTACACCCAGGATCCTTGTATTCTGGCCTACATTGACTCCCCTTTTCATCTGCCCATTCCCAGGATGAATTTGGTTACAGCTAGACTTCCTGAAGTTGTGTTATTGGACGTGACAGTAATCAGACCTTAAAAACAATACACAACAAAATAATTATTTTCCAATACAGAGTATAAATATCTTATTTCTTGTGTTCCGATATCCTTTGTCTTGATCAAGTACTGTAATGTATGATCAATTGAAGATGGACTTAAGATTAATTGCGGACTGATTGGTTGGTTGAACTTCTGGTCGTTGTTCTCAGTTTAAACATATGGGATTCAAGCAATTTCTTTATTACCTCCACGAAAGAGGTTGTGTTTTCGGTACCGTTTGTTTGTCTGTCTGCAGGGATATGAAACTACAGGAAACTTGTATCAATTGTGATACAAGTACAGTCTATAAATTTGGTTTATCATCAATGCCTTTGAATCGCAGTGACTATGCAGACAGTTGCTTGTAATTATATACTTTAACAGCACTTTGAGTTTGCACATCTTTGACTTTGAGCAAACTGTTGAACACACTAATTCCTGGAATTAGGCTGCAGGATTACATCGAGTCTTATTAGGCAGAGCAGACAGAACTGAACCTGGATGCTAAGGTGGGCCCACTATAAAAGGCTTGACAACATTCATTTGTATATAGAGTCCCACAACTACAAAAACAGTAAATGGCACTTTTTCTTATAGTGGTTACTGTGTTCATACTGTATATTCCAGTGGTTTCCCCTAACTTTCAGGCATGCAGTTAAACTTTACCAGGTCACACTTTTCTTCTAATTTCCTTCTCTCTATGTTGAAAAGACAACCACATTTTGAAGATGGTTAAAACATATAATAATATATATATATAATAATATAAATATATAACATATATGTTGTTACATCAGCTAGCTAACTCACAATTTATTTGTAAATTAGCTAGCTAGTTAGCTTTTGTGCTAACATTACCTTACAGGTGTGACTAGATAGCTAGTTAGCTAACATTAGCTAGTTAATAATGTGACTATATATTTTATCTAACCATTTTTAAATATGTGGTTGTCTTTTCAACATAGACAAGCACATACCATACCATCAAAACTTCCAATAAAAGCAGGTTCCCGAATAGAATCAGGTCTCCTTTACAAGCCTGGTGTGGCTACACATTTTTTTAAAATAAACGTGGGCCTCCAATAGACACCTGGAAAGATTTTATAGAAAATTAACTGGATGTATAAAACCTCTTGCCCGCTTGAGCGAGTTTAAAGCGGTTTAGATCGCCTACACAAATGTTTAAACTTTTGTTTTTTGCCGATGCACATAGTCAGATCAGTTATTCTCCACAGTTCAATCGTTCAGTTCATTTTACGGAAATTGTGACCCAGAGTATACTGTTAATTTATTCAGACTTACTGGCATGTTAACAAGAGAGACGGAAAAAACCTTGATCATTAAGTCCGTACGATCTGTGCCCATACCTCCATTATTCCTTTATTCCGTAAGGGTCCACTGGTCAAAAGAATCAAAAGGGTTTTATCAAAACTAATCCAAGTTGTGAATATTGTCACGTGAAGTCTGTTGCTCACTGTCTGTATGCTGGCTGCTGTAAAACAACGTTCATGTTCGTATCTAAGTACAGGAAAGGAGAAAGTTGACTGAGGTTCTGTTATTGGAGCATGGAGCAAAAAGGGGTGGGACTTGGGAAGAGTGAATTGATTAATCAATCATGAAAGTAATCAGTAGCCCTACAAATACCAGCGGACTTGCTGTACCAGAGACGAAGCCAAGTCATTTGTTCTAACAATGATGATGCTTTCTGTGCCTTTTATCAATCTGTCAAACTTCACAGGTGACTGACAAACTCAGTCTAGAATAAGAGTATATTTAGTAAGATGGGGAGACTTGCACACACCTAAAAATGTGCAAAGATGTAAACTGAATTGTTTTTTTTTTTAAAGAAAATGATTGAAGACAATAAGCAGAAGCCAGGGTAAAATAGGCAGAGTTTGATTTGTTGTTTAAAGATATCAGCGATTTCAGCTCCCCTCACATTGTCCCTTCAAGATCTCCCATCAGCTTACAGATGAGAGCTTAAGGCTGTCTTACCAAAGGATTTTCTCCTTTTTTAGTAAAAGTTTTAAAATGAATACCGAACAGCAACAGCAGATTTGATAATAAGCCAAGAGCCAAATGTCCTTCAAATCTTCAATTATGCATTATTGAGTTTTTTTTTTTTTTTTTTATTATACCGCAGAAACCATTTTGGGGAAAAAAAATGTTTTCATCAGTGATACTATAAGTATTCCCAACCCACGTCAACACAGAAGAACTGAACTGAAGGGAAGGCGAGTAGAAATGATCTGCAAAGAGTCTAAAGCTCAGTTTAAGTAAATAAGATGAAACTAATCTCTGTCGTTCACTGTAGGAAAACATGTTCTGCAGCTCAGTCTGAATGCTATATCTGTGTGTGTGCATGTGCGCGTGCGTGCGTGTGTGCGCGGTTTAGCCTTCAGCAGCCTAGGAACAGACCAAAACTGAGCCTTTCGCCTTGACAGATCCAAACCATCAGTGTATCTTCTCACTGTAATATGTCTCATATCAGTACAAATACTTATCTATCTCTTTACTAGTGCATTCTTTGTGTGTGTATATATTAATGATGATGTAATATGTAATTACTTCGGTGCTTTATCTGCAGTTTTGTAAACTAATAATTTTTCACGTACACGATGTGATTTGGAAAATGAAGTAGTCTTTGTGTGTGTGTGTGTGTGTGTGTGTGTGTGTGTGTGGTGGTAAGTATGAGTATGTAAATATTGTGATTCAACAGACTGTTTTGTACACATACTCTTCAAAGTATTACTGCCATCTTCATTTTAAAGAAGCCTTTGAGAGACCGGTGTGTTTTTGAGCGTCTAACTGGATGCGTTATATCTGATCTGGTTGCATGTTTCCATGTTAATGTTGTTCATTTTGAGATGATCTAATGTGCACTTTTAAAATTTTGTCAATATAATATAAATGTTGCACTTTTAAATATTGAGATCCACTGCAACCTGTTAATAAATCTATTTTATTAATGTTTCGTGTGGATTGCTTTCTTGTGACTGATTTTATCACTGGTATAATTCAGTTTCACATATTAAAACTATATTATTCTTTTAAATTATTTTTTGCTGAGGTTGTTTATTGTTGGGTTATTATGTTTATTCCCCAAAACACAAACAAAAGAACACAATAGAAAATACACAAAATGTTTGTACTTTTTCACTCCCTTTCAATCATTCCCCCACCCAGTTCTTGCCTCCAAGTTCCCCAAACACAGAACAAATTACACTGCCTCAAATGTCAAATAGCACTCTACAGTATTAACTTAAAGCTGCAGTTGGTCATTTTTATAGAAATAACATTTTGTCATATTTGCTAAAACTTTCACTATATCCTGACAGTACACGAGACAGATAATCTGTGTGTTGGTTCTTCTGGCTTATTTTAGCACTCAAGCATTTGTGAGAATCCGCTGGGCCTGGACAAAAAACAACCAATCAGAGCCGGGAATGATTTCACTAACAAAGACCACACCAATGAACGTATGGAATTTAGAAAGGTTTATTGCACGTAATGAATAAATGTAAACTGATGTGGTGTACTGTAGGAAGGATGACTGGATTTTGAAAGGGTTGAGGGATGAAGGGATATATATATATATATATATATATAAAAGAAAAGTGGTGGAGGACCTCAGTAATCTGGCTGGAACATAAAATGAATGAAACCCTCTGACGTATGGAGGAGCAAGGTCATTTAAACAAGTAAAATAACTTGGAGCAAACACAATCCTAAAATGATGAAAAAGGTATAAATCTTTAGAGAGAAACTTAAGTTTATCAGTATTGTGATGGCCGCCCTAGCAGCCATACACTGAGGAAAAGCACATGGTGGTAACTCTTTCATTTGTTTGACAATTCACAATTCACAATAAATAACTGGACACAGATTTTGGATTCATAATACACAGTTTTATTATCCAGTTTTGACAGCCGTTATCTTTTTGGGGTGCACACAATTAGTTAACTTCCTTTATCAATTTTGGGTAGTATTGTTCATTCATTTAGTTTATTTTTCCTTGCATTAATTCAGTTTTCTTTGAGTTACTAGTGGGTACCCTGGGTGCTGCTACCCTTGGTTATTTCAACAATTTATCTCTTACTTTTAGCTATTTCTGTGCACCTTTGTCTCTGTCTCTGTCCTTCTCTCTTTATCACCCACCCCTTCTACCCCTCTCTTGCTCTCACCCCAACTGGTCGAGGCAGACAGTCACCCACCTAGAGCCAGGGTCTGTCCGAGGTTTCGGCCTCCTTTTTTCCTTGCCATAATCGCTATGTGCTTGCTCATGGTGGGAACTGTTGGGTTTCTGTAAATCATTTTATAATGAGTACAGTCTAGACCTGCTCAACTATTTATTTTTACTTGATTAGCTAACGGGTACATGTACCCCTGCCTGGGAATCACTGTTAAAAAAAAGCACCCCGAATTGTTCGTGCCAGGGTCACTGTTACATGTATTAAGGATTGAGGAGTCCTATAAAATGTTTAATATGGTTCAGTCATCAGAAATAAATAATAATAATCCCAGAATACGCTTCCTTCAACCTCACAGAATAAATCAAAGAACAAATGAACAAACGTGAGGCCAGAAAAATGACCACAGTGTACTTTATTAAATGAATTTTGGTAGTTTGTGTTGCATTAGATTCAAATAAAAATTTACAAAAATCCCATATATACAAAAATGTCATTTTGATAATTTTCATCACTCTTGATTTATTTTTACAATAAAATGTACTTATTCCCCATTTAACGCATTTTTAGCACTTCAGACTTTCATCACACAATGCAACTTACTGAAAATACCAATATTTTTTTGTCTTGAATGTTTGTATCTTTTTTTTAAAATACACCACATACACCACATTTATCGTTCATTTTTTTCTCTGTAGTATATTGTCATAGTTACAGCCACTGTGGTGGCATGAAACCTCTAAAGACACCCTTCACAGTCAGAACTCAGAAAAAGAAAAGAGGAATGTTCTTTTTTAACGTGTACACTTCGCATACAATTATTTACAGATAAGCTTTTTAAGTTGATCTGTGGTACTCCTTGTTCAACCAGCTCCCTAAACAGACATCTGTACAGAATGATTATACAAGTGTGACTGGAGTCCTATCATTATGCACCTGCTGGTTACTGTGCTTGTACTAGAACTGTTGCTGCCGCACACATCTCGGCCTGGCCATTCCAGACTAAAGACATTTTCTCTGATTGGACAGACGGAAGCTAAGAGTTAAAAGGGCCACCTCTCTGTTGTGAATGGCTGGTATGTGCAGACATCTACAGCAGAGCTTGGATCCATTACAGCTGGTGAACAGAGGCAGCCTGAGAGCCTGATCATGTCTCAGAGAGCTACAGAGGGCATGAAGACACAACAGATAACTGCTGTGGGCTGGCTCTATCAATGAAGCAGTGTGACTGTGGAATTGTTATAGACAGCCACGTGTCTCTTCCAAGAAGTCCTCATACCTTCCAGAAGAAGGTTTTCCGATCTGTCTACATGTTTTTTAGGTTTATGTAACTTTGGCTAAGGTTGGGGGAAGATTGTCTTAGACTGCTGAAATGCATTTTTTGCAAAGAATTGGTGCCCCATCTGTCACACTGGTGGTCAAAAACCAGCTGTTGGTAGCAGATGGGATGCTTAACCCAACTCACTTTCTGGACCGCCTTGGTTCACTCCCTCCAGGATTTAGCAAGCTTTTTTGGGGACTGTTGCAGACTTGATTGACTAATGCCAGCTTTTCAAAAAAGCAAAGGCAACTTGTTACAGTGAGAATAAAATGGCACTGGACAAAAAAATGCAAGGTAATGCACAAAGACTGGTTGAATTTGCGTTGTTGTTGGAGGGACTGATATCATACCTCATGATTTCACCCCCCACCCTCCTTCATATGGGCAACTCCACTGACCAGTAGCAGTGTAGCAATAAGAACCTGATTCATCACTGGCTTCTCACCACCTATTCATAATGTGTCTATGGGGGCGTTTTTGATGCATTTACGGTGAACCTTAGTCAGGGCCCATTTGAACATGGAGGCACCAGGGGAATTTCAGTATAGTGATTAAAAAACAATTAATTGAGATAATCAGGAATTTGTGAATAACCTTCACTTTGACTGTCTTATTCATAGACTAACAGCTTAGTTTGTATTCTCATTTATAACAACAGGAAGATGTGCAGCGAGCTGAGGAAGAGGACAGGAGACTGAAGAGTTTTCCCCACAGTTAGTGAGCATCAAAGGTAATGGGAAATAGTATTTTCTGAGTGTTGTGATCCTCTACATCGCTTGTTCTTTTCTTTACAGTGCTTTCACAACGAATGTTGAGTTATGACCAAAGAGAATCAGCAGTGTCCTACAGCTGGACACAAGGTTTTTCATCTGAGAGGTGTTCAGACTGGAAGCTCTGACATTGACTCTGTCCTAGTATAAGCACAGTAACTGCTGTTGACACAATATGCTATGATGAATAGTATATAAAGTACACGCACACAACCCCCCACCCCCCATCCAATACACTCACATACACACTCTCTCTCTCACACACACACACACACACACACATGTACCGGGCTAACCAGAAAACCAGGCTGTGCTTTCAGTACAGCCTTAAACAATGTCCTGGGTTATGAGGTCAAAATAAAGACAAAAATAGAAATATATTCTCTTTAAGGCAAACAAAACATAGAAAGCAGCTTTTAAGAGCTATGAGCAGTGTGTGTGTGGGTGTATGTGTGTGTGTGTGTGTGTGTGTGGGGGGGGGGGGGGTCTGTTGATGTGTCATGTCCTATTTATGATACACTTCCAGTGAGCAGGATACCCACCACCAATCAGATGTGAGAGAACTTGAGCACCTATGGAACATTAATGGAGGATTTCCCTTTTTATATGAAAGCACCTCATTTTTTTGTGTTAACGGTGAGATTAAACAGATCATTGCTTGGAATAAACATGGCATAACAGATTCCTCCTGTAAACTTTACTGAGAAAATACTTAATCCAGGGGCCACATGCATTAACTGTGCATGGGAGTCCAGTGCTGCCATGGATGTACGACATATTCAGTGAGAGGTTTGAAAGTTACTGCCGAAATGAAAATGAGTTGAATTATTTAAGCCAATTTAACAGGATGGAAATAGCCTGGGAATCCAGTACATAATTCAAATTCAAGTATTAAAAAAATGCAATTACAGTTTGGCACATTTTCTGCAGATTTTAAAAATGAACAGTCCATTTCACATTCACTTTCATTATCATTATGTGTTATGTTGTACTTTGAAATACACAGAATATCAGTTGTTAACAGGATTTCAGCTTAATTTCAGGAAACACTATATTTTTCAGACTAATTGAGTCCCTTACAGAAGCAGGGAGCTGAGTCTAAAGCGTCCAATGTGTCAGAACAAAGAGTATTGCCAAGGAGGAGGTGGAGGGTATTCTGTCCATTTAACAAACTGAGGTAGCTTTATGTTCAGTATATATCAGTACACATCATATATATCTGTTATATGTCAGTTCATGAGTTGGTGATCAGTAAACAAAGGCTACACTGGATTTGGGAGACACTGCAAATAAATGCACATAAGATGATTTAGTAAAGTAAAGTAAAATAAGGCTGCGTTGACTGAGAGTGGGCTACAGAAACGAAATTTGCTTCAACCTTCAGTGTCCACTTATTGTTTCCTTTCAGCAGCAAAGAGCTTCAGTGAACTCCTGTACAAAATATTGGAAATGCTTTCAGTGAGCAGATGAAGAGAAGTTGGCAGATGAACCCACTGAGGACCTCTGCTGGTGAATTAGCCCATTAATATTGAGCTGCTGCCAAAGAAAGGTCTGTCCAGTGTGATACCTACAATACTTTCAGATGTCTATTGAATCATCTACAGCATATAAGCCTGTCATGCCAAAATTAACTGAATAATCCCATAATTAATTAAGACTGAAGAGTTCTTTTAGGTGTGGATTTGGTTTGATGGCTTCCTGCTCAGAAGAATTGGTGTGTGAGTTCCTGCAGTGCTATCTAAATGCAGCCATGTACAGTGCGTGCCAAGCTCTAAGTCTAACAGTATTGTGCCATCCTGAAACCTGTGCTTCTTTTACTTAGACAGTAAGAAAAAAAACAACAACTGGTATCTATGTTACCCACAATGCAATTTGACCACCAACAGTTTCGGTCGGAAATGTTGCTAATGTAGCCTGGAGCCTCCAGCAGAGTCTGATTGCAGTAGTGGTGGGACATTTCTGTCGCACATGACAGGGACGACCACATAGATCATTGGTTCACAGGATCACCCAGTAACTACTGACCACATTTTTTCCCCAATAACTTTGCTAATTGCTGTACTGTCCTTTGATAGGTCTTTTCCACCAACAGGGAACCAGCTTTATTCTAGTTAATGAACCAACTTTTTAATAGTTTGGAGCATTTCGAACAAAAATAAATTGGTTTGGTAAGTTCGTTCCTAACTGGAACCAAAAGACAGCAGGTTTTCCTTGAGAACCAAAGTGGGCGTGTCATATTCTACAGGTCAATTTCTGCTGATGATGCATCCAATTATAATGGTTCCACTCAAAACTGGTGGAAGATATAAGGACGTGAGTTTGGTGGCATATGGCTCAACAAAATATGATTAGTGAAACTCGCAGGAAACTATAATGATTGGTCAAATTTGTGGAAAAATTGCAGTGATCAGAAAAAATTGCAAGGTTGTGCAGAATTCATGGGAACTGATTGAGTTTGCGTTAATTGTTGTGATTGCAACTTCCTGGAGGGACTGTTAAATCAGTGGCTGCACAGAAGTACAATTGAACTCAAGCCAGATTCTTCAATTCATTCGACCATTAGTGACTTTGATGAAACAGCTGAGTATTACATTAAAACAAGTAATGTGTGTTTGCTGACACCACAAACTTTTGGCCAAAAAGAATGCAAAGTACAGAAGAAGAAAAAATGTAATTCTTGTAAACCATGAGCCAAACATAAGAGTGCAATCAGACCCGTTTAGCCTGCAGCGGAGATGAAGAGCAGCTACAGAGGTCTGGTAAGCTCGCTTCCTTTAAATTCCTTTTACTAGCTCATATTCACTAGTAGGCTACTCCCTAAGTCCTGTAGACAGATTTTGATCTGGAAGATAAAATTAAGTACGAGGCAAGTACATTTCAGAAGAGCTAAGGCAGCTATAAACCAAAAAACACTACACATACTGATCAGAACACACACTCGCAAACACAGTAGTGTGGCGGCAGGAAGGCAAATAAAGAAGCCTACAAAACTATACAAACTTCAATGAGCCACTCTCAAGAATATGACACTTGAAATGAAAATAAAAGTAGCCATCTTTAAACTAATAAAAACCATGTGACACATTTAAAGAATCATAGTACTGCATTTGCAAATTTGTTCTCTAAATACACGTCATGTACACTTTATATTTTTGGTTTCCCTTTTGATTTTGTACGTTATATGACTTTGACCATAATCAATATAGATGCAAGTCTTCAAATTTCAGAAGTGTCTTCTGATCGTCTTGCTTTCCCCGACATTGTCGACTTGCTTATTTTGTCCTTCTTCCTAGATAGTAGTGCTTATGGATAAGTAGGCTTGTCTGTTTCAATTGTGTGTATCGTTTTAATTTTATAATGTTTTAATGTAGCATGAAAATCTGTCAGGAGTGCACAGGGTATTTTATTTTGAAATTTGACTGGATTCTCTATGTCGTTCCAAAAATAGAAAAATAGTACTCTCCGCATAGCAGAGCAGAGAGACGCTTCTGGTGGATTCTCTAGTATTGTCTGCTGTTCTAGGTGGCCCGGTGGATTTTGGCCATCACTGGAGGAAAAACATACATTTTGGAACAGTAGAAAAAGTGCATTCAAATTTCTGCTTTGCACAATGATAGGCAGTGAAGTAAAGTAAACATGATGTGACTAAAACACGCAAAACTGCTGTTATGGTTTTTTAAAGTCTGTCTCTGACAGAACACAGCAGTTCTGTTCATAAGCACAGAAATATGTCTGAATCATTCAAGATACACCAGTATTACATTTTTGACTTTTTACAACCAACAAAACACAGTTATTATAAAAACTAACATATGCCAGCATATCTCATGGGAGAACCACAAAAGCTGGAATATGCAGATATGTGTCAGGACAGTGAATCATGGAAACACAGGCTCCCGGTTCTCTGTGTGGTCTGTGTATATTGGGCTACTCACTCCGTTTAGTGCTAGATATTTGTAACCAAAATAGTGATCAATTTACTTTTGTTCTGGACTGTAATGACCTGCAACAAAATTCGGATGTCATACACATAATGATGAGACCAGTTGGGGTCAGAACAGCTTGGTACACCTAGGGCTGGTTTGGTTAAGCAGGGTGAACAGGTTCAAAGTCTCATGCCATGATTATCCCATTGACCTGTTTTGTGCTTTTCTCTCCTCTTGCCATCCTAAAAAAATAAAATGAAAAAATAAATTAAAAAAAGACAGTGTACTTGTGATAGATCAAGAAAGATGACCTGGAACTTTCTTTTGTGCAGATATCATTTTAAACTGCATTTTAAAATAAACACTGTTAGTATCTAAATAGCACTGACACTGAGCTGTAAATGAGAGAGCTGGAATTCCTGAACATGGTGTATTTCACTGCTCATCTACAGTATGTAGTGATGTCATCGCCTCTGGCTTCCCAGCATTCCTTGAAGCCAAACTGGGATGGGAGTGTAGCATAGATGGTGAAGCTCTCCGTCTAGTCGTGCCTTTGTACTGCAATGTTTGAGGGTTTGGTTTTTATACATGGACAGTATGTTAAAGGTTATATATATGATATTTAGAACATGAATATAGCAGCAAACAACTATTAGCTATGTAAAGATATAGTGAAGTCATTGGGGCCTGAGCAGAAAGAGAGGTCACACTCCCTCTGCCTTTGTTGTTATCGCAGCCTCTCTGTGGTTTGTTTACAACAGGCACACCTGTCTGTTAATGCATGAGAGTCCCTACGTTGGTGAATTTAGGATTTATTTCCTGCAAACCAGAGTTGGTGATTGTTGGAACAGTGGAAAAACAAACTGAGACTGAATAAAGTTATGATGATATGTGAGGTAAAATGACCAGTTTGTCTATGGAGTCTGGCAGTGAGCAACAGCAATATTATGACTGTTTTTGGTTAGACAAAAGGATCCTTTCCATAATGTTGTCAGACCCTTAGAATAACAATATGAGTCTGTCAGCAGCAAAAACAAGAACTTTTCTGTTCATACTTTGACCGCTGTCGTTGTCGCCAAGGAGAAGGATTAACTAACATTACATGGCAGCCTCTTTTGCAGCGTTTTCTCATATAACTGTGTCTATTAATTGTTTATTTTAAACCAACCAGCGTTGGTTATTGTTGGAAAGACTAACACTTTTTGGTGAGTTTAATTTAGTTTCTGTCCAGTTTGAAGTGTCTTTGTGATTATCTGCTAGGTAAAATGACTTGTTTCGCCATAGAGTCTGGTTGGCTGTTGTGCCTATTGTTTTGGTCTGAGATGCTGGTGCCCTAATGCAACATCTAGTGGCAAGTGCATTTCATATATATAACCTTTAAAGCAACACTGTGACTGATACTGGAATCAGAAGGCAGGTATCTTAACAACATCTGGTACGGGTATTCATGGACCCTTGAACATGACTTTGGCAACACCCTGACTCTTGCTTTAATTCCACCATTCAGTTAAAAATGTGCTTTGACTAACATTTCTTTCCTCCCACACCACCATTAGGACAAACCTTCCATTTTTAGCACTGGTCGGCTCTGAGAATCACTAAATTGTCAGTATGTTATTTATGATGTGTTGTTTAAGAGCTTTAGACCCTTAATCCTATTTCATCATCAGGTACTATCTGGCTCTGATCAAGGACCTCCATACCACACTGCTCATTTTGATCTGGTGGAACCTGGACACCCAGGCGTTTATGCACTTTATGAACATTAAAGGAAGAATGTTGAAAACTAACTGGATGACAGGCAATCCTCTTAGTGACTTCTAATGGTGGGAACACATGCTACAATTGGTTAACCCATTCTAAATATGATTAGAACGTGACAACTAATCCGGCTGAACTCAACTGAGCCGGTCCAGGGCTAGTCCAGGTGATGTTCATAGTCATGAATCATTGTAACCCATTTGCTGGCTGTCTTTTACTGTTTGATATTTATCATTGGACACTGACATCCAGTGTGAAAGTGGGAGAAATAATAATAAAAAGAAAACCGAGACTGGTGAGCAAACTAGTGCAGTGCTGTGACTGAGAGACAAGCTATCAAAGTAGATCGTTGTCATTAGGTTTTCGGTCAGAGCCACAGCTGAAATCCACCTCACTCTGATCCCTATTCCCCTTATTTCTTTTTATTTCTTTCCCTTTGTCACATTAACTAACAAGGCAAATTCTTCTGGTGAATGCTGGTACAGGAACACTCCAGGATAAGTATCCTCACAGCACTGACTTTGCTGCTGCCAAGCCGCTCCCATCTGAGAGTGAGGAAGAAACATTCTGCCATCCTTGATTTTATAAGGCTGGTATTGGGTTTAATGAAAGGGACTAAAGATGTTCTGATCCCATTTTTCACTTCCAAATACTGATTGAAACCTGAACTTTGGTTATCTGTTGATACCAAGTACGTGTCTGATAAATGTGTGTTAAAAAATAGATACAGTATATTATTATTTTTTAACAAACATACACTACTGAGCCTGTCATGACTTTACTATCCTAGGAAAAAACGGACACTGCTGTGAGGTAACATGGTCCTGTGTTGGGGCGAATACATTTTGTGGTATCGGATCGGTGCACAGACGCGTACTCACCAATACCACATTTTAGGGAGTATCAGAGGAATTTCCAATATCAGTATCAGAATATCACTGAAAGGGATCCACATCTGTTACCCATACCTGCAATTGCTATTTTTTTTTTTGTTTAACTGCATTAGAAGCCACTCACTGAAAATTTGTATTTCATCAGTCACCCTTTCCAAACCATGATATGTGGTATGACAGTCCTCGATCAAGGTTTCATTGTGGCACTTTAGTTTTAAAAAATCATCTAATTGAAGCCAGCATGGTGCCAACTAACGTGTGTTGTGTGGTGCAACAATGTTAAAAGCTGTTGCTGAGTTAGCTGGAGGACAAAAACACCAGAAGGTGTGTTTATCAGAGAACAAGCACTCAAAAATCAAAATGTCAAGGTGTACTTTCACTGATCGATGACAGCACAGAACCGAATCAGGCATCACCTATTACCAATACACACACACATAACCACAGAAAACACAGAATTACAATGACTTCAGTACCCTCTACATCATCTCTAAAGTAAAAAATGCTGCATGTTGTATCAGAGTACTGTACATCCTGGTGGTTAGTTTAGTTTGGCTGAGATGGCTGCTTGTCTACCTTTACTCTTTTTCTCCATCCCCTATTCCATTCCCTGCGCCGTCCTCTCCTGTCCTCTGCTTTTCATTGCTGTCTGGTGCTTTGCTCGTTTCTTTCACATTCTCCTCCAGAATAAGCAAAGATCAGTATCACTACACAGTCAGGTTTATGAGGCTGGACTGCAAATAGTTGAGTTGAGCTGCCAGGAAGATTTTTTCTTGGCATTGTGTGAGTTTGACTTTTTTCCTTATGGGTAGAAAGGTTGTGGAGCTGGTGTCCAGCTTTCACCCTGTCTTGCTCCCTATTCATCCTTACAGCCAGGTTTGGTTGATTGCATCCAAACAAAACACAATGAGCATAGATGCTACTTTGACCACTGTCTTTGTATAGTTCCCTTTCTGTCTGACCTTCTTGCAGTGTACACCAGAATTATCCAAGAGCAATTGAATGACTAAGCCAGAAGAGAAAAGAAGAACTTTTTGGACTACCAAGCCATCTCTAAGGTGTTTCGACTCCTCAGAAGCTAGAGGATGTATCCAAGGAACCTTTTTGGCACAAAGAGAACAGGAGCGATGAGTGTTATCATGTAGATACTGATGGAAGTACCTTCCCAGTTGTGGCTGTTATGGGATCACATCATCAGAACTTCCAAACAGTTAACACACTTCCAAACACATTAAGACAAATATGACAGCTTGAAGTTTCTACTGTTGCTGAATGAGGGGTCATTTCCTTTCCTCATCACGTTAGAGGTGTCACTTAGGTTAAACTGGAGTATCTGATGACTTTTGCATTTTGTTTGTACCACACAGGATTTCCCTGATGATAGGAAGTAAAAATAACAGCAACAACCCTACACGTCCAGTGACATCTACTGCACTTGTGTCAAATGGCTCCTCCGATCACTACCAACTGGGCACTGATGCCGAAAAACAGAAAAAGAAAAAGAGGAACTATTCTTATTGCCACAGTCCCTGTTTGCTGTTTTCTGCTGTTTATGTGATAGCAGGATAATCCTCCCACGACTGCACCCTGTATGGGTTCTAAGAGCAGGCTAGAACTATAAGGTTGTCTCATATTCCAACCTCTCCTGCACCAGAGCGTCATCTTTGTACTGCAGCCGTGGAGGAGTCAGGGAGCAGTCTATGGCCAGGATTGCCTTGCGTATACTGCGGTCGAGGACATGGCGCTCCCACGCTGGGTAGCGGTTCCTGCAAAGGTCGATCTTGATGACGGTCTCTTCAATGCGTGGAGCACGAGACGATGGCGTGGATGGCACTGTGGGTCGGACCTGAAACACCGGCATGCAGCCGTCTCGCTCGGAATACTTCCCCATGTCACGCTCCAGGGTTGCAGTGGCACCTCGGTTGGAACGCAGTGAGTTGGTGGCACCTTCTGATGGTAGTGTGGAGAACTGAGCAGTGGGATCCAGGTCAAGACCCTGGCCACTCGGCGAGCGTCCAAAGCGAGGCCCGTTGGGGTGGAAAAAGGCATAGTACATAAGCATGAAAACCACGCCAGTAAGGAAACTGCTGAAGATGACACAGAGTGCTGGTACTGCAAAGGCGTCAGTGGTGTGAGGAGACCGGTAGAGGTACCACAACGCACTGAGAGCAGCATTCTCCACCAGGATCACTAGGTAATAGATGAAAAGCCGACACCTGAATGAAAGATATGATGAGAAGAAATAAATCAGATAGAGTGAAACCAAATCAATTACCAAAACATGAAGCAGTGTTCTTCAGTAGTAGCAGGATAGGTAAATGTATATTACTGTGTTTTCGTTACCTTAGAATTAGCTCTTTTTATCAACAGAGGGAGCGACCATGACGAACTGCCATGTAGTAGGTAGTTCAGAACGGACAAACCAAAAACTGACTCTAGGTAGGGACTTTCATGTTTTTCGTGGCCATCAAGTGTCTCCTACATGCCTGGCAGGCAAGCGGTATTTGGTTGCAATCTGCAACTTCAGCGCTAGATGCCACTAAATCCTGCATGCTGGTCCTTCTGAACTTCAAGCAAACAGCTGTCTTCAAAATGAAAAATTACAGAATAATAAAGATTTATAATATTTATTTAAAAAATCAAGCCACTGAAATGGAGTTGAGCATCCTCACCTTGTCCGTCCCTCCTTGACGTTGAACCAGGAAAAGATGTAGATAATGCCCACCACCATGTCGAACACAATCTCCTCCCACTTGCTGATGCAGAAGTCTGTCTCACAGTGGACAATCCAGAAGGTCATGATGCACCAATGCAGGACAATGAAGATGCCAAAGTAGAGTTGGAACACAGAGGCAAACAGGGCGAAGGTGATGACCCTTGCTGCAATTGTGAAGAAGTGCCAGCAGAACTGTATGATGACGGCCAGGTAGCTGATGGGCTTCTTGTCATCGCGGGACTCTCGCAGGGCCTTCTGGTAGGAGGCCAGGGCCCAGGCCAAAGAGACAAGGGAGGCTGCTGCTGTCATACCTGCAACAGACACAGAGACAATGGGTTTGATTTCAATCCAGTGCAGTGCCACATCAGTGCAGTGCAGTTTACGCAGCTACTGTTCACCTCAGGGGAACGGACAAGGGGGGGAACGGGGAATCCACTGTAAGTCACACCTCGATTTTGTTCCAAATAACGCACATTTCATCTATCTATAAGGCAAGAAATCTCTGTCCGTCTGTGTGTGTGTGTGTGTGTGTGTGTGTGTGTGTGTGTGTGTGTGTGTGTGTGTCTGTGTGTGGCTCAAATATCTCTGCAGATCAGGATCAGACCGACCTGAGAGTTTCAACATGGCTGCTGTGTGGTTTAAGGGTGTGCAACGTCGGCTTTGTTTGGACTATAAAGATACCGTTAATAAATTATTATTTCATAAATTATTTCCGAATTCCGCTAGCATTGTCAACGACAGCCACCGTAGCCACGTGCGCACCAGAGCCAATCACTGCAGAGCCCAAACATCCTGGAAAGTGAAAGTAAACTGATGTCTCGGTCCGTAAGGCTGGCGGTCGCGGTGATTTTAGATTTTTGATCACAAACACTCACGAAGAGTCGGTAGGACAGGCGGGAGGACAGACAGGAGGACAGACGCTTCTCCACGTACAGCTGTGGTATTTTTTTTCCTCATATAAGTTTCCAAAGACAGTTACAGTTACTACGTTACTGTTGTTTGGTCCTGTAACGTTGCTTTGTGGGACATTTCTCTTTATTAAGTTGAGTGAGAGACCTGTGCAGTTAGTTCATTTACTAGGCTATGCTACCAGTTAGTCTGTTTATGCTGCCAGGTTTCATCCCATTTCAGATGTAGTTCACTTTGTTCTTTCAGAATTTATATGCGCTGACCATGAGGTGTGGTACTTTCACATTAGTGGAATGGGGTTCATCTCCCTACAGTGTCCTTGCTAGAAGACAAATTATATGAAAACACAATAGTTATCAATCTACACATTTCACAACAAACCTAAATGTCCCTGACGTCCCACCTTCAAACACAACCTCATTTGGCCATCCATGAAAAAGCTACTTAACCTCCCATTTTCTATAGCAATACATACTTCCTACGGGCACTGCACTAGTTTATTATATAATAAATACAGGCCAATAGCTCATGCACATTTTAATGTTTACCTTAGTCGAATGTGTTTTTAGTGTTTTACTATTTTATGTTGTTTTGCTGCTTTTATCTTTTTATGTAAAGTGTCTTTGAGTATCCAGAAAAGCGCTTATAAATAAAATGGATTATTATTATTATTATTTTTGTTTTTCTGAATTGTGTGAAATGGCTAACAAAAATAGGTAACACAAAACGATTATGTGGTCACCAAGGTTCTCTAAGTTCTGATAACTTATACTGTCATATTTTGTGCAGTACTGTGTTCATTGTCTTTTGGCAATGTTGAAGGTGGGGATGCACCTTATAAAGTGTGTTTCCTGTTCCAAGTGCAATAGATAAATCCAATTGTTCTGATGAAGGATTTGTGCAATCGAGAAATATAATTCCCTGCTTCACTTATGTTGTTATAATAAAACATAACAGTTTGTGCAGAATTTCTATTGTATCTGTAGGATTTGGGATTTAGCGGCCATTTTTGGCATTGTATTTTAATGGACTCCTCCTAGGGAATTGATCGGATTGACTTCACATTTGGACACTGCAATTTAAAGACATTCACGATTAAAAAGTTGTGCTGTTTGTGACTGTGCTTCAAATGGCGTGGCGCCTAAATTTGACGTTTTTCCATGAAACAGGAAACTGTCACAAATTCAGCCTACATGGTCCAGTCTCAAATTTCACACGTTCGATAAGAGTCCCGCCCTGAACACGTCTACATGATAATATTCAGTCATACTCATAGCGCCCCCTACTGGCAACAGGAATTAAATGTTTTATACTTATGTTCTACTCCTAGCAGGTTGATCAGATCCAGCTGAAATTTGGTCAGAAAATGCTCAACATATTGTTGATGATATGTGATGAGTGTCAAACATGGACACACATGAATTTGCTGTAACTTGAGTGTACATCGTCCAATCGGCACCAAACTTCAAGTGTCTCATAAGAGTTCAGCCCTGAACACATCTATGTGATAATATTCAGTAAAAGTGGTAGCGCCACCTGGCGGTAACCGGAAATATCATTTATTACACTTTTATGTATTTCTCCTAGCAGATTGACCACACCCAGTTGAAATTTGGTCAGAAGACCCTTAGAATGTTGACAATGACATCTTATGAATCTTATGAATTTTTATTGAACTGTGCCGTAGCGATGCAGTGAGCATCACCTTGTTGCTTTAACATTTGATCAATTTTGGGGGGCTAAACATGCCCGAAAACGAAAAATTCAGTCATGGCGAATATTTACTTATTGTCTTGGTTGTCGCAAAATGGCTTAGCCACGCCCCCCAGAATCAGCCCCCAAGACACGTATGACCCACATGTACAAAAATTGGTAAGCATGTGTATCATGATCAGACAAGCAAAAATTCTTCTTGAAGCCATATCCTAAACCCAACAGGAAGTCGGCCATTTTGGATTTAGAAGCCATTTTTGGCGATTTGCACACGTTATGTTTTAACAAACTCCTCCTAGGGAATTGATCTAATCGACTTCAAATTTGGTCAGTATGACGCAAACACCTTCCCGATTAAAAGTCGTGCTGCTTGTGAGTTGAATCCGAAGGGTGTGTCTCTGGCGTGGGGCTAAACACGCTCAACAAGTCATGAAACTTGGCACACACGTCCTACATGGCAGCATTTTACATTTCTTCTGGGTGTTGCCCGTGGGTGTGTCAAAATGGCTCGATATCGCCCCCTATACATTTTCAAAAAAGCAGCCCTGGTGTCCTGTTTCGCGGACATGTGTATCATGTAAGGACGTACAAAAAAACCTCTTGGTGCCATATCCTAAACCCAACAGGAAGACTGCCATTTTGAATTTAATGTCAAATTCTGCCACCATTTGTAGGCCTTGTATTTTGACAAACTTCTCCTAGGGAATTAATCAGAACAACTCCAAATTTGGTGAGCACATTCTGAAGACCTCCGGGATTTAAACTTGTGCTCCTCATGAATATTCATTGAAAGGCATGACTGTGGCTTGCCATTTTAAATTTCGTAGTGAATTTTCAGCTATTTTTTCGCGTTGTATTTGAACAAACTAGGGAATTTATCGGATCTACTTTAAATTTAGTCAGTACAGTCAGAAAACATTGCTGATTAAAAGTTGTGCTATTTGTGAGTCTTCATCAAAGGGCGTGTCCGTGGAGTGCCGTCGAAGTCTGACATTTTGAATTTCCCAAGATTTTTGGTGATTTCAGGGCTTCGATTTGAACAAACTCCTCCTAGGGAATTTATCGGATCTACTTCAAAATTGGTCAGTACAGTCAAAACGTATTGCTGTTTAAAAGTTGAGCTATTTGTGACTGTATGTTGAACTGAACCAATCAAAATTGGTGAGCACAATCCAGAGAAGTTCAGGATGTTACGGTATTAAAATCTTTATATTCAGTCAAACAGTGTGTCCGTGGCGTGCCTTTAAAAATCTGCCTTGAAATGACGATGGAAACCCAACCCCTACTGTTAAACCTAACTGCAGTACAGATTCTCCATTTGGAGCCAAACTTCGCAAGTTTTCAATTCAATTCAATTTCAATTCAATTCAATTTTATTTGTATAGCGCCAATTCATAACAGAAGTTATCTCAGGGCAAGTTTGTTATCTAAGTACCATTATTCAGTCGCTGTCATAGAGCCACCTACTGGCAACAGGACGTTAGTCTTGTGTGGCGATTGTGATTTGTTTTCTGTGAAATTTTCGTAGCTTGGTGTTGTCATGATGTACTAGTGCGTGACACGATGGCAGCACTCCCCAACGTGCACCGAGTGCGAGGGCCCGATCATCACTGCTTGCAGTTTTAATTCCATATGAGATTCAAAACATGAATCTACAGTGGGTACGGAAAGTATTCAGACCCCTTTAAAATTTTCACTCTTTGTTTCATTGCAGCCATTTGCTAAAATCAAAAAAGTTCATTTTATTTCTCATTAATGTACACTCAGCACCCCATCTTGACAGAAAAAAACAGAAATGTAGAAATTTTTGCAAATTTATTAAAAAAGAAAAACTGAAATATCACATGGTCATAAGTATTCAGACCCTTTGCTGTGACACTCATATTTAACTCACATGCTGTCCATTTCTTCTGATCCTCCTTGAGATGGTCCTGCTCCTTCATTGGAGTCTAGCTGTGTTTAATTAAACTGATTGGACTTGATTAGGAAAGGCACACACCTGTCTATATAAGACCTTACAGCTCACAGTGCATGTCAGAGCAAATGAGAATCATGAGGTCGAAGGAACTGCCCAAGGAGCTCAGAGACAGAATTGTGGCAAGGCACAGATCTGGCCAAGGTTACAAAAGAATTTCTGCAGCTCTCAAGGTTCCTAAGAGCACAGTGGCCTCCATAATCCTTAAATGGAAGAAGTTTGGGACGACCAGAACTCTTCCTAGACCTGGCCGTCCAGCCAAACTGAGCAATCGTGGGAGAAGAGCCTTGGTGAGAGGTAAAGAAGAACCCAAAGATCACTGTGGCTGAGCTCCAGAGATGCAGTAGGGAGATGGGAGAAAGTTCCACAAAGTCAACTATCACTGCAGCCCTCCACCAGTCAGGGCTTTATGGCAGAGTGGCCCGACGGAAGCCTCTCCTCAGTGCAAGACATATGAAAGCCCGAATAGAGTTTGCCAAAAAACACATGAAGGACTCCCAGACTATGAGAAATAAGATTCTCTGGTCTGATGAGACAACTTTTTGGCTTTAATTCTAAGCGGTATGTGTGGAGAAAACCAGGCACTGCTCATCACCTGCCCAATACAATCCCAACAGTGAAACATGGTGGTGGCAGCATCAGGCTATGGGGGTGTTTTTCAGCTGCAGGGACAGGACGACTGGTTGCAATTGAAGGAAAGATGAATGTGGCCAAGTACAGAGATATCCTGGAAGAAAACCTCTTCCAGAGTGCTCAGGACCTCAGACTGGGCCGAAGGTTCACCTTCCAACAAGACAGTGACCCTAAGCACACAGCTAAAATAACAAAGGAGTGGCTTCGGAACAACTCTGTGACCATTCTTGACTGGCCCAGCCAGAGCTCTGACCTAAACCCAATTGAGCATCTCTGGAGAGACCTGAAAATGGCTGTCCACCAACGTTCACCATCCAACCTGACAGAACTGGAGAGGATCTGCAAGGAAGAACGGCAGAGGATCCCCAAATCCAGGTGTGAAAAACTTGTTGCATCATTCCCAAGAAGACTCATGGCTGTAGTAGCTCAAAAGGGTGCTTCTACTCAATACTGAGCAAAGGGTCTGAATACTTATGACCATGTGGTATTTCAGGTTTTCTTTTTTAATAAATTTGCAAAAATTTCTACATTTCTGATTTTTTTCTGTCAAGATGGGGTGCTGAGTGTACATTAATGAGAAATAAAATGAACTTTTTTAATTTTAGCAAATGGCTGCAATGAAACAAAGAATGAAACATTTTAAGGGGTTTGAATACTTTCCGTACCCACTGTATGTAAAGACTTAGTGGAGTCATGATGTCCTGAGCAGAGAGGACATCACTGTTCCGTATGCAGCTGAGTAGAGTGTCTGAAACTGTTTTTATCATCTACGTTATGGTTAAGATAAGTTCCCAGGAAATAATGTAAGTTTATGTAATTTCCCCAAAGGTGACCTAGGTAAACATGCGTGTGGGAGAGAAAAAGTGTTGTTACCTTGCACAGCCTGGAGCTTGTGTGTCTGTATGATGATGCACAGCTGCAGCACCAGTTGTGGCGCACTTTCCAGAAAGGTGGCCAGTAGGTGCAGCATGCTCACATCTGCAAACTCATAGACCATCCTCCAGTAGTAACGCCAGCGCTCTGTCTCAGCACTCTGACGACTCCGCACACCCAGGTAGATGGTATGGAAATACCTGCCGGAGATATATATGCTTCAACATCTCCCGGAAAGGATTAAACATCACAGGTAACAGAAAAATACCTGGGAAAAGCAATGGTCACATGCAAGAGTTAGACTGCACTTTACAAATACACCTGGACAGAAAATCATTGAGTATGAGCAGTTAAAAATGTCTTTTTGCCAATAAAAATCAAATCAAATCAACAACATTTAAAATAATCAGGGAATCTGATCATCAATGTATCTGTCAATTGAATTTGGCAATACGATACATATCACGATACAGGCGCTGCAATACTATGATACGATGCTGTGAGCAAAGTTATATATTGGGTTTTTTCCCCTTCAAATTAGATTTTAGGAAAACTTTTATAGTATAAAGAAGAAGAACATCATCATCATATACATAAAGTAAAAAAAGTTTACTTTTTAAATTCAACGAGGACAATGGAATCTGCATTTACATTTATCACAGTCCCAGTAACATCCAACATTATAGCCCTGGGAAAGAGTTGTTTGTGGTTATAGTAATGTTTTGCATCTCATTCGTATGACCTTTAAGTCAATTCAACCTACAATAATTTAACATAACCTTAGCTTACCTATTTCAAGTCGGCTAAAGCAGATTTGAAACTGAACGCCCAAACATACAAATCTCTCAAAAACTGATTTGCAGAATGAGCATGGATTGAATTTGTTTTCATTTGTCACCCTTCTGTCCATAATAAACTCTCAGGAGAGGTAAATACCAACCCTCTTTGCAGAGACACAAAAGCAGACCCTCTGGTATACAGTTTGAACAGTTTCACCATGCAATTTTCAGTAAATAAGGCTGGATTGCAACATGGACACTGCAGCTCCTGGCAAACCCAACTCCAACTGTACCTCTCCAAACCTGAGGCCAGAGCTCCTTTTAATGAAGTGAATTCATCTTTACTTTTCAGTCTATCTGTGGCCTACATTTTTATGAGTCTCTCTGCCAGTCTCCCTCCATTCTCTCTCCCTCTATCTCTGAAATTAAACACATGGCAGTCATTTAGCAGCAGGCTAATGGGCTGTGAAATGAACTTCCATTGTCAATAAAGAATTTGAAAATTAAATCTGGGCTGACAGCATTAAAGCTGCAGCCTGTACATGGACAGATGGACCCAGCAAATTTTTCATTGTGTGTGTGTGTGTGTGTGTGTGTGTGTGTGTGTCGGTGTGTGTGTTGGTGCTGGTCTTTGTAAGTCTATGGCTCAGACTTGTTAACCTGCCATTCAGGCTGTCTTTACACTGTAACTGAAGGTGTCCCAGTTCTGACTGCTTCATACACATCTACTGAAAAGAAAAGTCAAGTCACTCTGTCTCATATTCTGCCTTCAAGTGAGGCAATCACCGCCAGTGCTGCCAGCATTACCATGGCAATGCGTTTCATGTACAGTACATATTCCCTGCCAATACTAGTGTTTGGGCGAGAAAATCTACTTGTTCAGATGATATGCATTTTATAAAGCAGTTATTAGGGACCGAGCACTGACCAGTGCAAGGCCCTATTGTAATTGCAGGAATTCTAATTAGGGACCGAGCCAGTGACCGCTGGAGGTCCCTATTGTATTTGCTACGTTTCCTATTATTCTTCTTAGCTATTATTATTATTTCTAGCGCCTTTGACTGCGTTTTTGCCCCCCTGAACATTTACGAAAACTCAGTTTTATTTGGCAAAGTGGTCAGGTCAAAAATTGGATATTCTTTGCGTCGCTCTCGGGTTGGCCACTAGGTGGCGCTACTATCATAAAAAGTGCGTTTAGGCTAATAACTTCTGCATAGTTTGTCGCACATTCAAAAACCTTATATCCACGCGTTCGGTGAATGGAGCTAAATCTATCCATATATGTCACGCCCACTTCCGCCAATCATTTTATTTCGTTAGAGCGCGAAATGTCCTTAAACTACTTTTTCGTCTTCCCATCACGCGCTTTGTCCGATTCGCACAAAATTTTTCAAGTAGCACCTGGCAAAAAAAGTAATTTGAAGAATTTTGATATTTCAAAAAATAAACACGTTATAAAAAAAGGAAGTGGACCATTTCTCCACATTGGTATGTCCGATTGACACCAAGCTTGGGTCCATAGTTCTCCATGTCTTCCTTTGGCATCTTGCACAGACTTCAGGCCATCGCCACAAGGTGGTGCTCTTTAAAACGAAGAAGTTTATATCTCCGCATCGGCATGTGTGATTGAAATGAAACTTGGTACAATGCTTGCCCATGACTCCCTCAGGCTCTGATGTTACCTATCTGCTACTAGGTGGCGCTCTGGTGGCATGGTAAATCACTGTGCGGAGACCGTAATAGTTCTATAATAATGAATATGAAATTCACAGGGCACGTGTAGACTGATGCCTGAAACTCTTTTGTTTTACTGAGGCTGTTACTCAGTCAGTGATTTAACAAGCCCTCCTTGAGTTGAAATGTTCAGTTCAAATGTGCCTCAGTGGAGCATTTGACAAAATGTACGGCTCGCAGCCTATGTGACAATGTATTTAATTCTTTATAATTGCATACCTTTACTGTACAATTCCAACAGAAATAATAAATTATGCTTAACAGTAGTAGGCCTGCATTTGTTTGTGATCTACTTGAGTAAAAATAACAACAAATGAATGCAGGAATTAGTATAGGAAACTGTTTCTTTGCCTATATGAATTCCTGCATTAATTTTTCATATGTTCTATTTCAACCCCTTAAAATCAAACCTATCAATAGACATTTATTATCAGTAAACAATATGACCCAGCTGTCTAAAAAACATAAATCTTAACAACATAAAGCCCAGTGGTTCCCAACCTGAGGGACCCACTAGGGGTCGCCAAAGGTTCAAGGGGGGTTGCGAGGCCTTCTTGGTTTTAAGGGGTGTAATAAATGTTAATTACTGTTATAAAGAGTTCGGTCTAGACCTGTTCTATTTGAAAAGTGTCCTGAGATAACTTCTGTTATGAATTGGTGCTATACAAATAAAATGTAATTTAATTGAATTAAGAAAACTTTAAAAATATACACAGCATGCCTACATCTCAACATTTTGTTTATTTCTGTGCCCTTACTTGCATTTATGTCCCATTCAGAGGCTTAATAATCCACTGATGAATGGCTGTATGTATTTTGGATGATGATTTTTCAATAGGCGGGTAGAGAAGTCACTGGACTGACTTTAACAGACAGCTGCCTTATAGAGCAATGGTTCCCAATTTGTTTCCTTAAGGGACACCTTTTACTATCATTGAGTAAACTGACGTTGACTGACTGATGTTTTATGGAGTTTATGTAAAACTGGCAATTTTTATTAATTTTGAGCAGATTATTTCCTGTGAATATTGATTAAAGATGAGTTTCCCTGATATTTTTATAAAACTATCCGCATTTTGTTTATTTTTAACAATCATACATACTTAATAGGCTCCTTTTTGCAGTGTTTTCTTCTCATTGTTCCATTAGCTCTTTGGTTGTTTTAACTTTTTTAATGCAGGGCGAGGCTGTTTATCAGAGAATGAAGGCTCTGTGAATATAGCTTATGTTCAGCTCTTCATGGTAAATGGTCCTGTACTTGTATAGCGCCTTTCTAGTCTTCCGACCACTCAAAGCGCTTTTACACTACATGCCACATTCACCCTTTCACACACATTCACTCAGTTATTGCAGAAGTCTATCAGACAGACACTAACGCATTCATACACATTCGCACCCAGATGCACAGCATTGGGGGTTCAGTATCTTGCTCAAGGACACTTCAACATGTGGCGGGAGGAGCCGGGGATCGAACCTACAACCTTCTGATTTGTGGACGACCCGCTCTTCCTCTGAGCCACAGCCACTTCAAAGTTTACATTTTAAATAATAATCAAAACTTTAAAATAACAATTTCAACCTACGCCAGGATCCTGTTTGTGGACTTCAGCTCTGCGTTTAACACCATCAACCCAGCTCTGCTACAGGACAAACTCTCCCAGCTCACTGTGCCTGACTCCACCTGCAGGTGGATCACAGACTTCCTGTCTGACAGGAAACAGCACGTGAAGCTGGGGAAAAATGTTCGACTCCCGACCATCAGCACCGGTTCCCCCCAAGGCTGCGTTCTTTCTCCTCTACTCTTCTCCCTGTACACCAACAGCTGCACCTCCAGTCACCAGTCTGTCAGGCTCCTGAAGTTCGCAGATGACACCTCCCTCATTGGGCTCATCTCTGGTGAAGATGAGTCCGCCTACAGATGGGACATTGACCATCTGGTGACCTGGTGCAGTCAGAACAACCTGGAGCTAAACGCTCTAAAAAAGTGGAGATGGTTGTGGACTTTAGAAAGAACCCAGCCCCACCTGCCCCCATCATCCTGTGTGACTCCCCAGTTTCCTGGGTACCATCATTACCCAGGACCTTAAGAGGGAGCTGAACATCAGCAAGATTGTGGCTGACCCCTCCCACCCCAGACACAAACTCTTTGAAACACTTCCCTCTGGTAGGAGGCTGCGGTCCATGAGGACCAAAACCCGCCACAAAAACAGTTTCTTCCAGTCTGAAGCTGGCCTCATTAACAAGCCCCAGATCCCCCATTGACACTGACTCTTATACCCACCCTGTATATATGCATTACATTAATGCACTCCCGTTTTCTGTACAGTTCTCTTATCTTTCTTATTTTTATTCATTTATATTTTAGAAGTACTCAATTCTTGTGTGATTTGCATATTTTTGTGTGATTTGTATATTTTATGCACCAATGCACTAACACAATTTCCTCATATGTGTAAAAACTTACTTGGCAATAAACCTAATTCTGATTCTGATTCTGATTCTGTTTCTGACCCACAATGAAGCTTTGGTGACCACTAGTTGGGGTCCCGACCCCCAGGTTGGGAACCACTGTTCTAGATGTATAATGTGTGTTGTATTATTTGTTATGTAAAGCATTGTCTGTTTTATTACCGGTGAGTGAGTGTAAAGATAAATACAGATACAAAGGGTAACTTTACAGCTCTACCTGCTTCGGAGCTGCTTGACCTGCAGAGACAAAACAAAGAGAGAGAGTCTCATTACATTACAGCTGCTGCTCTCTCTTCCCCTCGCTGTCTCACTGTCCTTCTCCTGCTATGTGAATAATGCAAGAGGCAGATAGGCCTTTCACACATAAACAAACAAATACACATGAAGTGCTCCGTGGTATGACCAAAAATTTGTTTCATGGTCTTTTTTATTTTTTAATTCTGGCGTTTTCACAGTATATCAGCATGACTGGGCCTAACGTTGTCTGACTCCATATAGGTCAACGGCCAACACTGAGAGTGTAAATTATTATTTATAATTAAAGCATTACAATAAATTATATTGGCAATTATTCACAATAGCAATAAATCCTCTAACCCAGGGCTCTTAAACTCAAATTTGCTAGTATAGCTAGAATTGCTATTACTGCTAGCATTGTCATCTCATAGGAGGCCACTTCAACGTGCAAGTACTAGCAAGAAAGCACAATATTCTGAAAATATTTACTATTTATTCCAAATAAAAAAAATGCCAACAGCTGTGTCTATGCATACTATACTTAATATACTATACTTTTATTTGCTCTTATCTTATCACTCTTTGACAACAACAACTTCTGAATGTATCTCCTTACTTTTAATAATGCAGGAAAACATGCTACTTGCGCAGTCAGTGTGTGTGTGTGTGTGTACAAGCACTGATATATACTGTATGTGCAATACTCTGGTTAGCAATACTGTACTTTCTAAGGATTCATCTATTATTTATATTAATTCAGTATTCATTACACTTCTGTCTGTCATACTGTCGAATACAGTTTTCTATCTTCTATATACTGTCATATACACCATCAGCCATAACACTATGACCACCTGGGCACCCTGGTGGTCATAATGTTATACAGCCCCATACCAACAAACATGTGATGCACTGTGCAAGACTAAACTTAGAAAATTTGTCACAAAATAAAACAGATTAATTTTCAGTCATTACTCAATTTTGACCAAAATTGTAGTTACTGCTGTTTTGCTTGGTAGGGCAGTACAGGAGAGAGTTAATCTGTGTAAAAATCAGGTTCCTCTGGCTCCTCCTAGTGCTCCTAATGGCATTTGTAAGAATCATCAGGTCTGAACAAAATCAACCAATCAGAGCTGAGGAAGATACTTCATCAAGGATGTAGTGAAAGTTTCAGCAAATATGACATAAAGTTATTTTTATAAAAGTTACCTAACTTCATTTCTACTATTCTACTATAAGTTACGGGCTGGGGCGCACGGTAGCTCACCTGGTAGAATGCATGCCCCATGTAGGCTGATTGCTTATCAATTTCAACCTGTGAGCTATTTTCCGCGTGTTGCCCCCCCTCTCTCCCCCCTCGCCATCTTCATTTCAATTCAATTCAATTCAATTTTATTTGTATAGCGCCAATTCATAACAGAAGTTATCTCAGGACACTTTTCAAATAGAGCAGCTCTAGACTGAACTCTTTATAACATTATTTACAGAGACCCAACAGTACCACCATGAGCAAGACCTTGGTGACGGCAACAAGGAGAAACTTCCTTTTAAGAGACAGAAACCTTGGACAGACCCTTCTGCTCTAGGTGGGTGGTCGTCTGCCTCGGCCAGCACTGTGCAAGTGTGGCCTACAAACAGCACAAGCCTTTACCGAACTATAGTAATAGTAAATGGTAAATGGACCTGTACTTGTATAGTGCCTTTCTAGTCTTCCGACCACTCAAAGCGCTTTTACACTACGTGCCACATTCACCCTTTCACACACATTCACTCAGTGATGGCAAAGTCCATCAAACAGAAACTAACTCTTTCACACACCGATGCACAGCATCAGGAGCAATGTGGGGTTCAGTATCTTGCTCAAGGAGACTCCGACATGTGGCAAGAGGAGCCGGGGATCGAACCAACAACCTTCCAATTAGTGGAACCTCTGAGCCACAGCCGTGAATCTGGGATTAGCTGAAGTTAGTTAGCAGCCGGACTCTATGGATAACTTTTACAAACGTCTCCAGAAAACTGTGCTTGAAACTAACATAGACTGATGTGAATCTTCAGATTTGTCTTGCAGCCAGGTAGAAGACACAGAGACTACATACAACATGATAAAGTATATCAAATTGTACAACTTGAGAACAGGCCACCGCTGCTTCTGGACCCTGGATCACCTCTCATCCTCACATTGTGTGGTAAGGACTGAGAGTAGCTCTGAAGGCAAAAGGCTAAAGGGAAAGCTAACGACTGGGAGCTTCAAACTCTGATTGTGGGTGATTTTGCTGTTAAGACTTAGAGCATTAAGAACACCAAAATATGTTGATTTCCTAAAAATATGTCCTGTGACATGACAGGAAGAATATATAGTCAAATCTTAAGTTAGCTAATGTTAGCAATAAAACTAGCAAACTAGCTAGTGCTTTGCTAATATAAGCTATCAGATGTAACTAGCTAGCTAATCTACATTCATCTTTAGCTATTATATATTATATAGTTAGCTATTGTTTTGCAACATTTGACTAGGCCTACATATATATATATATATATTCCTTTTATCTTCAAAATGTGATATAAATATAGGATAAAGTGAAAGTTTCCGCAAATATTAGTTCATAATTAAAAAGTTATTTTATTATTAAGTTACCTATGGCATCTTTAAAGGACTAGTGTGTAGGATTTAGTGGCATCTAGTGGTGACGTTGCACATTGCAACTAAATGAACACTGCTCGCATCTGTATTTCATGACTGCAGAATAGATGAGAGCAATCATCTTTGTCCTCGCGTCACGCCCCAGCCCCCTTTTGGGTAAAAGCAGCCCCTTTAATTCGACTGGAGGCAATTTAATAGCATAAAATAAAATACCGTATTGCTTTCAAGCTATTAGGAGCCGATATCCTATGACCAGCAAGGCAAACAATTACGTTGTGTCACTGCTCATCAATAATCAGCATCGTTATAGAGAAAAAATGCAGAAATAACAGAACAATAAAAACCAGTTTATTTTCCTGTTTTGGTCGTCTGTCCAATGTGACGTTATTGTAAACTAATTCAATGTGGCGAAGCAGAACCGCTGTTTCTTTGTTTAATAATGGACCTTTTACTACAAGTTTACATTTTGGAGCATTCAATCATATCAAATTTTGGGCAAACTCCATCTGCTGATGGAGATCATGTGATATAATGGAAAACTCCAGATCATCTACTAACACAAATAATATGATCAGCTCAGATGAAACCACCCAACAGGAGACTAAATTAGCTCCACCTCAGTTAGAATTTACAGCAGTAAAATGCTACTTACACATTAAAGGTCCAGTGTGTAGGATTTAGTGGCATCTAGCGGTAAAGTCGCAGACTAACTGAACGCAGTATGTAGGAGAAACTACGGTGGCTGTGAAACTGGCAAAAAAACATGAAAGGTTCTATCTGGAGCCAGTGTTTGATTTATCTGTTCAGGGCTACAGTAAAAAACATGGTGGGCTGTAGAAGAGGACTTGCTCCTTCTGAATAAAAAACAGCTCATTCTAAAGTAACAAAAACTCAAGAATTATAATATTCATCAGATAATGTTACACACAATCCAATAACCTCTTCTATAACCATATAATAATCATAGGAGCCTTTCTTGATGATTTTTACTTTAAGTACATTTAGCTGTTAAATATTTATGTATTTTTTACTTTTACTGAAGTACTGAGTATTTATTCCACCACTGGTTACTGAAGGTGCCCAGGACAGGTCAGTAATAGTTTGGCTGCAGGCTTTGCTTTCGACTCTCAATAAACTGTCTGCTGCATGATGTTCTGTCTCTACAGATTCAATAAATTACTGTGGGCTAGCTGTTGTGTATCTTGAGTTAAAGAGTCCAGTATGTAACTTGTACAGTGATGTAGAAACTTGAAGCCACCAGTGCACATGCACTGAGAATGGACTTTACAGTAGATGACTTTATAAGTATTATTGTATGTTAATTATAGGGTTTTTTATTACTGTTCCAAGCTTGTCTTAAAACATGACTGGAGGGGATCTTTAAAGTTAATTCAAATTCATGACTCCACCCAGAAGCTGTTTGGCCAACCATAGAAGATCCTTCCAATGGCACCAAAAGAGAAAATGCCTGCAGCAGCAGCATTCACTGCTTGACATCATGTGAGTGACAGGCCAACTCCCCGTGCTTCCTATAGGAGATGGAGGATATCTTTCCTGTTTAGCTTGTGTTATCTTTCCTGACACATCGGTGAGGACAGAGCAGTGACCCGAAAGCCTCCCACAGTATCATGTGTGTTGGCCCTGCAGAGAGGCGCAAGCTAAAGATGGCAGTTGGTAGCCATGCTGTAGGGGTTGGCATCATTCAGAGGCCACCACGGTACCAACTCCTGCTCATTCATTTATTTACACCACACACACATACAAACAAGCACATCATTATAACCCATCCCAAGGCCTCCATCCTACCTCCATATCTGGCCCAGCTGGAGGATGTGGATGATGGACTGTCCGAACCAGACGCAGAAGGAATAGTAGGCCGACCGTTTCCTAGTCCTGCTGCCCACCGCGGTGCTGGCGGTGCTGTTGGTTGTGGTGTTCTTGCTCGCGGTCGACGCCTGTCTCTGTGGCGTGGCCGGGTGGTGTTGAGCGGTAACGTCGCCGTGCGAGGCGGAATCGCTCAGCAGCTTGTTCCCGTCCATGTGGGAGCAATCGGCGGCGGACTGGGCGCCGTCCTCGGTGCTGAAATCGTGCACGAACCATCGGAAGCTAAAGAGCTGGACCGAGAAGGAGCCGAGCACCACGAAGAAGAGCGTCAGGCCGAACCACCAGTAGTCGCGGCGGAGGTAGTAGTCGACCGATAGCCACACGTCGGTGCCCACGTCGGCCAGGTACACGACCACTGCGGCTACGATCCACAGGCAGTCCCACACCGTGTATTTCTGCTGCTCCCTGCCCAGGCGAAGGCACGTCGAGTTGGAGCCTCCCCCGCCGCAGCACCGTGACTCCCCGTTGACGAAGTCCCCGTCCCCGGTGCCCGCAGAGTCGGGCTGGGCGCCCGGGTGGAGCCCCTGCACCGAGCCGGAGTGCTCCGAGTTCTGCAGCGGGGTGAAGGCCACGTCGCTCTTCTTCATCTTCAGGACCCCGTCCGATTTAGCCGCCATTATTAGAAGCTTGTAATATTACTCTATTATTTTTCCTCCCCTCTCCTCTTCTCCTCGGCCCTTGCCTCGCTCCGTCGACACCCTTCTGTGCGTCGCTCCTACTCCTCCTCCTTTCTGGGCAGGACTAGCTCCTCCACACTGCCGCCTGCTCATAATACACAATAAAGACAAAAAAGAGGACCCGCGCTTGCTCCAATATTTTGGTCCATATCAGGTCTTTACTGGGCTTGTCCCCTCGGTTGATGGTCCGCTTACATCCAGCCGACAGGAGGAGCCGCTTTGTTTCCCACCTGCAGACAGCCTACCTTAACTGATTCTGCTCCTGCGGGTTTTCACTTTGCCCTCGATGAGTCCTGATGCTGGCAGATGTTGGGGATGGAAATGGAGATGGAAACAGGAGCGAAAGAAAAAGTGAGGGGGGAGGAGGCTGCAACCATCTGCTTCTTCCATGGCACAGACTGAAAACTATGACATCATCCATTCCCCCCCTTTCTCTCCCTCGCTGACTCTCTCCCTCTCTCTGCTCGACACACCGTTTGAGTTCTCTTACAGCACAAAGTAAAGGCTGTTATGTTAAAATACACTATTGAGGCCAACATGCAGCCGGCCATGTGAATCAGGACATTAAGAAGAAAACAGCTGAAGCAGCCTCAAGTCCTGCATGGTCCTGATCCAGCACCATGGACAGATCCTGCTCTAATTGTTACTCAGCAGAAACTTCAACATGAACCAGTTCCTAAGCAATCACCACGTTATTTTATATGCTGCAGCACAATACTTTTGTCCAATAGATAGTAGTGGAAGAAGTACTAAGATATTGTACTTGTAACAGTAGCAGTACCACAGTGTAGAGATACTCTGTTACAATCGAAAGTCACGCATTCAAAATTGTACTTAAAGATCGCCTCCAGATAGTCTGCTTGGAACAATAATGTGTTTCATATGTTTAAAAAAAGAACATCACATTTCAAATTAAAGCTGCAGTAGGCAACTTTTATAAAAAAAAACTTTTTGTCATATCTGCTTTCGTTTAGGCCCGGTGGAGCACCAGGAGGAACCTGATTTTTTCTGTTTATCTGTCTCATGTACTGCTTTACCTACTGCAGCTATACAATCAGCTTTTCAATAAGCACAGAGAAACTTTCCACTTTCAGCAGATGAATGTGAAAACATCTTTCTAGTGTCAAACTCTGCACAGGCATCATTCTGCACAGTGAAGATTAAACATCACACTGGCCACTTGAGGAACTGCAGGTTTTGTTACTTCATTTGTCAGCCATGGAGGCTGCCACTTGATAATAAGCTTAAAGGAGTTACTAATGTATGTCCAAAACATCTTGACTTGGGCCATTAAAGGCATACTATGCAGTTTTCCGGTTTTGTCAAACAGCTACCCCTAGAGTCGCTGCGGAGTACTTGTATTTAACGTTAACTGTCGTAAATACCACTTACCAGAGCCGTCTCTATATACGGCTCTGTGTCTCTGCACTCACAGCCTGATCCCCTCCCCCCTGTATACCGGTACATGTTCAGTAGGATGGAAGCGTCAGACATCGAACAGGCAAAGATAGACTCCGAAGATGTCTACTGACCAGGTAACGTCTTCCATTGAGGCTGCTTCTTATGTCGCTGATGTATGACATCGCGCCGTAAAGCAATTAGTGATTCTCGCGAGATTAGGCGGGACGCCACCTTTCAGACTTGCATTGCTGGTTCTGCCAGCGGCGTCCCTCCCCAGCGTTGCTATCAGTATGATACACTATACTACGAGTTTGTTTACCATCGAAATGACTTCGAAGCTGTTATATTAAGGTACAAATCTTGCATAGTATGCCTTTAAATGATAATACAGAGTACCAAGTTGCTGCTGGTCGAAAAACTGTTGATCTTCACCATCTAGTTCACACACAGGCATTCAATTCAATTCAATTCAATTCAATTTTATTTGTATAGCACCAATTCATAACAGAAGTTATCTCAGGACACTTTTCAAATAGAGCAGGTCTAGACCGAACTCTTTAAAACATTATTTACAGAGACCCAACAGTACCACCATGAGCAAGCACTAGGTGACAAGGGCAAGGAAAAACTGCCTGTTAAAAGGCAGAAACCTAGGACAGATCCTCCGGCTCTAGGTGGGTGGTCGTCTGTCTCGACCAGTTGGGGTGAGAGGGAGAGAGAGAGAGAGAGAGAGGGACAGAGAGACAGACAGACAGACAGACAGGTGCACAGCAACAACAGTAGCAACAACTACACTAATAGTAGTGACTGATGATGATGAACACGAAGAAGATGATGATGACGACAACAACGATGGGGGACAATGAGCAGTGACAATAGTAATTGTAACTGTAGTAATAATAATATTAGTAATAATAATAATAATAATAATAATAACAATAATATCAGTAATATTAGCAATGGCAGTCAAGCAGGACCATGGCAGGAGGCTCCACCAGGATCCATGAGAACCTGCAAGACGAGAAAGCACAAGAACTCCGGGGAAGAAGTGAAGTTAGTAACATGCATTAATGGGACATGAATGAGTGCAGAGAGAGAGGAAGGGAGGAGCTCAGTGCACCATGGGAAATCCCCCGCTAGTCTAGGCTTATAGCAGCATAACTAAGGGATGGTTCAGGACTCACCTGATCCAGCCCTAACTATAAGCTTTATTAAAGAGGAATGTCTTAAGCCTACTCTTGAATGTGGTGAGGGTGTCTGCCTCCCAGAACCACAACTGGAAGCTGGTTCCACAGGAGAGGAGCTTGGTAACTGAAGGCTCTGGCTCCTGTTCTACTTTTAGAGACTATAGGAACCACAAGTAGCCCAGCATTCAGAGAACGTAGTGTTCTAGAGGGGTAATAGGGTACTATGAGCTCTTTAAGATATGAAGGGGCCTGACCATGAAGAGCTTTATAGGTGAGGAGGAGGATTTTAAATTCTAGTTAAATAAAGTTTTACAGGGATCCAGTGCAGAGAAGCTAGTACAGGATTCAGTCACCTACTTAAAGGCTACCTTTCAACACCCTAGTGACACAGATTCCAGGAGGAGAAGGTAAGCAAATAATGTCAGTGTCTTTAGGATTATACAATTAAAAGGTCAGTAAACAAAAATATTATTTCATAATATTTTAAAATGTAAAATAACACTGCTAAATAATCCCAGTTTTTACTGAATGTAACTGCTATCTGATTCTGTCATTTTAAGTTAACTGTAATGGTTTACTTTTTTTCTTGTTTTTTTTTTTTAAATCCTGATTACGTAACTCATGTATTATGTTGTATGTATATGTATATGTAATTTGTTACTCTCCAAGCCTGGAAGTTTTTATTTGATGAATTTGACATCTCAAATAGATACATATATATCTTGTGCAACACATACCTTCATATTTAAAAAAAATGTCAATGATAAACACAAAAAAATTAGAAAAATAACTTATTTCCATTGTGGTCCTGTAAATGCTGAATATGGATAATATATTTTATTTTCTCAGACATTTGTGGCTTTAGTATGAGGTGCAATATTTTCAATGTTTTTTAAACTAAACAGTGTTTTGAACTAATCCAAAAGTGTTCAGATTAGATTACAAATTTTTTTAACTGAATGGATAACTCATTAATTACAAACATTTTGTATTCAGTAACTGATTATACCATTCACACTTTTAGACCAAATTCAGTCCACAACAACGACATGTTAGACTTAGGTTAAACATGTGAGAAAAAGTCTGACAGAAGCATCAGCAGTCTATAAGTAGCATTTATTTTGCCCAGAACACAGCATTTTGTCTGTCTTTTGTTTGTCAGTCCTACAATCAAAAGGAAACATTCTCAAACAACAAACAAGTTATTATGAGTGCTTGTAGCTTTTATATCATCAGCAACGTGTTCAACACCAGCTCACATTTATCAAGGCGGCCATATTAATATATTAATATATCATATTAATCACAAGTTCCCAGCACCCAATGGAATTAGTTTGAATGAGCAACTCTGCCTGTGAGGATTCATCTGCAATGCTACACTGGCTACAATGAATGCAAGACAAATCTTCTGTAAATAGTTAAACAACTCTTTGCACCTTACCTACCTATTTATTTACCTATTATTTTTATCTTTTCTAAGTATTTTATTCTATTGCTGTATTTTATTCTATTGTTGTATTTTAATGTACCTGGCTGCTATAACAACCAATTTCCCTCTTGGGATTAATAAAGTCTGTCTGTCTGTCTGTCTGTCTGTCTGTCTGTCTGTAAACTGATTGATACAATACTCACATGTCAAGTTTCAACATGCACAATTATAGTATTTAACTTTACACGCCATTACGCAAATAAAGCAAAAACAATGACAAATGTGCAGTAAACATTTCACAGTATGACAGTGATCTCAGTGTGCTAGCCAGCTATCTTTGGGCTTAAATCTGGATCACTTTTAACCGGGATGGATCACCATGGTAACAACTGCTGCCCGCCGAACTGCTCCAGAGAGATCAAAACCTGCCGACAACCGGACTACTGACCAATCAGATGAGATCACTGTCTATGTCTACGGGATTCCGACAGGGCCAAAAGTGCAGTATTAACTAAATTAGGATATAACTGCAGTATGGCTAAATTGACCATAATTCTGTTAACTGTTGTATTGTCAGAAACTGCATGTATTTCCATCCTATTTCATAATAAATAATATGCCCGATTCTGCTGATGTTCCATGTGATGTGCCACTGTGCTCATAGCTGGATCAGTAAACTGGAGGCAGTTGTTAGACTCAGTGGAGACAGGTAACCCAAAGAGAGCCAGGCTATACTGAAAACACCACAGGAACCACAAAAGGAAGGATAAAAGGGCTAGCTGTGGTTTTAAACTGAATTTATATTGAACGTCCCTGCTGAAACCAATAATATTTAAACCTCATATTAATTTTCTGCATTTAAATCATGCCACACAAAAACACTGCACAGAGGGAAAATGTTACTGTAGCTTAGTGACTGTATGGTGTGGATTTAGATTGGGCGGCTGTGGCTCAGAGGTAGAGTGGGTCATCCACTAATCGGAAGGTTGGCAGTTTGAACCCCTCCGAACTTCACTCGCTGCATGTCAAAGTGTCCTTGAGCAAGATACTGAACCCCAAATTGCTGTGCATCAGTGTATGAGTGTGTATGAATGATTAGTTTCCGTTCTGGTGAGCAGTTAGCGCCTTGCATGGCAGCCACTGCCATCAGTGTATGAATGTGTGTGAATGGGGTGAGTGTGGCATGTAGTGTACAGCGCATTGAGTGGTCGAAAGACAATAAGTAAAGTCCATTTACCATTGAACAACTGAGGTTGAGTCATTCATTTGGGGAAAAAGGTAGCAGCAAGGAGGAATATTCCTTTAATTCAATGTATTATTATTATTATTATTTTTTATTTATTTATTTATTTATTTTTATTAGTTTACCTTTTGTGAATTTGAATATCTTGTCAGAGCTGCTGTCAGCAGATATGAGGCAGAACTTCAGAGGTGACTCTCTCCTGTATTTACACCATCATAGGTACAAGAGTTAACATTCACAGAGTCAAAACCTAAAGGAAATTACTGCCATTTTGTCCTTTCTGGCTGAGTTTTGAGTTTAAAGGTCGACATGATGGCAGCTGCAGGAAACGGGAAGCGAGGCATTTCATTTCATTTCTTGCGTGGCACCTTGTCGCCAAGCGGTACTTCATCCATCAGTTTCTGCAGAGAGACCACAAACACACGTTAGTGTGACAGGGTACAGGGCAACGTCCTCTGGTGAATCTCACCAGGTGGCACTGGAGGAAAAGTCAGGGATCACCAAAGATTTACGGATTAATTATTTTGGGGAATGTGAATGTGTGTATATGACTTATAGCCAATAGTTGAGATACAGACAGACCCACACAGCTGTGCCACTAGCATTAATACATACATACTCACCTCGAGCAGCCTGCTGTAGTAGGTGAAGCTGTCCTCTCCATCCCTGCGGGCATCGTCCACCTTGTACCTCCTGCAGGCCAGCAGCAGCTCATTGGAGCTATAGAGGGGGGCGGGGTCGATGGAGTGGCTGTTGATCAGGCTGACCAGGTACTCCCGGTAATGCTTCCTGGATACCAGTACACCACATTTTAGCATTATTACACACCAGAGCATGGCAGTTTAGTAGTAGTTAGTGGTGATGATATTACTCTGTAAATCTTAAATGGACCTGTACTTGTATAGCGCCTTTCTAGCCTTCCGACCACTCAAAGTGCTTTTACACTACATGCTACATTCACTTCATCAGTCAGTCCTCAGGATGTTGTGTCTGATTGGTGTACATTACAATCCTGTTTCTTCCCCGTTGGTCCGCCTTGTGATAAAAATGTGATAAAAGTTCAAATATTCCATTACTCTTTTTTGCTGGGGAAACCTACAACGCACTCTGAAAACCACTGCTGTAACACGCAGGCCAGGTAGGCTATAACATGCTGCCTTGGTTGGAGATCGGAGAAAATACTGCTGAATAAATTCAATTCAATTCAATTTTATTTGTATAGCGCCAATTCATAACAGAAGTTATCTCAGGACACTTTTCAAATAGAGTAGGTCTAGACCGAACTCCTTATATAAATAAAGCCATCATACTCGCAGAGTCCAGCATGTCCAGGTTGGGTCTGAGCTCCACAGGCTGAATCTGGCTGCTGCCCTCCCTCATCCTTCTGCTCTATCACTCCACACAGACCTGAAGAGAGAGAGAGAAGGGGTAGTGAAACCTCTTCAAGGGAAGATCAGATTCTCTGGAAAGCATATCATAATGTCACCTATCATTTTTACAAGAGACCTTTTTTGACCTTTTTATTGTTAGGATTTATGTCCCAGGTTACGATTAAAATTAGACAAAATCCATAATGAAGATTCTGTTTGAAAGTTCAAATATCCCCTCCAGACATGTATTGAGACATATATGCAAATAGTCTGCTTGGAACACTAATGTGTGTTTGATATGTTTTTCCATTAAAAAAGCACTGAAAACACCTCATCTGCACTCTACACTTGCATTGCATCCAGCTCCACTCTGAGCTTCTCTTTCTGCATTCGTCTCTTGATATAAATGTGATGGACAAAATGTTAGAAACAGCTGAAAAGTCTGCAGGTTTGAACTATCAATGTGTGCATCCCACCTGTCTGTGTTCCAGGAGGGGGTTCAGTGTTATAGGCCACTCCATTATTCTGTGAGTCACAAAGAAAAGAAAAACACTGATTACTCATGAGGCTGTTTTAAAATTAAGTAGTAGTAGGGTGGCCCTCAGGTACAAAACATTGGACAAAACACAACAACAAAACAAAGAATCCAATAACAAAATAGAGAACACAACATTTCAAAGTGGAAAGGTAAGGACAGAAAGTTAATTCAGATTAGAATTAAGACTGGTTACTGTATGGAAATAAACTCCTATGATGTGATGACTTGTATTGTGGGATTATGATAACCTCCAATCATTTCTTTGTCTTCACAGAGTTGTGAAGTGGAAGGAGCTATTTTAAGTATCCCTGTTCAGGAAGTAAAAGTGCTATACATTTTTCCCATAGAAATATTGTGTTTTATGAAAAATTGTTTTGTTATCTGTGTTTTTTTTAAATATTGTGTTTTTCTAAAATGTTGTGTTTTGTGAAATGTTGTTTTCTAAAATGTGTTTTCTGTTTTGTTGTAAAATTCTGTGAAATGTGTTTTTTATTTTTATTTCCTGTTTTGTGAAATATTTTGGTTAATTGTAAATGGTAAATGGACCTGTACTTGTATAGCGCCTTTCTAGTCTTCCAACCACTCAAAGAGCTTTTACACTACGTGCCACATTCACCCTTTCACACACAAAATGTTGTTGTGTTGTGTGTGTCAGGACCACCGTAGACATTCATTATAGACTTTTCCCAAGCAACAGTAGCTGAATAGTGTAACATTGCAAAAAAAATCCACCTTAAAAAGGGAATTTGTCCTCACTGTTCAAATAGTTTTCAGTTCACAGTGAGGTCTGCAGATTGTCCTGACTAACTGGAACACTGTGGCTAGAAATTTTAAATCTATTTTCAATGCAGTGGCCACACAATGAATTGCAATCCCCTCCACTATACTGAGGTAGAGGCAGGTGTGTGTGTGTGTGTGTGTGTGTGTGTGTGTGTGTGTGTGTGTGTACCTGCAGTAAAGCCTGCAGCCTGGAGGGTTCCCAGTCTCTCAGATAGAAGAGGCAGTCTCTGGGATGATGGGCATGTAATCCAGACACGCTGCACTCGTCCACTGCACAGGTCTGGTAGGAAGGCAGGTGAAGAGGAGACTCTTATCACATGTTAACCACCTCTATAGTAACCCACCTTAAGGCGCATTCACACCAAGTAAGTATTTAATTCAATCCTTGAGAAGCCTGCCCCTTTAGTTCTGTGTGTTTGGTCAGGTCAACATACATTTCCTTTGTTCCGGAGCCATGAAGAGAAGAGGTTTAGACATTTCTTGTGACTTTATGTAAGTATTTGACATACATGTAGCTACATAAGATGTTGAGTTAACTTAATGTTACTTGTCAGAAGTGGTATAATTTGATTATTCAAACAATTGACCCGCCCCTTTTGCTCTGCGCTCCAATAACAGTTGAGGGAGCCTCTGTCAACTTTCTTCTTTCCCCTACTTAGATATGCTATGTGCAAGGCTCCTTATGTTGAAAAGACAACCACATTTTGCATTGTCACAGCATGAAACTGACTAGAGTATGTGTCAGACTTACAGTGTGGAAAGGGTTGTTGCAGCCACTGCAGAACTGGTACCGACACTGTGAGCAGCAGAAATGCATGCAGCCTCCTTTAGACAGCGCGTACTGGAAGCGACAGTTGGGACAGGCTGGAGGGAGGGAAGAGAGGAGGAATGACAGGATGGATGTTAATGGTGAGAAAGAGGAAGAGGCAGTGTCAGTACACCCTGCCTCCTGTGAAGGACCTGCAGGAGTTGATGGCCACTGATTTAAAAAAAAAAAAAAAAAAGAAGCATATTGGACAAAAAGTGACACACTGCCATATAGTGCCAATCCTGGTGGCAGAATAACAATATGTTAAAATCCATATTAGACACAAGCGCAAAGCTTGAACCCTGCAGGATAGATTTTGTGTGATCTCATGATTTTGTGATCTTGTGAGACCAGCCGCCTTGCAATGCTTTTAACCCATTATTGACTAAATTAAAGTTTTTGAGTGTAATGTCTCTCCCAGTATGAAGCACTCTAAGATGTCTAATGTAGCAGTGGATTCGTAGAAGTGTGCTAACCCTACAGTAGACCATGGCCGGCACCCCCCAGTTTGGAGAAGAAGACAGGAGTACTAGCATGAAAGCTAAGCAATGTCCTGCTGAGGATGGGGGCAGCAGAAAAACATAATTTAGCCGCCTAAAAAAGGCTGCCTTATATCATTATCAATGTATAAGTGTACTCTACATTTATAATATTATTGCACTGCTTTATCAGACAGCATTTTCCAACAGCACACTGAAGCCTTGTATCACACTCTCCAACCATACCACCCTACTCCTTTGACAAGAACAGTAATTTTACCCGTGCTTCGGATCAAGGCAGCGGTGGAGCAGCAACTCCTGTGATCTGCGAGGTAAAATTACAGTTTTTTTCAATGGAGTCTGGTGGAATTGATGAGAGCATGGATGGATATAACAGCTTCAGTTTCCTGTTGAAAAGGGCTGTCTGACAGCAAGGTAAAGCGGTGAAACATCCTAAACATAGCATACACTTACACATCGTCTGCTGTAGGTAATACACTCCCAACCCTAAATCAAAGAACCCAAACTATCACTTTAATAAAGTTCAGTTTTGGGACTGTGTAGTGGTGGTGGTGTGCTGCCCTGGAAGTTTAGCTGTCGTTGTGATTATTCTTCATTAGATACGAGTGTGGTCTGGAGGACATACTGATGTCTGCCACCCAGCTGTTTACATGCTGTTTTCTTTAACATAGATAGCAAATCTATTATTAATAGAGTAAAAGTGCTTTGAGTGGTCGCAAGACTAGAAAGGCACTATACAAGTACAGGTCCATTTACCATTTACAATTACTTACTGATGCCGTTGTCTCTGAGGTATCCAGCTAGGCCCTGTCTCTGATACTCTGGGTCATTCTCTCTCTTCCACGACTGGTACTGTTCACAGGACAGACCTGCATGCTGAGACTCCCACTGCAGAGACAATACCGAAACAGGGTTATTACTGTCTGTGTTCCACTGGTGACCACCTGTCCTTACTTGCTTTTTTTTTTTTTTTTAACATTTTTTATTTTGGCAAATACATTCTTACATATCGTCTCACACAGTTACAGCTGTACAACTGATAAAGTCACACAACACATTTTTGAGACTTTCCATTCTTCAATTATCCAAATGTTGCCCTTCCAAAGTATTTTTTTTTTTAACAATACGGCATAGTTAATCAGAATCAGAATCAGAAATACTTATATATAGTCGAACATGGGAAGCTCGTCACTCCATGGTTCACCAGAGTTCTGTGGTAAGGAATACAAACAACCCCATACACATGCATACACACATGCATATCTACATAAATACCTACGCACACATATCTACATATATCCACATACATGCATACATAAAACAAGATCAAACAGAAACTTACATACACATCATTTATTTTTGATGTCCATACCTACATACCTATTGTGTCTAGTACATAAATCCGTTAATTATGTCAACATCTCTTCAAACATATTGTCAAGTCCATTTAAAATCTGATCGAACTGGTTTGATGTATTCAGTCCACTTGGTCCAAATCAGGTAAAATTTTTCTTTTTGGGTCCTGAGGGAAAATGATAGTCGTTCCATAATATAAAATTCATGTATTATTTCTATCCACTCTTCAGTAGTTGGTGGGTCTGATTTTAGTCATTTCCTTGTGACAGCCTTTGTACTTGCTGCCAGAAGTATACGAGCCAGTTTCTTGTCGTTATTACTCCATCTATCTAATTGGATATCACCCATGTAAATAGTATCACATCTGAGAGGAATACTACTACCAAATACATTGTTAACATGTTTATGTATTTCTTGCCAGTAGGGGACAAGAACCTGGCAGCTCCAGAATATGTGGAAGTGGTTGGCATTGTTTTCCCCACAGAGCCTCCAACAACTGCTGCCATCTCCAAAATTTTGCTGTGGAGTAATAAAGAATCGTACAATATTTTTTCAGCAGAATTCACGCCACATGGACAAACTAGTTGAACTCCATTGTATTGCACACACTCTTTGCCAACTCTCCTCTGAGATGTTAAAATTACCCTATTCTCCCATTTCTTTTTTATACAGAGTGAGTTATCTGATTTACATTGAAGAATACCTTTGTACATTTTGGAGATAATATTGCTGCAAGTCGTGGATTTAGATGCTGACAAAAATAGTTTTAGGATACCTGATTCTAATGTTTTCAAAGCTGTGTTCAAGTTCTGAACGAAATAGTGTCGAACTTGAAGGTACCTAAAGAAATCGCTCTTTTCCAGGTCATGTTTTTCCTGTAGGGATCCAAAGTTTTGGAACGCCCCCTTGTGGACAAATGTGTAGTAGTTAGTAAGACCTTTTGTGGTCCATTTTTTGAATCTATCATCAGATCTAGTCGGCAAAAAGTTTGAATCGTAGGCACACCATCTTAACAATTTTGCAGGAACTTCTAACCTACATAGTTTTCTAGTTTCCTGCCATATTTTTAGTGATAAGTTAAACCACTGGTTTTATACTTGATTCTAGGTTTTTCCCTTGCCACAAGTATCTGGATATCAATTTATCCCACTCTATAAACTGTTTAGGTGGAATGTTAATTGGCAGGGTCTGGAAAAGATATAATAATCTTGGTAAAATGTTTATTCTGATGGATTCTACCCTAGCGCTTAAATTCAAAAATGGAATTACATTCCATCTTGATAAATCTAATTTTATTTTCGCATTTATTGGTCCATAGTTGAGATCATATAATTTTGATGTATCTTTAGGAAGATTGATACCCAGATACCTTATCGATTCTGTGTCCCATTTCAATTTGTATCTACTTCTTATGTGTTTTGGTGGATCATAGTTAAATATCATTATTTGAGTCTTTTGTATATTAAGTTTATAACCTGAGAGTGATTCATATTTATTTAGGACATTCATGAGTTTGGGAAGTGACTGTGTGGGCTGCACTGAGTAGATTAACACGTCATCCGCAAATAGAGCCAATTTGTGCTCCCCTGTTGGCATGTCTATTCCTTTAATATCTCTATTTTGTCTTACATATTGGCTTAAGGGTTCTATAAACAAGGCAAAGAGAAGGGGGGGAAGACCTTACTTGCTTTTTAATGCTTTAAAGCTGCAGTAGGTAATATTTTTATAGGTATATCCTGACAGTAGTACATGAGACAGATAATCTGTGAAAATTCAGCTTCCTCTGGCTCCTCCTAGTGCTCCCAATGGTATTTGCAAGAATCCACCGGGCCTGAACAAAAACAACCAATTATCAAAAATGCATTTGCAATATCCAAATGGCAAAGGCTGCAATTTTTGGGTAAAAGTAAAATGTGTGTAAACAGCATTATATGAAGCACTGTAGTTCTACAGAGTGGCCTGACCTACAAATCTTGTTCTACTGACATAAGAAAACATGTTTGTTTAATATAGACCCCAATGAATTTTACAGCATCATGGTTTTAATCATGAAACGGTGAAGCAAAAATGGGGTTCCCACTCTTTTTAAGAAATTCTTTTCCAAGACCAAATGACAATTGACAATTCTGGACATCACTTGCTTAGAAATGATCCTATAATTTACAGTTCAGTAGGGCCATTACACTCTGTCTGGTGTTAAAAGGTTTTTCCGTTCTGCTTCACGTCTGGTAAACCCACTTTGAAGTGCAGCTTATCCTACAAACAGTTTCAAACAAGATAAGCACCACCTCACTGGAGCCACTGGAACACTGTGCCAGCCTGCTTCAAAACCTCCACCACCATCCCTGTCTGCAAAAAAGCAAGGACCGCAGGACTCAGTGACTACAGACCAGTCACCCTCACCTCTGTGGTCATGAAGTCTTTTGAGCGCCTTCTGCTTTCCCATCTCAAAGCCATAACGGACCCACTCCTGGACCCCCTGCAGTTCGCCTACAGAGCCAACAGGTCTGTAGACGATGCAGTAAAAATGGCCCTGCACTTCATCCTTCAGCATCTGGACTCCCCAGGAACCTATGCCAGGATCCTGTTTGTGGACTTGAGCTCTGCTTTCAACACCATCATCCCAGCTCTGCTACATCTCACTCACTGTGACTGACTGTAGGTGGACCACAGACTTCCTGTCTGACAGGAAGCAGCAGGTAAAGCTGGGGAAACATGTCTCTGACTCCTGGACCATCAGCACCAGGTTCCCCTCATGACTGTGTTCTTTCTCCTCTGCTCGTCTCCAGTCATCAGTTTGTCAGGCTCCTGAAGTTTGCAGAAGACACCACCCTCATTGGGATCATCTCTGGTGGAGAAGTGAGGTGTGCAGGCAAGATTGTGGCTGACCCCTCCCAGCCCGGACACAGACTCTTTGAAACACTTCCCTGTGGTAGGAGGCTGCAGTCTATCAGGACCAAAAACTCCCACCACAAGAACATCTTTCCATCTGCAGCTGGTCTCATCAACAACCCCCACTGACTCTGACTATTAAACCCACCCTGTATATATGCATCACATTAATGCACTTCCATTGGTTTCTCTATCTTGCACATTGCAAATATAATTATGTCACACTGCAAACTTGCAGACTTCCCGGTCAATTTTGCACATTTGGTACAGCACTTTACGCATTTATGCAAGTATCCAGCCATTTTGCACATATCTTTCACTCTTTATATTTGTATATAGACACTCCTTTTTGTTGTCTCTATTTTTTATCTTTTTATTCTGATTTATATTTTTCTGCGCTTCATTGTGATTCTTATGCACCAATGCACCAAGGCAAATTCTTCGTATGTGAAAACTTACTTGGCAATAAACCTAATTCTGATTCTGATTCTGGGTTTATGTAGGCGAGCTGAATTAGGGGCCAAAATAGATTTATAATTTTCTAGGACAACATTCTTTTCCAGGATATTTGGTTATTTTAAAAATTTGTTTCTAAAAAAAATTATTTTTTAGGTTTTGAAATAAAAAAAAAAAAAAAATTTTTTTTTTAAAAATAATAGATTAATATGAATTAGTAATTAGTTGAGTGCACACAGATTCAACATAACTTATCTAAGGATTATGGGAAGCTCAGTTTCAGAGTGTTTACAAGATGCATGAACTGTTACACCAAGTGACAGGTAAACAACATGGCCAAAAGTCAGTGGACACCCCTACCAATTATAGAGTTCAGGTGTTTTCAGGGGTTTTTCAGAGGAAGCTAAAGCTACTACCTTATGGGTAAACAGACTAATTAGTTCTCAAATTAAAGGCTGAACTTAAGAGTTTTTACAGTCCTATTAAGGTGCCAGCAGCAACACTGTTATGTGTAGGGAAATGGAGATGTTACAAACATTCCTGTTGTGTTATTAACTATTCATGACAGGTTGGCAGAGCTCCCAAAAGGTCAAGGTTCACACAGCACAACATTTTTCAATATCTAGGAGTCACCAACTCGAGTCTCCTCTTACTCTTGGCTCAAAGTCTCCACCTGCAAATCCTCAGTTTTTACAACTCAAGTTCACAAGTCTCTAACTAACAGACATTTCACTACTACTGTATTTGGCATAATCACAATCTGTCCCTAACAATAACCACACTGTAGTTGCTATGTGCAGATATTGTAGAAATCGAGTATTCAATGGTTCTAGGGTTTTGCAGAATTATTCAATATGTCCATTATCAACATTCTTGTGTGGTGACAGGATCTTGTGTGGTGACATGATTGGTTCAATACGAGTCAAGGCTCATCGTCTCGCAGGTTCTCATGGATCCTGGTGGAGCCTGCTGCCACTGCTAATATTACTGATATTATTGTTATTATTATTATTATTATTATTACTATTATTATTACTACAGTTACTATTATTACTATAATCACTGCTCATTGTCCCCCATCGTTGTTGTCATCCTCATCTTCTTCATGTTCATCATCATTATGTTGCTGTGCACGTCTGTCTGTCTGTCTCTCTCTCTCTCTTGGCCACCCACCTAGACCCGGGATCTGTCCTAGGTTTCTGCCTCTTAACAGGCAGTTTTTCCTTGCCGCCATCGCCAAGTGCTTGCTCATGGTGGTACTGTTGGGACTTTGTAAATAATGTTATAAGGAGTTCGGTCTAGACCTACTCTATTTGAAAAGTGTCCGGAGATAACTTCTGTTATGAATTGGTGCTATACAAATAAAATTGAAAATTGAAAATTGAAATGTGATATGTAATGAACCATACTGTCTTTTAATTTCATTTCTAATTTATCTTTTGCAATATTTAAAACATTTGTTTGGGATGTAACTTTAATGATTGGAGGAGAAGAGAAAGTTACAAAAAGAGTGAAAACAATCTGATTTGTGAGAAACCAAACACAGTAAGAGAGAGAGAGAGAGAGAGAGAGAGAGAGAGAGAGAGAGAGAGAGAGAGAGAGAGAGAGAGAGAGAGAGAGAGAGAGAGATAATACTTACAGGCTTTTTACACTGAGCACAGAAACTGTTGCGACACTGAAAACAGGTGACTTTCAGCTGGTCTCCATCATAGATAAACCCATATGAACACTGAGAAGAGGAGAGGAAACAGGAGGTGAAGGGAGGAAACAGAAGCAGAGGAAAGGAAACAGGAGAAAGGGAGAGGATAGGAAATGAGTGGAAACGAGAGGAGGAGAGGAGGGAAAGGGAAACATGAGAATGTTAATGTCACTAGAGCTTCCATGGCCTAAAAATGGCACTGTAATTGTAAATTTGCTCATGGTAATTTTTGTTGGTGAAGAATGACTCCTTGTGTACTCACATGACAGCACCAGAGGAACTTAGGGTCCTTGATTAGAGCCTGCTCTGTCAGCTTCTTATGGAACAGCTCGTAGACTTCTGACTCCAGACATTCTCGCAGCTAAAGCACAAAACACAACGATATAACCTGAATATCAATGACTGAACGGCAACAATAACCCAGTCGGTACCCAATTATTGTAGAGCGTAGATCTGGTCAACAGGATGTCACCACCAAAAAAAAACCAAAATGTAAGCCTTATTTGTAGTATGTCTGTAGCAGATATATGCAAAACCCAGCAACCATTTTTACACTTGAAGATCAGTTTACCCGTCATGGTTAGTACTACAGTTATACTGTGTGAGTTAAAAGACTACAAATATGTCACAGAAAGTCTGTGTAACAAACTGGACAAGTGGAGTTTAGAAGGGCAAGGTATCAGCGAATTTCAAAAGTCACAACACTAATCCAAAAGCCACAACACAACGGGAAAAGCCACAACACAATGGAAGTGAGTGACAACGGATGTTTGCAACAAAACGGACTGTTATTAGCAGTGGACTTATTGACTACTGATGTGTGGAAGAGTAAGGTTGTTGCCCATTTGAGAAGTATTAAGTAAAACGTTGTGCACTAGCACGCTATAATTACTATAGCTATGCGATTGTGACAAATTATGTTATTCAGTGTTCTTATGTTTTCACAGTTACCATGGTAACAAACTCAAAAGCACAATCGGATCCAGCAATCATGTATTTGTGATTTGAAAAAGCAGCAGATTTTACATTTTAGACACCTGCATGTAGGCTCAACATCATCTCATCCAGTGGCTTTATATCAGCTACTTCATAGAAAAATTTCCACTCATAAAAAGGACATGCCGAGGTTAGGGTTAGCTCATGGTGACTTGATGCTGTGTAATATCTAAATGTGAGGGGGAAGGCGCTGCTCAAAGAAATGACTTGGATATTGACATACAATAAACCTTCACTAATGAATGCGCTTTGATACGCGCTCTGATGCGAGCTGAATTTAACATGTGAACTGTGAAAACATAAGAACACTGAATAACATAATTTATCACAATCGCATAGCAATAGTATTCAATTCATTTCAATTTTATTTGTATAGCGGCAATTCATAGAGAGAAAGACAAAAGGACAGAGACAAAAGTAGCAACAACTACACTAATGGTAGTGACTGATGGTGATGATGATAAACATGAAGAAGATGATGACGACTACGACATCAGCCAAATCGATGGGGGACAATGAGCAATGATAATAACTGTAATAATAATATAAATAATAATAATAATAATAACAATATCAGTAATATTAGCAGTGGGAGTCAAGCAGGACCATGGCAGGAGGCTCCACCAGGATCCATGAGAACCTGCGAGACGAGAAAGCACAAGAACTCCGGGGAAGAAGTGAAGTTAGTAACATGCATTAATGGGACATGAATGAGTGCAGAAAGAGAGAGGAAGAGAGGAGCTCAGTGCACCATGGGAAATCCCCCGATAGTCTAGGCCTATAGCAGCATAACTAAGGGATGGTTCAGGACTCACCTGATCCAGCCCTAACTATAAGCTTTATCAAAGAGGAATGTCTTAAACCTACCTTCCATTGCGTCGTAACTTTTTCAGTTTTGTTGTGGCTTTTGGAACTCGCTGATACCTCTCGGCCACAGTAGTTTTTAGCTAAGCTCGTACCGGGCTTCTTCTTTCTTTGTAATCTGTCTCTTGAGAGTCTTCAACTTCACGAAAGAACAACACCAAATCACTGGAATATACTTTTTAAGTCTCTGTATTTGACTTTTCACAGGAGACCCCTCCGATGATCTTACACAGGGGCCACATGAATGGGCTGACAACAACACATAGACTGCACCAGATGTTGTTGTTTTTTTACTGATAGAAACTCATGCCAGAGAACAGTATGAAAGAAGCTGTAATCCCACAATTACATCAAAATTTATTTCACACCTGGTAATCAGAGCTAAACAATCTACATGTTGTAGCTTTAATTACAACCTACACACCAACTAGGATGATGAAACAAAAATAAAAGCAGATGTTTTGTAGAAATATATAAGATGTACTGTGCAAAGCATGTTACTGAATACATCAAGACTAAAGATAACCAGTAATTTTTAAATTCCAGGCACAAGGAAGATACAGGCCTTTCAATTAAATAAATCCATGGCGACTTCAGAAACAACATACCCCATGCTGTAGGTGGCTATGACAACACACAAACATGGTACACAGGGGTCTGAGTCGACCTACCAGTACCATAGACTGTATATAACAATGGATGACGTAACAGTGAAGCCAAACCATCACAAGTAACCTGGTAGCTGACTGCAGTATAGGTCATAAACCCTGCCCCCTCCATGTGAGCAGATGAAACTAAACTACCTGGATGTCCAGGGTGGAGAAGTAGCTGTTGAGGTGCTCAGGGTCGTTGATGTCAGGCTCCCAGCAGACTGGACACACCATGTCTCTGATGTGTTTGTCCCTTACAGCGATGGTGAAGTGCTGCTGAAAACAACCACAGCACACTGAACACTGGCACGACGTCAGAGACTGCATCTAAGACAGGGCGAGAAAGTAGGAAATTCCTTTAGATACGCTTCAGAGCTGCAAAACCTATATAAAGACTGACAGTCTCAGTACCTTGCTGTGGGGGAAGACAGAGAGGCAGATGGGACATTCTTTAGCCAGCACTCTCTTGATAAACTCCCTGTCGTGGGACTCCCGTACAGCCTGCACTACATCTTCCAGTGAGTAGGGGGCACTGTGCTCCAGAAGCAGCGACAGTGCCAGCTCACAGCGACCCCAGCTAGGAAGATCGTACACCGCTAGTAACCTCCGACATATGCGCTGGAAAAGAAGACAGAAATGATGTAGAAGGGTAGAACAAAGACCCAGCCTACTCTTATTAACATTAGTGTTAAAGGTCCGGTGTGTAACATTTAGGAGGATCTATTGTCAGAAATGGGAATATAATATTCATAGGTATGTTTTCATTGGAGCATAATCGCCCACAGTAGTTTTGTACAGTAGCCCAGAACAGACAAAGCAAACACCGGTTCCAGATAGGACCTTTCGTCAGATTCGACCTTTTCTGTGAGTCTCATGACCACTGTAGTTTTTCCTTTGTGCTTTGTTGTTGTAGGCCCTTGTGCAAGGCAACCTAACCCCGAGGAACTGCTGATGGGGTGCTGCTAACGTGGCAGCCCATCACTCCACCATCTTTCTCCCTGTTGCATGTCCACAAGTGCATGAAGTGTGTATTTCAGCGTGTGTGTGTGTGTGTGTGTGTGTGTGTGTGTGTGTGTGTGTGTGTGTGTGTGTGTGTGTGTGTGTGTGTGTGTGTGTGTGTGTAAAAAATAAAAAAAGAGTAAAAAAAACAATTTCTCCAATAGGGGAATAATAAAGTACATATCTTCATCTTATCTTGTTGAAACTTGGTTGAAATTTGCAATCTCAATGCTAGCTCAAGTCTCTCAAGTCCTACACACTGGTCCTTTAAGGCAGATTGCCAAATGATCACACAGAAGCTATGGTGAACTCACATTTCTCGTTACTTACTTAGTAGGTGACTTTTTTACAAATAGCCTTTTGTCATATTTGCTGAAACTGCCACAGATAATGTCTGAATATATGGGTTTGATGCCCTTTAAAGCAGACTTGCACTGTTAATTTTCCAGGAAACAGTTATAACACTGCAAGCTGAAATACATGTTAAGACCTCTTTTTTGTCAACTCTGGGCTGGGCGTCTCAGTGGTTTAGGACCAAACAACCCTCTTGGCGTTAATGTTAAGAAACCTTTTAAGATGGCTGAAGGTGGAACTGTACTGAGGTCTCCTGTAAACACCTGTTCTCACCTGTTTGTCAGGGTGATGGATGTCTACAGGAGGCTCGGGCTTGTCACTCCAAATGCGCTTGTGGAAGGCTTCTAGAAGGGGTCGCTGCAGCAAGGTCAGGCCCCCTCTCACCTCACCACCACTCTGCCTCAAAACCTCATGACAGCGAGCCTCATCGCTGAAGCCCAGCACATGCAGCTTCTTCACCTGAAAGGGTGGGGTGAAGAAAACATGACACCATCTCTACACAAAAATACTGCTGCAATATTGTTGTCTCTAAACATGGAGACATATTGGTCACCTTGGCGAGTCTGTCTATCAGAGCTTGTCTGGCAGCTCTCTCGGTGTCACCCCCTGTTGTCAGCCACGCTTGCTTGGCCTCTGCTCTGGACAACTGGACCACACTTTCTGTCCCAGCATCCTCAGCAGGAGCTTCACATGACCTGTTCTGTATTAGAGGACAGAGAACACTACTGACAGTGACTGTCAGAGAAACATAGATGTGTCAGGATTAAACAGGCTTTGAGAGAAGCATACTGACTGTGTGCTCTGTTGAAGTCTTGTCAGAAACAGACTGAACGGAGGATGTCGCCACCTGTATCCTGATCTGGTCTAACAGCAGCGGAAGCTCTGTCTTTAACCACTTGCAGGGCAGGATGTTGCTGTCCCCAGCTACCCTCATACTTGTGTACACCTCTTCTGGACTCACCCCTTTCTTCTCCCCATCCTGACACACACATAAAGGACAGACACACTAGAACACAAACTCTAAATGTAGTTAAGATCCAAGCACAATTACAGGTAATGAAAGTGACTTGCTCTAATCAGCTGAATCAGCTTCAGCCCCTCCTCCTTCATCAGTCTCTGCCTACAGGAGTCCAGGTCTTCAGAGGGGGGCTCTTTGGATTTGATTGGCAGGGCAGGTACACGTCTGACGGGCGAGGGAGGGCGAAGCTTCGCAGGTAGGGGTGCAGGCTCTGGGCGAGCCAGGTCACACATCTCACACACTGTAGCAGGAGAGTAGTTCAGATAGGTGCAGAATTGACACACCCACTGGGTAGAGAGACACAGCAAAAGAGAGAGAGAGAGAGAGAGAGAGAGAGAGAGAGAGAGAGAGAGAGAGAGAGAGAGAGAGAGACATTAACTCTACAGAATTCAAAGTCAAAACATTATCTGCAATTGTTTGTGTTAACTGCACAACTAGAGCAGATACAACTTGTAGATTTGAATTATAAGATTTCATTATAAGTTGGGAGTTTAGTGGTCGTGATGTTGAAGACATGCAACTGTGGTGTAGTTCGTTTACAGCCCTACGTTAGCTTTTAACTTCTCATGATCGCATTTATGCTTCAAAAATCATTAAAGTGGTGTTAATTTGTGATTATTATCTTGTTGAACAAAATCTGCAAGTATTGTAAACCTTTGTTCACCACTGAGCTTAATAATAATAAAAAAATTGGGTGTCATGTTTCCATCACTGCGGAGCAAATAAATAAGAGTAGAGAGCTGGGACTGAAGACTGATTATACTCTTTCTCACTGAAGGCAAAAGCCAGATGTTAGTGGGTGTTAGTGGGTTTCTTGTCCAAGAGGGGTTTATGTAACAAAAATGTTTTAAATCTGGTTGGCATCTCATATTTTCAAGTGTTCAAGTCTTATTAATGTTGTGACATGACCTTTAAGTTATAATCTAAAATTGGCAAAAAAGGGAAAACACAGTTATATGAACTTAAAAACTACAAACCCTTCCAAAGGTTACTGGTGCAGGCATTTTTTTGTTCATATGAAGACAGAACACTGGAGTTTGTTCTTTCTGACCTGTCACTGGTCCACCAAAAGAGGATTCTTCGTCTTCTTTACAGTTGAGGGTTTAATAATTGTGTTTGCCCTTCAAGGAACCTTTAGAGAAGCTGGTCAGCAGAAAGCTTTAGTCAGGGGGTCGATGTGTTTATCCTGTAGCTGCCATCAACACAGATCAGGTGAAGTGAGAATTCATTTTCTGAGAGGTTGCTGCAGAGCACAGTATCACTCACCGTGTCTCACTCTACCTTCTATATAAGAAATTGATTTAAAATGGCATGTTCTCGCAAAAAAAGCCTTTCTGATTACATTGCCATATTATATAAATATATATATATTCACTTTCCTTTAAATGAGCATATTTTATCAGCAATAATAATCTGTCTGACACATGAAAGCTGGTTCAGACATGCTGGGATGTTAAAGTTAAGACACTCCAATTAATTCAGAACGCTGCAGCACGAGTACTGACAGGAACTAGGAAAAGAGATCACATCTCTCCTGTACTAGCTTCTCTGCACTGGCTCCCTGTAAAATGTAGAATAGAATTTAAAATCCTCCTCCTCACCTATAAAGCTCTTCATGGTCAGGCCCCTTCATATCTTAAAGAGCTCATAGTACCCTATTACCCCTCTAGAACACTACGTTCTCTGAATGCTGGGCTACTTGTGGTTCCTATAGTCTCTAAAAGTAGAACAGGAGCCAGAGCCTTCAGTTACCAAGCTCCTCTCCTGTGGAACCAGCTTCCAGTTGTGGTTCGGGAGGCAGACACCCTCACCACATTCAAGAGTAGGCTTAAGACATTCCTCTTTGATAAAGCTTATAGTTAGGGCTGGATCAGGTGAGTCCTGAACCATCCCTTAGTTATGCTGCTATAGGCCTAGACTATGGTGGAGCCTCCTGCCATGGTCCTGCTTGACTCCCACTGCTAATATTCTCTCTCTCTCTCTCTCTCTCTCTCTCTATATATATATATATATATATATATATATATATATAGAGATGGTATATATGTACTTACCTAACCCTAAGCAATCTGTAATCGTTTAAAATAAAATGTCTTCAGCAAGCTTTATTTGGAAAGTTACTAAACGTTTCATATTCATTGCTGTTGACTGCATGTTGCATGTTAACTGTTGCTCACTTGACCATGGCTCCCTCCATGTGCAAACATAGCATAGTTGGAAGCAGAGGGCCACTGACCCAGCTGCCATATTTGACATGTAGACTCAGAACGTGTTGGTAGGGTTCAGACCAAAAATGTCATGTTCAGTCTAGACCAAACTGTGGACCGACAAACTGACTTTGCCATTCTGCTGCTAGCATGGCTTGACACACAAAAACAGTTAACTGACCTGGCTGTCAGGGTCACCGGGCATGCCCAGCACTGGAGCTGGTGGTCGGGGGGGGTTCATGGGTGGGTGTGACGGGGTCACTGGAGGTCGCGTGGCCAAACGAGGTCTCTCGCACACCTCGCACAGAATACTGCTGGCTGAATTCACCACAGTACAGCTCTTACACTGCCACTCTGAGAAGAACACATTAACACACACAAATACCAGTTTGTTCTAATCAATACCAGGTACCATTATGTCATACCTGGTGTACTATGATTGTGATGACAATTTCTTATTTTCCTAAGAGGTAAATAAGCTTTGGCCATTGTTGTGTCACTGAAAGAGTTAAAGATGTTATAGATCAAGTGTATATTTAAATTAAAAGCTCAAACAGAGCAGAAAAATATAAATATATCCAGTCAAGCCTACTTTGTCAATCTTGATTTGAATTTGCTCTTAATGAACTTCCTGCAGGTGTTTCAGAGTAAAAGCCTTACATGAAAGTGAAAGAGTTATATGTAAAATAACTGAATGAATTAAAAAAGTACAATGTTACTGGTACCTGAAATAAATGTTAAAAATGTTTATTTGAATTACACAAAAGGCAAAGAAAATGTGAAAAGATGTGAAAAATGTTTTGCAAGACTGGCAATGCATCTTGGTTGCTTAGCAACTATAATTGTCACACTCTCTCAAATAAACTTTGCAGTTGGTATTTGCCTACATTACAATACAAATTATCAGTAAAAAAACTTAAGAAATTACATATACATTCCTATCCATAATTCATAAAGATAGCCTATGAAAACGTATGAACGAATGTAGAGAAAGATGATTCACAGCAGGTGCAGACGTAGCTTGTTGCCCTGCTCGCTAGATACATAATGTATGGGAGATGGTGGGCGGTTGTAACACTTCTTGTCTCAGCACCTATAACCCGCTGACATTTTGTGTTAGAGCTCTCAAATTTTGGACACAAAAAGTACCCTTGCTTGGGCTTCTACAAATAGTAACATTTCGAACTCTTGTTTCGGTTTATTTTTTGCAATTTTTTTGTAAAAATAGACAAAAATTACAAAGATAACAAATAATATACAGTGCAGGGTGAGGCAGAAAAACCCAGTGGGCTTATTGGGACCCACCACTTAACTGTGTTGTTAAAGTTTCACTAAGTCATAGAGAACACAGAATTAATATAACAAAATAATATGACTTGGCTACATAAAAGTGATACTTATAGCAAAACTAATAACAAAATGTATGTGATAACAACAATAATAATATATTATTATAGTATAATAATATGCAGTTTTATGTTATTGTTTTATAGTTCTATAGTTCTATAACCTACACTTCATTCTGGGCTCTTTTTCTTTTTTTTAAAATATTATCTTTTATCAAATAATATACTTTAATTATTAATGTCTTGTTCTGAGTTATGTTAAATGAATTTCTGTACAGCAAACTACTACTGAGAATAAATCCAATACTTACAGCTTTCTGCAATACTTGCGAGTGCGATAATATGAGTGATGATGAATGTATCAATTATTTTGGTGTTTTTGGTGTATTCTAACACAATAAAAGCATTAATCTCTCAAATGGGTATTTTTTATAAGAGATTATAGAGTTTGGAATGTAGCAGTCAAAAGTAGTAAGTAAAGGGTGGATTTATAGACTTATTTGCTTAAATTATCCGAGTTTCTATGCCACAGAGGAAACTAGAATGTGGTAGAATAAAGGAGGCGGGATTACTGGTGTGTCAGGTGCACAGAAGAGAAAACACAGACCAGAGATGGTTGCTGGCTGAGATTCATCTGCTTTAGAGCTGATTGATTCCATGCGGGGGCGCTCACACTCCTCACAGACCACATCCTGGACAGAGTTGACTTTAGTGCAGTGAAGGCAACGCCAGGTGGAAGAACTGAAATGGGGGAAGAGGGGCTGTTATGCTGTTGTGACATGAACATACATATTGAAAGGAAGGACAATCTTTATTAGGAGCACTAGAACAAACCAGAGGAACCTGATTTTTTCCCAGATTATCTGTCTCATGTTATACTGTCAAGATATAGCTTTAATAGTTAAAGGTTAAACTGTTCAGTGAAGCCAGGAGTGACTGACAGGTAGTCAGAACCAGCACTGGCAGTGGACCAGTGGGATCAAGAGTTGTCTAGGTTTATATTGCCAGAACTATAGATGCTGACCTGTTACTGTTCCTGTTTTGAGATGATGACGACGATGATGATGATGATGATGTGACAGCTGTGCGGCGGTGGTTGGCCCTCTCAGGGTAGGAGTGGTACAGTCTGTCACATTCTGAGCAGAGCCCCTGCAGGCAGGTGAGGCAGTGGGCAGAGATTCGGAATATTTCACAGATAGTGCAGTTCTCTAAAACAGAGATAACAATACAATGTACCAAATACTGTCTTGTTTGTTATACTATAATCTGCATCAATTGACCCTTTCTAAATTATATCCTATTCCCTAAGGTATATCCTGACAAGTTCATGTGCATCAAGACACCAATGGTATGTGGGCTTACAGCAAAAACTATGAGTAGGAGTTTTGACACACCTGATATGCCACCAGTGTGAGGCTCTCACAATGTAAAATACACCCTCAACAAAGTCTTTCTAACAAAGTCAAGGTGTTTCAATGTGTGAAAACAAAACCACCTGCTTGATTAGCAAGGTGTGTATGTCTGTGTGTGTATGAACTTAGTAATTGCAGAAATAAATAAATCACTAACCAAGTAGTCAAATGCAAAAAACAGCAATTTCTCTCCTCACCTGGGTGTTTGTTTGAGGAGGTGGAAAAGACCTGAATGGACCTGAGACTTTGGTGGTGGGCGAACAGGGAGTGAGCATGGCTGCTCTCCCTGGAGGGGCGATGGTGGAGGGGGAAAGCTAAAGACTTGGTCTGACCGTCTGAATGACACGAACTGGAAGAGGAGTGGTAGACCACAGTGTCGGTGTTGAGACCTACATCCTAAGAGGAGAAAGGAGTGGGTGCAAACTTGAAGAATTAGCACTACAGGTCAACATAAACTTCAAAATAAGAGTTTACTCAGTATAAAGGAATAACATATCAAGGTAAACTTTATACTTCTACTCCAATACAGCCCAGAGGTAAATATTGTACTTTTTACTCTGCTACATTTGTTTGACAGCTTTAGTTGCTTTTCAGATTACAAACTAAAGAATGAAATGGTCTTCTTAAGCTAAATAAACTATTTAAAAACCCTCTCGGGTTAGCTGGAAAATGCATCGTCACAGAGCTGAAAACAAGTTTTCTCGTCTGTGCTCATGAAAATTTGACTTTTCCGGGATGCATGGTTCTCACAGGACATCCACACTACAAACACATGATGATCTTATTGAATATAATGCTTTGCTGTACAAAACTACCCAACTTTATACAGCTTAAAGTAATATAAATGAGCACAACATTTACAGTAAAATGTAACATACACATTAACATAGCAGTATTTATACTAATCCAAAAAACATCCTTTATAGAAGTAAAACACTGGGACAGGGAACATTTTACTGCACTATATATACTTCTACTGGTATACACACATACCTTTAAGTAAGGTTTTGAATCCAGGACTTTTACTTGTGGAGTATTTTTACAGTGCATGGTATTGATACTTTTACTGGGATGACAGATGATGGTGGTATGATGGACTTTACCTTGTGTCTCAGAGTAGGAATGATTCTCTCATAGAACTCAGAGTGGGGATGAGCCTCCTGGAATCAAAACAAATAAGTTAACATTAATGTTTTTATTTTAAGTCAAGAAAAAGAGTACAATGCTACGGAAGCATACTGCATTCACTTGGAAAAATCTATTTACTTTATACTATGTCCTGTTTTTCATGAATAAATGACTAAACAGGCCTCACGTAACAAATTTATCCACGATTTGTTCTTGTTTTGTTAGTACCCATTGATTTCTGGGGTTCCTCTGACGTTTCTTATTTTTGCTCTTCTCTTAGGTAAGAGCTAATTTTATGAATTGTTTGTCCAATGCAAAGAAATAAAGGTTTTAAATTTGAGGAACATAGGAAAAGCACTAATTTTCCACTCTGGAATGAACGTTTATTTTAAGTTTATTTTCCATGTATGTCAATTCCACTATACTGCTGAAGTTCTTCTTATATATATCTTAAATATAAATTTGTCATCATATATATCATCAATATTTAAATATCATATAGATATATTATTATATTTCTGGAGTATGCATTGAGCTATTTTAATTAATTTCTTATTTGTTTTTAGTCTCTTCTAGCATTAGAAGCATGGGCCCACTGGAGGCTGTCTAAGGGCTGGCATTAGGGGCTTTGCGTCAGAGTTATAGGGCTGAGATTCCTGCCTGGGCCCACTGGTACATGGTGGAGGCTGGTTATAAGATTTGTGTTGAGCTCAGGGGGGTTGAGTCTAGGGCTGAACGAATCAAGTTTTGATTCATGAAAAATTCTCTCAGATTTATGAAATAACATGTTGTTGATTCAGAAAATGCAAGTGAATGCAAAAAGCTTCATATAACGCACTACACATACATGTATTCCAGAGCAGTATAAGAATTAAAATGTGTAATATTTAGAGTCTATGCTGGTTCCTTTCCTTTCAGTTGTAGTCTGCAACCATCATACAGCAGCAAACTACGGAGCCTCTAAAGGCTTTAAACGGTTCTCGTGAGCACGAGAAACCTTAGGTTAAGTTGTGCTTCATGTGCGTATGCCTCTAGACCCGCGGTTCTCAAAGTGTGGGGCGCGCCCCACTGGTGGGGAGGAACAGGAGGAAATTTTCCTTTTTATGCCTTTATATCTTTAGCCAGACATCCCAACTGTCCCGGAAGTTCCGGGAGTCTCCCGCATATTGATAGCGGCTCCTTGACATCTGCAAATGAGATCCAATGTCCCGGAATCTGGAGCAAGACCGTGCACTAGACTGGAGAGTGACTGCATGTGTGTGTGTTTGTGTGACTATAAATGCAGCGCGTGTGAGAGCAAACTGCCCTTATAGCTGTGTGTTGCCGCTTATTTATGGAGAGAATTTTGTTCCTTTATTATTCAATCAAATAGAATAGATTTGAAACCAAAAAAGAGATTTGAGAGCAAAAAAGAGTAAGTGGCAATCAAAACATTTTTTTTTTGAGATCGAAACAGAACAGGTTGCAATTGAAAAAAAATATGAGAGAACATATTTCTTCAACTTCAATCAAAACTAATGTTTGTAAGTAAAAACATACGACCATTTTGCTTATAAATCAGTCCTCTTTCCTTGCGAGTTCTAAAGTTTTGCTTGCGAATTCAACTGCACTTGATGGTGGACGAGAGTTGTTGTTGTGAATGTACGGCAGGCTGTAGCCAACGATATATAGCGCAATTCATTACTTATGGGAAACGTTTCAAGAGCAACAGGCTTCTCCAAGCAGCACAGCACAAGGGAGAAGTGGGTGTAATGCGGAAGACGTAGCCAGTCAAACCAACCAATAGAAACTCTTCTCTCGTCCACCAGCGTAGGCCCCGCCCATCAAGTGCAGTTGAATTCGCAAGCAAAACTTTAGAACTCGCAAGTAAAGAGGACTGATTTATAAGCAAAATGGTCGTATGTTTTTACTTACAAACATTAGTTTTGATTGAAGTTGAAGAAATATGTTCTCTCATATTTTTTTTTCAATTGCAACCTGTTCTGTTTCAATCAAAAAAAAACTTACTCTTTTTTGCTCTCAAATCTCTTTTTTGGTTTCAAATCTATTCTATTTGATTGAATAATAAAATAGCTATGGATGGTATATTTCCTGGTCTGTGGCGGAATTATTTTCTGAAACAGCAAAATAGCACCAGGGACCGTTTGCGCCGGAACACGCCTCCTCTTTTCGCTGAACCGCCCCCTGGAGCGCAAGTTCATTCCCTAATTTAAGGACGTGCGTTGGTGGAGGGAAAATTCCAATGTGCGTCGAGTGCAAAATAGGAATTATACAAGCGCCAGTGTACAAAGTCAATTGCGCTGAGTGTAAGATAGAGCCCTTAATATCAAGCATTGCTACTGCACCAATGTGGAGAAATTCAACAATAAAAGTCCATATTTGTACAACCAACAACTGACGTTAGCTAAGGTTACGTTCTCTGTAGCTGAGAGCTTGATTGACAGCCTGGTGGTAGCAACTGTGCATGAGCACCATGTTGTGGCGAATCAACACATGGCTCATTTGAATATTAAAATTAGCCATGTGTTAATAGGTCACAACACGAAAATGTAACCAATGAAATTACTTATTTTGACACACAATTTTAGCCAATAAGTATTAAACTAACGAGGTAATGTGTCAAAAGGCGGACCGTTTTTGTTATTTTCTCAAAAGGAGGACAAATGAGTGTCCGGCTTAAGGCTGCGCCTGCAGCCGGACAGGGCATTTAAAGGCAGGACTGTCCAGCCTAAAGCCGGACGAATGGCCACCCTAGTAATGGCTGGCTTGACCGCAGTTGATGAGCCTAGAGGCATATGCGCAAGGAAGCACAACTGCCTGTGCTTAACTTAAGGTTTCTCGTGAGCACGAGATACTTCTGCTCACAAGATACTTTCTTGTGAGCACCAGAAAGTATCTTACCTATACAAGATAAGAAAGAATACAGAAAGTATCTCGTGCTCACGAGAAACGTTTCATTCTCCCCCCCCGCCCCCATGTCCCTTTAGGGACTCCGTAGCAAACCTTTGCTCACAAGGAGAAGAAATAAACAATAATACCTCATTATTACCCAGCCTTAATCAGAATCACTGAGTCAATGAGTTTTCATTTCCATCCCCTTACTCCCTGGAAAAATGCCATTTTAGTCAACTATTTACCATCTCAATCATACATACTGCATTCAGTACAGAGGTGGTATTCTGGAGTCAGGAGCATTCAGACTTTTCAAGAATACACAAACAATAGCACACAAAAGACATATACACAGAGTCACCACTTTGAGTTGTCTGTTAGCCTACATGTTATACAAAATTTCCTTCTCCAACAGCACACTTAGTGTGACACAGTAAGAGCTATGCTGGAGCAGACAGAAATGCACAATTATTGGGAATGCTCCTGGTACTGCTGCAAACTGAGGATCCAGCGGTTTCCTTTAATTCCTTTAAAACAATAAAGAGCAAGAAGCTAGTATGCATGCACAAATTACACACACACCTTAATGAGCATTTCTAGTTCCATTCTCAGACTCATCACTTCCAGCGTTACTGCTGCTACTCGGCCCACATCAGGATCCATGACATCATCAGGGAAACTGAGCCCATCTGGCTGCTGATTGGAGTAACCATAGAGACAGAGCACTGCTCGTCCTCCCTAAGAGCAGAAAGAACCAACAGGATGTAATGTGAACTTTTTGTTCATTTTCTTAAACAGTTTGCGTTTGACATTAGAACATCCCAGGTTCTTCACACAGAAGTTCTATCAGTCAGCAAGGGAAATCTTTTCTTGGGGCCAAGAATAAAAGGGACAGGATTGAGAGAAGCCTGTAGCAGCTTCCAGATAGGGTGAAGACACATTTGGGACAAGATTAGGACAGGATGAGGATAGGGATGGGACAGCTTCAGGACAAGACTGGAACAGGTTTCAGCTTAGTTTCAGGGAACTTCCGTGAGAGGCTACATGTTCTGTTCAGGTTCATGGAAAGACCAGGTCAGCCAGTCAGTCATCGGTTTGTTATTACTTTCTATTGTTTTGTTTTCAACAAGAAGTTCTGTTGATTCCTTTAGTTGTACATTTTTAAAGCACTTGTAATTCTCTGCTATACTCTATGTGTTTTATTGTCACCTGAATAGCATCAACAGTGGCCCTGAACACTGGATTGTTGTGTTTCACGGTCCTCCAGTACTTTGGCCTGTTGGGATTTGTCAAGTTACAGCCATACTTTTCCAGGATGTTCAGTGCTGTAGACAATCGTTGGAGAGATGCAAGGGTCTGAAGAAGAAGCAGAGAGAAAGGGATATTTGGTGAATAGTTTGTTAAATAGTTTTAAGGTTCACACATGTTAAACATGTTTTTTGTGTGTTTCTCATCTTTAAAATTTGTCTATAACGTAGTTGTATGTGCACTAGTTCTCCCTCACCTCCTTCCTGTTGCCTCCAAAGCTGTTTTCTATGACCATGGTCTCTGCAGTGATGTGGTGGTATTTGGAGCAGGGCGGTAAAGGCAGATTAGCCATAGCCATCACCCCGGCCCGCACCTCCACCACCCTGCCACCAGAGTACAGACACACTTCAGCTCGACTCCGCACCTCCTGCAGCTGCTCCGACAGAGATGGCATTCTGCGAACACACACACACACACACACACACACACACACACACACACACACACACACACACACACACACACAAACAGAGTCAGTGACTAACATTCATATGTTATTAGGTAGAAGAAAAAACACATGGATGCATTTACAGGAAGTGGTGGACCAACACACTGGCATTGCCATCCCACTGGCTAAAAGCACGAAATATTAAAAGTGGGTACTGGATGATTTAATCTTAATCTATTTTACCTATTCTTTTATCAGATGTAATTAATAGAGCTAATGAATATTTCTTAATGAATAGTTATGTTACCAATCATATGAATGCATGCATTTATTCTTTTGTCTATGTGACATGTAAAAGAATTAGTGTGAAATGCCAATCACATTTTCCCAACAGACTTTTTTTCCCAGTGAACATTTTGACATGAAATATTAAGGTAAACACTATTATTATTATTTATTAATACTAATTAAGGTTCTGTTCCATTTAGTGTAGCAGACCTTTCCACTGAGCCAACATGCGCCATAGCAGTAATTAGTATCAGTGGCAACACCTGTGTAAATCTCATTTTAGGAAAACTGTCATAGTATAAAGAACAGAGAACAATTTGCATAAAATAGAAGAGTAAAAAAGTTAACTTTTTATGCAACAAGAAAAGAGGGGTCAGCAATCATGCAATTGTTTTTTTTCACAGTCACTGTAACATTCAACATCACAGCCCTCAGTTTACATTCACAACAATGCAATCTAGTGGTTGGGCTTTTAACCAGTTTTAGTTTTCAGTTTTTACACACTTGATCTCAAGAAAGCAGGACATGTAGAGAGCAAAGATGGATGAATAGTCAAGACACACCCCCTCATTAATGTGAATACAGAAAAGGAAATTAATCTGGAAAAATAAAAAGGGCAATAAATATAAACAGAAATAAATGCAAGCAGAAAATATAAATTAATTTAGCTTTAAATCAACCTGCATTAATTTAATAATTAAGGTGGGCCAGCTACAATGCTGATTATATTATTACACAGAATTAAGTGCAATATTTACTTTTGATATTTAAGATTCATTTTACCTCATTAAATTGTGTAATGCTGAACTGGTAGTGTTGTGGTGTTACACTGCTGTCATCATCACTGCTACATGTGGAGGTCATGTTACATCACTGTGCGGTAGGTTCACTGAACCGTCACACGTTGAAACCATCACTAAATCAGGCTTAAACTGGAACAACGCCAGGCTAACAGCCACACGGTGAATGAATCCCAGAATATGGGGGTCAAAGTGTACGGTGTGTGCAGGTGACAGTGTTCCTACCTCCTCAGTGAATCCGGGGGGGCTGCTCCCCTTCTCACAGTCCTCCCTCAGCACGCTGATTTCATTCACACCGACGTAAAACGGTCAGCGTTACAGCAGCAATGTATGTGTCCAGCAGTTAATGCAAAAACTCCTATAACCATAAGGATAACGGGAGAGCGGTGCGTCATCCCGGTGCAGCACACCGGGCTCTCTCAGCCTCAGCAAAACATGGACGCAGCATCAGTGACGTCACCCAGAGCTTTGTGAACGGACGTTTTACGGCAGTGCCATATATCAGCTCCAGTCTGTTACATTAACATTAGAATCGATTTTTTCTCTTTTTAATACCATAGAAATCAGGGTGCATGTAGCCTATTTCTATTATCCAGTCGTAAATATCAAATATTATGTCATGATATCTTCAGTTTGATACTTTAAATTACATGAGTAACCATATGTCAGAAAATGGGTTTTTAAATCTGTAGTACCTCCTAGTGCTTCCTAATGGCATTTGTAAGAATTTGAGGCTGTGGGAATGAGAATCAACATCAACTGTCTTTCTCGGCTCTTATTGGTTGTTTTTGTTCAGCCCTTGTGGATTCTTGCAAATGCCATTAGGGGCACTAGGAGGAACGAGAGAAACCTGCTACTTTTACAGATTATTCTGTCTCATGTTCTATGGCCAACATATAGAGAAAGTATCAGCAAATATGACAAAAAGTTATTTTTTATAAAAATTGCAGCTTTAAAAGGACATCTCGCAGTGGTGTAATGAGAGAGACAGAGACTGAGAGACAGACAGACAGACAGACAGACAGACAGACAGACAGACAGGAGCACAGCAACAACAGCATTGGCAATGGCAATCTAGCAGGACCATGGCAGGAGGCTCCACCAGGATCGATAAGAACCTGCGAGACGAGAAAGCACAAGAACTCTGGGGAAGAAGTGAAGTTAGTAACATGCATTAATGGGACATGAATGAGTGCAGAAAGAGAGAGGAAGAGAGGAGCTCAGTACATCATTGGAAATCCCCCGATAGTCTAGGCCTATAGCAGCATAACTAAGGGGTGGTTCAATTCAATTCAATTCAATTCAATTTTATTTGTATAGCGCCAAATCATAACAGAAGTTATCTCAGGACACTTTTCAAATAGAGCAGGTCTAGACCGAACTCTTTAACATTATTTACAGAGACCCAACAGTACCACCATGAGCAAGACCTTGGCAACAAGGGCAAGGAAAAACTGCCTGTTAAAAGGCAGAAACCTAGGACAGATCCTTCGGCTCTAGGTGGGTGGTCGTCTGTCTGGACCAGTTGGGGTGAGAGAGAGAGAGAGAGAGAGAGAGAGAGACAGACAGACAGACAGACATACAGACAGACAGACAGACAGGAGCACAGCAACAACAGTATTGGCAATGGCAATCTAGCAGGACCATGGCAGGAGGTTCCACCAGGATCGATAAGAACCTGCGAGACGAGAAAGCACAAGAACTCTGGGGAAGAAGTGAAGTTAGTAACATGCATTAATGGAACATGAATGAGTGCAGAAAGAGAGAGGAAGAGAGGAGCTATTGGACTTCATTACATCATAAAATTTTTTTAACTTTAACCATAAGCTTAGTTCATCTAATTCTTTTTTTCTACCTCTCAGGCTATGTTATGGTCATGCCCCCATTCCCTCCTCCCCCATACATGCAGGCTCCAGCCTATATTTTGCCCCACCCGCACATCCAACCAGTGGATTACAGACGCTTGCTCCACCCCCAGGTCCATGCTCGCTATGCACCCTACCAGAATCCAAACCAGAATTCATCGGCCTCATACTGTCCCTGTTAGAGAAACTGAAATCTGCAGTTCAAACCGAACCAACACACAGGCACGGGTGGTTACGGTGTTGGGAGCCCACCCAGCAGATCAGATTCTGGACATGAAACCTCTTCATCCTCAAGGCCTAGCTCCCAAAAACGAGGTTCTACTGAGGTTGAGAAACATACCTTACCCAGCAGTAATGCAAAAGACTTGCAGGTTCGCAGCACCCGCAAAAATGGCACAGTCGAACACGGCTTTAATACCCCACATTCTACAGGGATAAAGACTGTCCAATCACGTATCAGAGCAACTGTAGAAACGCACAAGTGCCGTAAAGACAGTGTTGATCAGGAGAATGTTGTCCCTTTCAGAAATGGTCACTGTAATATGTGGTCAGTGAGTACTCCAGAAAATATGGTTCCTGTGTGTAGCTCTTCTCAACAGGAGGATGAGGTTGTCAAAGAGAGACGTGTCTCTGTTCCTGACATTCTGATGAGTTGGGGAGGTTGCTCACCAGAGGAAATTATCCTGAAAATGACAGACAAGGTGCTGCCTCACAATGAACACCAGCTGCCGTCTTACAAAACTGAAGTAGAGCATGTAAAGTCAGTTTACCAGAGTCCAACTGAGCCCAGGAATGGTCCAGTAATGGCTGACGGTGTTGAGGCTAATGATGCTGAAAATATTTTAAGTTCAGTGAAAGACTGGGAAACCCGCTGCCAGATCCTCAAACTGCCTTTTGTTCTTCGTGAACTTTTCTCAGAGTCTAGAAGAGAAAATGGACCTGTAAGACAAGGCCTACCCCACATTGATGAACCGTTGCATTCCCTAAACAAATCCCATACTCTCCCTGATGACGAGCAAGAAAATTACAATGAGACAAATCCACATGAAGACGCTACAGAGATCATTCCCTGTTCAATGTTTTTAAGTAGCTGTTCGATAAGGGGAAAAATTAATGAGTCTGTGGAGTCTCTAGCCCCCTTTATCCCCACTAAGGAGTCGAGTCTGCAGAAAGGCATGTTTGAACCTGAAGTAATCATTGAGATGACGGAGGAAGCTGAAGATGGTAAGCTGCCGACCAAAAGTGACAACCTATTTGTCAAATCTAGTAAAGAAAGGAGGCACTCGCAGGTTTTCCTCTTCTGACTCTGTTCCGATGTCAGACAGTTGGCAAATTTACAGTACCCCAGCCGGGAAGGCAAGTCCCTCAAAGAATCGAGAATTGGAGATAGGAATGGATGCTTCGGAAGGTAGGGAACCAAAGCAATGCCAGAGCACAGCCCCTTTAGAAAGAGATCCCTTAGCTTCTCCACCTCACCTGTCGAGTAAAATCATTTTATTTACCCCCACTGACAAGCACGTGGACGAAAATGGATCTTCTGAACCAGTTTTATTCAAAGCCCAAAACCAGGAGTCTGTCATTGTAAATAAGCAACAAGAGAAAAGCCCCTGCTCCCCAGAACAGGAAGACACACTCCTATAGAATTATGTGGCAGGGGAGGAGGTCTCATGTACAGACTGTCCGATTCTCCAAAAAGCTGACATGGAGGCGGAGGATGAAAACTGTGGGAACGAAGAACTCAGTCAGCTGAGTAACGGGCAACTGTGTGTCCCAATGGTTGACCAAAGGATGGCCAAAGTGTCTCCAAAGGGACATTTAGTGGACTGTGGCATCCAGTGTACAGAATTACAGGATTGTTTATGTGAGGAATTGAAGAGCAGCATGGGACCAAGCAGAAGGCATCCTTACAGATATTCAGGTGATCTGCTTCTTAATTCAACAGTGATGTGCCAATTGCCCCTTCAAGAAAAAATTTGTGGTTTAACTGTTGCGTATCTCCTAGATATCAAGAAAACAAATGGTTGTAAGGCTGACGGATTGTACATGAATGGACACATGAAAAATACCCAAAAGAGACAGTCTGTGGAGGAACAGAAGTCAAGGTAATGCATGTAATGTAGAACGGATGTAGGCAACACAGCACCCCATCAGGTCAGAACTCCACTCTGGTTTAGGACCAAATATCTGCAAGACCACATTTTGAAAATACAATTTTAAAAAAATCTGATTTTGGACAACAGTGCTTAAAATTACAACTGTCCAATTGTATGGTGCTGTGTGGTCTTATAAGAATCAACATTTGATTATTATAATTTGATAATTCAGACACTGATGCAGTGTCTGAATTGGCTGCTTGAGAGAACACATTTTCAGAAACTCTAACAGAATCTCTCACAGAGAAAACAGCAAGAAACCTACAGCGGATACTGTGGAAAACCTGGCAAACCGAAAGGTGAGAATCGGCTTCATCCTCACTTGTCAGGATGGTGAGGATAATCATGTGGTGCAGATTGATTTTGAAATTGAGGTGTTGGTTCATTCCAACCAAAGACTCTGTAGTTCTTTTTGTGCAGGTTGGTAGGAACAACCTGGTACAAACCAAAAATCCCCATACTTCAAATGACCATAACTAAATTGCTAAATATTTAAAAACTTAATCTTTTCTACCTATTAAGCACATAATTTCTTTTAACTCTACAAGTAGCTGCTTATTTGAATCAACCTTGCAGCCTGGACTGATGGTCACATCCCAGTACTTTTCAGCACAAAGCACACATTATGCCTTTACAAGTCAGTCACCTGAATGTATTTTAAAGTAGTAGGCGTGCACTGCTGTCTGCAACATATTACATTATACACTTTTTCAGATGGCTTTTATTAAGGAAAGTGCTCTAGATTTCATTCCGTTGTGCAAATGTTTCTACTCCCTAAGCTGCATATAATGTATTTAACCACAGACCATTTCTTGCATCTTCCAGGTGGAAATGGAAGGAACCCACGGTTCTGAGCACTTGCTGCACTCAACAGGACAACACTTGGTTTTATATGATCAATTTAATATTAAAATGAATTTCAAATTAAAATGTAATTTTCAATAAATGTTTGTCACTTTTTTTAAGATCTTGACAACTCATTGTGGGTATTAACCCTTTCACTTAATGCACAGAAGGACAGTTTGGGGTTCCAGTTTCCCTCCCTGCCTGACTTTCAAGAGAACTCATGAACTCACTCAGGTATATCATTGTACCTATAGAGCCTACAGACAACTTATTGAGTGACAGCTGCTGATGTTTGATTTGTAAGGCACAGGAGATGATGCAGTGAAGACCTTTTCCAAAACTATTCCCAAGGTGATCTTAAGCCCTGCCTTTCTATCTAAAGAGTATTGTCGAATACTGATGCTAGAGGACGGTGTCTTAAATTATTTTACCTACTGCAGCTTTAAATTGCCATCTGACTGCCAGTGACCCTGGAGCTTTTGGGGCCCACTTTGCCAAGTTGGAAGTCCAACCCTGCCTCCATCTGTAAAACATACACGCATGCATACAAAAACACACAAGCCAAAAATGGGTCACATGAACATGTTTATTTGTCTTGCATATTGGTTACTGAATCAAAAGTCCCTATCATTCACTATCATTATGTTGACTTACAAATAATGACACTGACTAATAATCACACAGGCTACTGTTAAACAAAGTAGATGAGGATGGAAGATTTGGAACATTAAAGACAAAATAAAAGGAGAGCAGGCAGGAGACAAAGAAGCAGGTTTTGAGTTTCTGGTTTGTATGATTGTTTCTAACTATACAAAACCCAAATGTTAACAACAAATGGAGGTTGTGTGTCATTTTTCAGATTGTGCATAGGATAGCCAAAGCAGTGTTTATATGGTCCCTGATCTGCAGCAGCTTTATGTACCACAGGGCCACATCTCATCAAACCAGGCACAGTTGTACTGTTCTGGAGTAGCACATTCCTTCCACATGTGGACAGAGGTGAACTAGCACTGTACAGAATATACTTCACCACTAAATCATTCTCACTTGGGCAGAGCGTGCCTTTGCTACCATGTTCCCAAGCTGCAGTCTGTAGCTTTTGAAAATGAGATTCAGTTACTTATAATTAAGTTGCATCAGGTTATTTTGGTTAAGAATAGGTTGTTGTTAAGGATTAAGAAAGTTTTGGTCATAGTAGTTGGTCGCTGGTCATGGCCTGTTCCTTTACATATCAAGCAAATAGCATGGTGTTCATTTTTTTCGTATTTTAAATACAAAGGATTTCTAGTGAGATCCCTCTTTGTTCAGTAAAGGACTCTTAATATTCTCGACTGGCCTGCTTGGGATACAGAGTCCAAGAAACTGTGAATACAGTTGGACTCTGGTGCTCTTCAACTCAAGTTTTTATCTCTAAAACTACTGTACAGAAGTTGATGTTGACTCACATGCCCCTACTGTGATCATTTACCACATGCTGTGGTGGCATCTTTCTTTGTCTCAACCATATCCTATTGATCCTTCCTAAGTCCCGTGCCTTTTGGAACCTTGGCCAACTTTCTCCTTTCCTGTACTTAGATATGCTGTGTGCTTTGCTCGTCTATGTTGAATAGACACATTTTGCAGATGGTTAAAATATAAAATTGACATAGGCCTATTTCTCTCTTTAACCCCAACCAGTTGAGTCAGATGACCTAGAGCCAGGGTCTGCCCGAGGTTTCTTTTTCCTTGCCACTGTCACAAAGTGCTTTCTCACGGTTGGGTCTCTGTAAATAATTTTGTAAGGTCTAGACCTGCTCTATTGGAAGATATATGCTCTGAGATAACCTGTGTTACGATTTGGTGATATACAAATAAAACTGAACTGAATATATATAGTCACATCATAAGTTAGCTAATGTAAGCAAAACACTAACTAACTAGGTAGCTACATCAATCATTAGCTTGTGTTTTGCTAACATTAGCTATTAGATGTAACCAGCTAATGATTAATGTAGATTAGCTAGCTGGTTAGCCTAGCACATAGCATATTTGGGAAAGGAGAAAGCTGACTGAGGTTCAGACTGAAGCTTGCTCAACTGTTACTGGGTCAATTGAATGTCACTGTTCATTTAGTATAGTGCTGCAGTTTAAATATATACACAGTAATATGTATCACCAATGTGATCCAAGCTGAATTTACTACCGAACATAACCAAAGCCACTGCTTTCCACAAAAAGTTGCATTTGCTGAAAGAAAAAATGACATTGTGGCACAGTGAGGGTAGAACTGTAAGCTAAGTTGCATGAAAACTAGATGACAGACACTGAAGTTGATTAGAGAACAACACAAAAGTAAAGGTATGCAAAACCTGATAACCTGAGGGTTTGCATATCAGCATGTCTACTAAACAGAGATAAACGAGAGAAAATAAGAACAAAAAAAACAAAAAACCCCAAAAAACATCTGGCCATATTGAGGATACAGGTTTTTTTTCACCTTCTCATAAATTGTCTATTTATGAAAAGGCACCCATTTTTTAAAATATACTGAGATGTTAACAGCAACACACAGTTCCAAGTTCCTCTTATAAAAATGCAGTTTAGTTTTAACTGACAACAAAAAAATGACATCTTCATCTAGAAGAGTGAGTATGTATAACAAAGTTATAATTCATGTTTTACTTTACTCTGCTCGGTGCATGCGAGTAATCCATTGTGCACACAATTAAATGTTCGTTTGAATGTGTCAGCATGCGTTAAAATCAATGCACAGCCAATCTAATAAAACGATGTCCATTAAATAAGATTACAAAGAGTGCTAAAGAGGCATCAGGTCCTTTCATTCAAGTGCCTTGAGAATGCCTGTAGAGGGCACTCTTACACTACCTTCACAATACAATCAGCACCCTTGCAAAATAAGTCACACCAACACACTCCCTCTCTTTATCTCTCTCCAGTCATCATATCTAAATATATGCTGGGTAGAACAGTACAAACAGTATGTGGGGCCACATGAATTCAGGGGCCACCTCCTTCAGTAGTGAAGCCTCTGCAGGACGAAAGCCAGTAGGGTGAACCTGCACCTCCTCCGTCAAAGGACAGATTATTTGTTTATTGCCACCTGGTCTTATTTCGATAGATTAATCGGATGCCGCCTCTTCCCCCATTCAAATCAGACACATACTTTGTTTGAATCATACTGAGGCCCTAGAGTGGTGGGTCTGTACACTGTATTGTTTTTTTTGGTGATATTGTTACAGTTTAGCTTTGTTTTCCCTTGTTGGATCCAACCCTTCTGACTGTCTGACTGCCCATTTTTCTTGACCTGCTGGTCTTTATGATGATGAAATGATGGCCAAAACTACAAAACAAGAACCCCCGCTGTAATAAACGGCAATTATTCTTAAATAAGACACTAGTCTCACAGAGACCAAAACAGATGGTGTGTTTGGGTGCTCTTCATCAACTCCAATACTACTACATACTTACTTGATGTTACTGAAGTCAAAAGGGCTCCAGAAGGGAGACCTGAACACACCGTTAAACAAGTGGCCAGTCAATGTCTTGATAAAGGATGGGAAAAGAAGGTCACAGGTCAAGCTTCATCAACCTATTATGTCACATTCTGTATAGAAATGCATGACACTGAAGGAGGAGCCCCTGAGCTGGGACACAGGCAGTGTGTGATGACCCGCACATGAGTGATCAGTAAACTTGTCCACTTGTGCGCTTTCCTCTCTGTCTTTATGTCTATATATATATCTGCTCATTTCACCTGTCTCTTTATGATTATATAGTGCTTTATCCTAAGCAATTTCATTTTTTAGGATTTTTTTATTCCAGAAGTGTATGCAAACATTGATCTAGCAGTGAATACAATAGCCTTAGCATCCCTATTCTACTCCCTTTTCACCTTTGAGACCCTACTTTCATTTCAGGTATAATAGAAAAAGGAGGGACAAAAATTAACAACCAAAAAAACAGAAACATACATAAAACAGATACATTGTTGAAGTACTGAGACAAATATCAGTGTTCAGGACTCTTTGAATATACAATGTTATCTGTGTCCATTGAAGTAATAAGAGTGGGACTTTTAGTCCTGTATCATGTGCTTGTGATTGTCGAACGAAATACTGGTCTGACACAATGATGAGTAAGCAAGACCCAAAATACGGAACAAAGACTCATCATCGTTTTCTTGTTTTTTCAAGTTTTTTAAAATATCCATTTTTAAAAGTTGCTTAGGCAATTGTAAAAAATATTATTTCCTTCCACCTTCTGTCTTTCCTTGGTGTTATTGGTCCGTCGTAAGAAATAGGGCTAAATAGCAAGCAATAGGAAACTGTAAATTATACCTGTTGAGCAGTACACAAATACTCTTCAGGGTAGTCCTAAATATTCTCATTCACACAAGGCTTCATTTATGCTCACATCTGAGCCCTTAAAGATTAATCAGTTGTCACTGCAGCATATCAGTCTAGTCTTCAAATAATAAGTCAATAACACTGGCATGAGACAGTGTCTTTCAAATAGAACCCAGACAGTGGGCACATGCTTGTGACTTCCCTCAATGTCCAGCAATAAAGCCATGTGACAACACTCCAGAGATGTCTGTTTCCTGAAAAAAGAGATGAACGTCCAAGGGTCTTGTGAACGTCCAAGGGTCTTGTGAGATATGACGAGTGCATCTCTCCAGAAAAACTACAGCTTTTTAACAATTAATGTGTTTTTGTCCTCTTTAGGTAATAGGTGTTACAGTTTATTCTGGGTAGTTGCTGTCATCCATCCCATCAATCTTTTCCTCAACCCGTCCATTTGGGTCCCTGTCTGTGAACCTTTCTGAATTTTGGGCTCACATGCTCGTTTCACAGGGCGGTGTCAGGCTTCCGTCCAGAACGATGTGGTTTTCCCGTTTCTCTTCACTTTGTTCTACTGCCTCCCTTCCTTCTACTTCCTCCCCTCCCTCCATAGTTAGTAACTCCTGGGTGCAGTTGAGTGGGCTGGTTTTAGATGACAGTGGGCTAGCACTGCTGCCTGAGCCGACAACAGACCTCTCCATGTGATTCCTTCCCTGGTGGCTTAAGCCTGTGAGCTGCCCTTCACCTTCTAAGCTTATGGCTGCTGAGCCCTCACCTCCCCCCTGGGAATTGCTTGGACTGACAGATTGCTGGGCCAGAGACGCAGATTGCAAGATCGACAGCGGAGACTTACCTTCCTGCGTTGCGGAGCTAGGAGAAGTAGAAAACCTGGTAACCATGTCATCGGAAAGTAACTGAGCAAGCTTGGCTGAGCCAGCAGAGGCTGGGGTTGTCACAGGTGTCATCACTGCCATTAGCACATCCTCTTGGGATCCAATGAAGTCAACCTTGATGGCTCTTGTGTTTTGAGGGCTGCCATAATCTCTTAATGAGCTACAGATGCTGTCATAGGTCACCCCAAAGTTTTCCACACTCTGTTGCACCACACCCACATCTCCAGTCCCACTTCCTCTGGGACTGGACACAAACTCATACAAACCCTCTTTGATTATGGTCATTGGCTGGATGCTGCCAGGGGCCCTGTTTGCCTCCATGGTGCTGATCTGACTTAGATCCAAGGGAGGGGGAATACGCTGGAGTCTAGCACCAGTTTGACCACTTTCAGCATTGGGGAGCAGAGAGCTTCTTTCTCCTCTTTCAACAGAAAAATCATCAGCCACATTAGAGGATTTTCTATTGATGTTCAGTTCAGGTAAAGTTTGCAGGGTTTGGGTTGAGAATACTTTCATCTCCATCTGCTCCTCAATATTTTTTTGTTCTGGGATGGTTGCTGTCTCTTTGTTAGTGTCATCTAGCCACTTTGCATTGAGATGTTGAGGGGTAGCTTTGTTGGATAAAAGCTTGACCCGTTCAGGGGAACCTAGCTGAGCCACTTCTTGGTAATGTGAATGCTGGGACTTGCCTGGGCTACCCACATCTGTATTGCTGTAGTGTTTGTGGTAGCTCCAGCGGCTGGGTGACAGGTGATTGTCCACAGAACACTTACTGTCCTCTTTCTTTTCCACCAAGACATCTGTGAGTTCCATACTACGTGCAAAAGCATCTTTTAGGTTAATAGAAATAATACTCCCACTCCTTTTGGCTCTTTCAAGAGCTTCCCTCCTCTTAATGGCCTTCTCTTGCCTCTTCTGCTCTCGGTAGAACTCAGAGAAGTTGTTGACAATGATTGGGATGGGAAGGGCAATGACCAACACACCTGCTATGCAGCAGAGCCCTCCTACAATCTTGCCCAGCAGGGTTTGTGGGTAGATGTCTCCGTAACCAACAGTGGTCATAGTAATGGTAGCCCACCAGAAAGAGGCAGGGATGCTGGTGAATTTGGTGGCGTCCTCATCCTTCTCAGCAAAGAACACCAAGCTAGAGAAGATCATGATGCCCATGGCTAAGAAGAGGATCAGCAGACCCAACTCATTATAGCTCCTTCGCAAAGTGAAGCCCAAAGACTGGAGTCCTGTTGAGTGCCTGGCTAGCTTCAGGATCCTCAGGATCCTCATTATTCGGAAAATCTGGACCACACGGCGTACATTCTGGAACTGCATCACACTCTTGTTGGACTCAGTTAGGCAGAGGGTCACATAGTAAGGCAGGATTGCCAGCAGATCAATGATATTCAGTGGTGCTTTAATAAAATTCCACTTGTTAGGTGCTGAGAGCAAGCGGAGGATGTACTCCATGGTGAACCAGGCAATGCAGACAGCTTCCACATGGGCTAGGCTGGGGTTGTCATTGAACTGGCCAAATTCATCTACCACCTGGAGCTCCGGAAGAGTGTTGAGGGACAACGAGATAGTTGAAATGATGATGAACAAGATGGAGATCATAGCCAGGATCTGAAAGACAAAGACAAGATTGTGGGTTACTCTTATTTGGCACTTTAACACTGTTAATGTGAGCATGTTAGCTTGCTGATATTAGCATTTTGTTGAAACCTGCTGTGTATAATTACAACCTCACAACCAGTGTTGCTAGATTTAATAAAGTTTGCCCTGTGGCACTAGAGAAAAGTCACTTTTTGACCAATGCTCTTAAGGTGGTTGAGCCCTGGAAGTTGTGTCATGTAATGCATAGTAACAGTCACTTTGTAACCCCTGGACCCTCTTCAGTTTGCCAGCCAGCCAAAAGGTGGGAGTGGAAGTTGCATCTTCCTGCTTTGCCGTACCTATGCTCACCTGGACAGGCTGGGTAGCTCTGTAAAAATCATGTTCCTTGATTTCTGTGTTCAACACCATGGCCTGCTGTGGAGCAAGCAAGAAGATGCTCCCCTGGTGTCCTGGATTGTGGACTGGTCGGCCCACAGTATGTTAGACTGCAAGGCTGCGTGTCTGACACAAAATATGGGGGCCCCAGAGAGTTATGTCACCCTTTCTGTTCACCCTTCACATTTCAGACTTCAGATACAACTCCAAGTACTCAGTTGCATCAATTTTAAACATTATTTTTGTAATTTGTCTCTTGTGAGTCCCAAAACCTATTGAAAGTACAATACTACTATTATTACTAAATAAACAGTCAGTCTCACTGATGTTTGTCTATGTCGGTCATATTGAGGCCATAGAGGTTTCATAAGCAGTTAAAAACGAATTGTAGTAAGTTTAAGTAATAGTACCAACACAACAATATAACAAACTTTTAAGTACTTTATATACAGTTATGTAGGTAGTCCAGTGATTCATAAACTAGGGGTTCGGCACCTCCAAAAGGTCACCAGATTAATTTGATGGGTCATGAGATCAGAGAGTCAGTGGGAAAGGAAAAAAGAAGAAACAAAGCTCTGATATACAGATGTGTTTGCAGTTTTTGGAATCTTTCTCTATTTGCTTTTTGTAAAATATTGGATACTTTTATTCAGTTCATTGTTATACAGTATATAGTATATAGTGCCAAATCACAACAGAAGTTGTCTCAAGATACTTTCCAAGGTCTAAACAGTACTCTTTATAAGTTTATTTACAGAGACCCAACTGTTCCCACAACGCACTTGAAGGAATTGGTCTTTTTTGCCCCAGTATATTTTACTTCACAGATGATTTATGAACCTTTCAAATGCCCCCAGGCCCCTGTTCATTCTTGCTCCTGATTTGAAGCTACTAGTGCTACTTCTCACAGCATATCTCACTTTAAAGTTGAGCTTCAACCCCACCAGTTCCTAACACCTCTGATTAAAAAAACAACAACGGTGGAACCCTAATGTCCGAGCCGAGTGAGGCAGCTGAAGCATGTGCGGTCTGAGTCTTCTCTCTACAGCCCTTGCTAGGACATTTCAGGATAATTGTAATAGGATTGTGTTGCTATCTATAGAAAGGATAGAGAGAGGTTAGAAGTGTTTACTCATTCTTTCCTCCCCCAACAGGAAGAATCAAGGAATAGTTAGACACCCCCAATAAAAGCTTTATACTAAAATAAAATCATTAAAAAGGGTCAGAAAAATTGGTGATGGTATGAGAACTCTGAATTGTCTATTACAAAACACACTGCTAGCACACACATTAGCTTCTACTATTAATGTATAAAGGTCGTGTGACTTTAAAGATACACTCCCTGATTTTGTTAGTGTTCACTGAGTGCCTAAAAAGGTTGTAATGTTTTAATAAAATGAATCCTTTAAATAGTCAGAGTGATGCACTAATGGGTGGAATGTCAGTTCAACAGTCAAACTGCAGTATCTACTGTTTTCAGATCAGTTAAAGGAGTAAGCTCCTCCCTTTTCTATTTACATAATGTGAACTCTGGTTTAGAATGGTTTAAAAGCAAATACCTGCATTTTCAAATAGTCATGTTATGGATATAATGTTGTCATAGTATACCTGCAATTTAATTCATATTTCCCTGACTTTGACAGCTTGAAAGAGCTTTAAATTGGTAAACTTTTAATTATGTAACCATAAGTCCTATGGAGTCTGGAGTGTGCCACTGGACGACTTTCTAACTATTTAAAGATAATCTATAATAGAAATCCAAATTTTGTAAGTAAAATGAGAAAAAGTATTCTGCTTCTTTATTCTGTCTTTAGATCATAAATTCTAATCATTATTTTGATAAAATCTCAGAATTTGAATTGGTGTCATTGCCAAGAAGGAATTTCACATACAAGGAATTTGGCTTGGTATATTGGTGCATAATAAAGATAGAAAAGAGAAACAGATAGACAATATATACAAATATAATGTATCAATGTAATAGAAAATAATAATTGAAATTTAAAATGGAATTGCAAAATTAATTTATTATCATTCTATTTACACATCTGTCTTCTTATTATAATCCATTGAACAATTATTTTTTTACTTTAACATTTCACTTTAATGTAAAGAGTGCTCACTTTAATTTGCATATCACCTAAAAATTAAATCTATAAAGATCCAGAACCAATTTGAATTTAAATCCTTGAATGAGTAAGAATAATGAATTGAATAATGGATTTTAAAAAAAATGTTTTTAACTTTTCATATCGAGGACTGCAAACTAAGACAGCCCTTCATAAGAATGAGTTCTTAATCTAGTATGCCCTTTGTTAGATTTAAAGACACATTGAATTTCCCCTTGGGGATGAATAAAGTATCTATCTTTTCTTTCAAGGCGTGCAGATAATCTGCCACTCAAAAACTAAAGAAGAAGTAAGGTTATTAATTTAGATGCTTCTGCAATGGATTAGGCATCACTAATCTTTACATATGGACTTTTTTATTCTGCTATGAAAACCGTCCCTCTGACTCATCCTGAGAAATCATGTGATGGAAGGATTGTCTTGGCCGTTTCCGGATGATGATGATGATGATGATGATGATGATGATGTGCGTCTGGTCTATCAGAGCCGTGTCAAAGGACACCGAGCATTACAGCATTACACAGTGTACACTATTTCTGCTGCTGAATAATCCTCATTCAGACATTCAGAGTGACTTTGCTCAGACAAAAACAAGATTTTTTTTAGTTAAAACTGCAAAGGCAAGCAATAAAAAGACAAGTGAGAGAAAGATGAGAGAGATGATAGATAGAGAGCTGAGGAGGGACAAAGGAAAGTAGAGGGCAGGTGTATCAAAGTGTGTCCACCCTGCAGCGTCTTAATGGCTTAATGGCTGCCAAATGCTGTGACCTTGGCACCCAGGGCAGATTTAAAGCAGTACCAGGAATACACAAGCTGCTTTAGAAGCTGCGCAGTGGAGGAAGAATTAATGGAGGCTCCACATTGAAGATTCAGCTGATCAATAACACTGTGAGTTTGTATCACAGCGAGCCACTGACAAAAAGAACTGGAAACAGAAACAGTGAGTTCTGTGTGCCTTCGTCACACTGCGATTATGAACAAAGTGTACCCTGGACTTCTTAATGACTCTGCCAGCCCTGCAACCTTTTTTTGCTGGTCCTTGAATGACTGGATACCCATGAAATGTGGAATATATATTGATGAGGATGAATGCTAATGTTTTGGTGACCCCCAGAAAACCATCTGTTTATGAGAAAAGAAGATAGAATGATGACGCTACCCGATTTAATTTTGTGCTTTTGTCTCTATATTTTGACGGTGTAGTTGTGTGTATTCAAGGGTCAGATAAACACACACACACACACACACACACACACACACACACACACACACACACACACACACACACGCACACACACACAGACACTCACACACACTTACATGTATATGATGATTTACAGTGGCAGACTCAGGCTGTTTGAGGGACAGGGGTGAGAAAAGCAAAGAGCACACAGAAAACGGATGCATTTATAGTGAAACAGCGTGGTCAGGGTTAGGATTAGCACCCTAGAGGCCACTTGACAAATTATTATTATTTTTTAATAGAAAGGCACCCTAGAGGACATTTTATTGTGTTTTATACACCATAGGCTTTTATTACCAGTGTTGATTCAAATCTGTTCACTGCTTCTGTTACCACTAGTATTGTATAATATACTGTATTATCGTTCTACTGGTACTACTACACCAGAGATTAAGTAAACCTTGTAGAATTCCACACAAACATGAACCATCATGCAAACACTCCTGCACATACACACACACCAAAGGGCTAACACATACACACACAGAGGGAGAGAGTAAAAAGGGAGGATGTCAGACAGCTGAGGAGGAAATCAGAGAAATTGACGGAGAGAGAAAACACAAGACAATGAAAGCATGGATGAAGGGACTGGGCAGAGAAACCCAAGCCCTGATCAATATGTGGAGGTATTTCTGGAACAACAGGGACAGGATCTGTTGCACAGTTGCAGTTTCTGCAGAGGTCAATGCAGTTTATCTATAAAGCCGCTGCTCTCACCACTCATATTGTTTTCATCTGTTCCATACACTGAGGTCATTCTGATATTCACCCATTCATCCATTTATTAACCCATATACACATACACATAAACAATCACTGTGATTAACATTAGGTTGCCTTGTTCACTAATGGAAAGGTAATTGTGGATATTGACTACAGTGTTAAAGATACACCCACATATTCTACCATCACAATGAGGATTGGATAAGTTACTGCCATAACACAGTGCAGCACACACTGAGTTGCAACATTTCATCAGCGGACACATCAGCATTTTTCATTTTACAGATATTATCAGTCAACACAGACACATAATTTGAAATAATATCTGATATACAGTTGCAGAGAGTTGTGGTTGTGTTGCAAAAATTAGCTGTAACCAAGGTGATGTGAGGCCTTGGAAAACTCTGGGAGGAAATCCGGGGGTTTAAAGGTGCTATTAGGGGAAGTAGCATCAAGGAGCCATTTAGCCTTTCACCCCCTCCTATTTAGAAGTCAACCAGAGTGGGGTGGTAAGGAGTACCCCTGAGTTGCTAACACTA